CTGAGGCTGCACCAGTGGCCCCCTTCTCTGCTCCCACATGCCATCTCATGCACTCCTCTCTCATTTCTACCCCTAGCCGCTTACTCACTTCTCTTCAGTTCTCTCCTCGCCGGTTGAGGGGAGGGGCGTGGGGGTCAACACCGCCACTCCCTCACGCTCCTCCCCTGTGGCTGTGCAGGTGCAACGGTGGGAGGGGAGGGGGCAGCACTCCACTCGGCTGGGGCGGGAAGGGAGAGTATCGGGCTGGGTTGTCTGAAAAAGGTGAGCCTCTTTTTCCACCAGTGGCCCCACTCCTCTTCCTCCCTGTCTGCCTCGCCTGCACATCTCCCTTTCCATCTGCATACCTCTCTCTCCTCCACTTAACTTCCCCTCCAACTCTCCTCTCCCCTCCTCTCCATCTCCACCCCTTTCCCTCCTCCCCACTCTCCCCTCCGCCCATCCCCCAGCAGCCCCTCTGGTGGCGAGTTCCCAGAACAATCAGCAGCGCCTTTGGGTAGTGTGAGGCGCTTCAGTGGCGGCAGCACAGCAGCCTCAAGGCTCAAGGCGCCACCGCCACTCACAGCCGCACCAGATAAGTACACTCTCTCTATTCCATCTCGCTTGTTCATTGCTTTCGCTCTCTCTCACATGTTCTCTCACATGCTCGCTCACATGCATCTGCACATCATCTTTCCATCCATGCTTCATGCCTCCTCTCCTCAAGCCAAGCCACTTGCAGCAGCCTAGCCCACATGGTGCAGACCCCTTATACCAGGTATCCCCCCCCCTCCAGCCCCCGGGTTAAGCCAACCCTAAGCACTACACCTTTACTATAGCCCTCACTACCTTTGGGTCTGCACCATGTGCCTAGCGCTGCTCCAGTGGTCCCTCTGCTGCTCTCACCTCCCACCCACCCCACCCATGCTCGCCTCTCACGTTTCTTCCCCTAGCTGCTTACTCACTGGTCTTCTGTTTCCTCCTTGCAGGTGGAGGGGAGGGGCGTGGGGGTCAACACCGCCACTCCCTCACGCTCCTCCCCTGTGGCTGTGCAGGTGGCAGTGGTGGGAGGGGAGGGGACAGCACTCCACTCGGCTGGGATGGGAAGGGAGAGTATCGGGATTGGGTCGTCTGAACCAAGGTGAGCCTCATTTCTTGTTCCTTTGCTCACACTGCTGCTTGGTTTTCTGCTCATGCTCACTTCCCTTGATGCTCCCTGCCCTGCATTCACTCGTATCTCATTGCCCTTCACATTCCCGTCCTCTCTTCCCTCCCTTCCTCTCTCTGCTCCAATCCCCCTCTCGTCCCAGCAGGTCGCTCACACGAGAGTGGCAGTGGCGCGGGACATGGAGTGCACAGGCAGCAGCTGTTCCCTACCCAACCCACTCAAAGCTAAGTACTCGCCCTTCCTTTCTCCTCCCAGTCTCTCTCATGTTCTTTTCATTTCCACATATTTTTTTTGTCTCTTCAAATGCAAGCCTCTTGTTTAGCCAAAGCTTCAAGCCACAGACCTCTTTTTCTTGGGTAAATCCCCCCAGGTAACAGCAGGTATTCCCTCAGGTTAAGCGTCCCTAGGTATTCTTCCTTCGTGGATCTGTGGCTTGTAGCTGAGGCTGCACTAGTGGCCCCCTTCTCTGCTCCCACATGCCATCTCATGCACTCCTCTCACATTTCTACCCCTAGCCGCTTACTCACTTCTCTTCAGTTCTCTCCTTGCTGGTTGTGGGGAGGGGCGTGGGGGTCAACACCGCCACTCCTTCACACCCCTCCCCTTGTGGCCGTGCAGGGTGGTGGCAGTGGTGGGAGGGGAGGGCATAGCACTCCACCCGGCTGTGATGGGAAGGGAGAGTATCGGGATGGGCTGGGTGAAACAAGGTAAGCCTCGTTCCCCTCCGTGCTACAGATGCCTCATTTCCCTCTCTTCAATTCTGCATTCTCGTTTTTGTCTACCCTAGTGTTCTTCTGTTTCCTTGACTGTCTCAGTTGATGCCAACTTTCCTGCCCCTCCTCTCCTGTCTCTTCACCCCCTTTTCCCCCCACTGCCAGGTCACTTGGGGAGAGGGGAGGGGGGCAGCACTCCACTGGGCTGGGCTGTGATGGGAGAGTATCGGGATGGGTCGTCTGAAACAAGGTGAGCCTCTTTTCCCCTCCCTGCCAGATATGCATTCGTTTGTGTTCTTTCCTTCACTCACGCTGCTGCTTTCCTTCTCCCAATGCTTCACTGTCTTTTCTTGCTCCTGTCCTGCCGTCATGCTTCTGCCTGTACTTCTCCCCTTGCTCATTGCTCTCCCTTTCTCCATGCCTCCCTCCCTTCCCAACACCCTGAGGCATCATGGCGCTCTGCATGGCTCTGGTAGGTAGAGGTAAGGAGGCATGGGGGTGAAGTGTGTGGTTGGTGATTGAGTGGGTGGGTGGGTGGGTTGGGAGCGTGGGAGCAAGTGGGGAGTTCACTGCCTTAGGGGCAGCACCCTCTGAGGTTGTGCCTTGTGGGCCGGGTTGTGGTGGGTGGAATCTGCGCGGCACGGCACTCGGTGCTCAAGTAACCGATCTGGCGTTTAAGGCTTAATGGACACCGTCAGAGTCGACCGGCCGGCGACTCTGGTTCGCGTCAGCTCTAGCTACGTCAGGGGTGGGATTTGAGTCTTGGGCTGGAAGCGCTTTTCCACTGCCACACCTTGACCTTCAAGGCACAGCCCCTGAGGGTGCTGTTTCCGAAAGCGAGTGGGCTGTCTGCTGCTCCTACTGCTGGCAGGTAAGGTGGGGAGGGGCTGGGTGGGCTGGGTGGTGGTTGTGGTGAGAGGCAGTGGGGTTGGCAGTGGCATATGATGAGCTGTATGGCACTGATGCCACCAGCGTGAATTGGTGGTGCTGAAAGGGGCTGAGTCCCCTTGGGTGGCACATGATGAGCCGTATGGCACTGATGCCACCTGTTGCATGAGAGGTGATGGTGGTGAGTGTGAGAGGTGAAACTGAGTGTGCAACTGGTTGGTGAGTGTGAGTGAATGAGTGAGTGGTGGTGAGGCTGATTAGTGAGAGGGTAAGTGGTGAAAGTGAGCGTGAGTGCGTGAGTGGTGAGAGTGGTGAGGGTGAGTGTTGAGAGTAAGAGGTGGCAGTGGTGAGAGTGAGTGAGTGTTGGGAGGGAGTTGTGAGAGTGGGATGTGAGAGAGCCGCAAGCTTGGGATGTTCAGATTTAAGAGTTGCGTGCGTGGTGGCAGTGAGAGCAGAGAGGGTCGTGAGGGCGAGCTTTTAGTGTGGTGGGGTGGGTGAGACTAGGTTGCCATGATAGTGGGTGATAGACACACGTGAGTGTGAGTGGTGAGAGTGGGTGATACACAGTTGAGAGTGAAGGAGTTTAGTGGTGAGAGTGCCGCAACTGATTGTTGGGGGTGAATGAGTGAGTGGTGGTGAGGTTGGGTATGTGAGAGTGTGTGGTGAGGGTGAGTGGTGAGAGTGTGAGAGGTGAGAAGTGAGAGTGAGGTTGAGTTGTGAGAATGGCGAGTGCATGGGTGAGTGGTGGGAGAGAGGGCTGGGAGTGGGAGGTGAGGATGAGTGGCATTAGCTGAATGGTTACTTTTCAAGGTGTGAGTGTGTGGTGACGATGAGAGCAGAGAAGGTGGAGAGAATGGTGAGTGGTGGAGGGGTGGGAGTGGCGAGGTGGAGTGAGTGGTGTTGAAAGTGTATCGTCAAAGTGAGTGGTGGGTTTCAATGGTGAACTGTGAGTGTAAAGATTGAGGATTGAGACTGGACGGTTAGTGGATGGTGAGAGGGTGGTGAGTGTCAGTGAGTGGTGTGAGTGGCAAGGGGTGCAACAGTGTTCAGTGGCAGCCGTGTGCATGCATGAGTACACCAAGCATGCATTTTTTTATGTGTGCAGTGCGTATGCATGAACCAGTTTGGACTTGTAATTATAAAATAGCTCATCAGTAGGTTTGATTTTCTCTGAAGGTTATGAAAAACACATTATTATGGTGTTTTTTTGTTCTGCATGCATACATGATCCCATTTGGACCTGTAGTTATCAAATAGCTCTTCAGCGGATTTGATATTCCGTGAAGGTTATAAAAAACGCATTTTTGTTTTGTATTGATCACGGATTATGTCAAACGTGTATTTTTTTTCATCTATGCGATCGTAATTGATTTTATTCGGATCTACATACACTTCTGACCTGTTTACAATATATCGCGAACCACAACCATACCCCCCCACAAGCTGCTAGGCCATCAGAAACAGGCTTTTCCCCCTCGATTCTGTCACACATCCTGGCTCAGACTTCGTTCAGAGGAATAAGGGCGTGTCGTGCTTGGCGGAAGTATATTCACTTTTAGGTACTGTTACCCAATAACACCTTGTAACATCTGCAATTGACAAGCCAACCAGACAGTCACTTGTAGATTTGTTTCTGGCCGACGTTTTTTTACTCGAGTGCAGAACATGTACACACACATTTCGGGGTTTGCCAAGGGGCCTAGGTGAAATGCGAAATTCGCCAGTACAACCCTAGCGAAAATAACGAAGGTACCAACAAAGTGGAGCCACACCATATCGCTATTTTTTTCGATGACACTGGCGTGAACGAATCCCGCCGATTTCTACGTGGATTTCGTAGAGGGACAGGGTTACTGCTCGCGACTTCCTGTCAAGATTGATACGCCACACGGTTCTTGTTCGGGTTAGACTGTAGCTCCGTGCGCAGAAAAGTGGGTTCGCGTCAGGCGGACACAAACCATTTTCTGTACGTGCGGGCAGCAGTTTTGGAAACAATCACAATTACGTAAAGAAACATGTAAAGGCCGAAAATACACCCTGCAAGACACGCCCTGAACCAGGAACAGCCAGCAATCAGTTCTACACCCTTGTCTCTTGGTGACGCTGACTTGTCCAGCCAGTGAGGAGGATCATGGAACATCGGAATCGCAGTTCTTAGCTGAGGTCAACGCGCAAAGCGCTAGGTCTGCGTAGGAATTGCTGAGCGAAGCCCGGCTGACGCCAGCAGGCGAGAGATCAAGGCGTAGTAGCGCGGCATGGGGGATCCAGGCGAGCCGTTTTCGCTCGACTTGCACGGGCCGGGCGCGTCCGCGCTCCGCTCAGTCGTGCGCGACAAGCTCGCCGATTTCTCCGAGAGCTTCACCGACGACGTCCTCGCGGTACGCGCTCCGTGGCGTTAGGTACGGTTATATGGCGTTGATTACGGTTCCGTGGCGCTGCGTACTCTTTCGTGGCAATACTTTTGATTTCTCCGAGAGCTTCACAGACGACGTCCTCGCGTGTACTCGGTCCGTGGCGTTGGAGGCGGTTTCGTGGTGGCTTCGTGGGGAAGCGTCCGATTCCGTAGCGCTTTATACGAATTCATGGCAGCTGTTGGTATAGGATAGCAGCAGTTGGTCAACTACTGAGTTGACTGTTGAGTCGACTCTAAATTCAACTCGCATTCATAGCGCCTGTAGGTACAGAATAAGAATAGCAGCAGTTGGTTCACTAATTTAGCCATGCGTCGATACGTCGTACGGGAACTTACTCTTTTGCAAGATTGATGCCGTATTGCCGACGCGGAGCAATCGTAAGCATTCACGTGGCCCCCGATCTACGGTCGTCGTTCGCGAATGTTCGCCTTTCGCGATCTCCACGCCGCCGAATGATCCCCCGCGAATCGGATCCATCTCCCCTTCTTTACTCGCCAAAGGGAGTTTAGACAGGATATTCACGGAAATTGGCATGAGAGGTTCCTTAATGTTAATCGCCTCTGTTGTTCAGTGACCCGTACGGTCTTATGAACATCTGCTGGGCTTAGCTGCTAGTTATTGAACCACACACTAGAGAACAAAGACGACTTCTGAGACGTATCCCCTCGCCTCGCCCCGCATCGTATCCACAGTCGCCTCGCCTCGTCTTAGCCGCTCATTGTTGAACCTAGCATTTCTGAGCAGCGGCGCTTTTGAGTCGACTCAAAAGCAGACCTTAGCCGCTCATTGTTTAACCTAGCATTTCTGAGCAGCAGCGAGTGAAAACCAAACAATCTCTTCTGCATCCTCAGAAGAGCCGTCCTTGGAAGTTTGTTTTTATTCCGGAGACTATGGAACAGTAAATCTCCCCTTGGTTTTTCAATCCTACGCTTGACTAAACCCTGCCAGAATTATGACCTAGTTTTGCCCTCGTTGCCGTAGCCTTCCTCGGCATCATCCCTGGCGCCCGCTGCACCTTGTGTGAGTTCACGCGCAAGTAAGTCCCAATTCGTTGTCCAAGTTCACTGAATCTGGACATATTTCCCTCTCGCCTCGCTGGAGTACGTGGTGGTGCTGGTGGCGCACGGAAAGCCCAAGAGCCACGCGGCCGAGGATCTAGATTCCTCATCTTCCACATGCGCTGAATCTGGACGTCTTCCCCATTCCCCTTGCAGGAGTACGTGGTGGTGCTCGTGGCGCACGGCAAGCCCAAGACCCATGCCGCCGAGGATCTCGAGGCCTTCCTGGGCGACCAAACCGCCGCCTTTGTCGACTGGTGGGTGCTGTTGGTCAAATGGATATGTCATTGTGCTGCTGGTCAAATGGATATGTCATTGTGCTGCTGGTCAAATGGATATGTCATTGTGCTGCTGGTCAAATGGATATGTCATTGTGCTGCTGGTCAAATGGATATGTCATTGTGCTGCTGGTCAAATGGATGTGTCATTGTGCTGCGCGGCGCGGTACAGTAAGACTCCGTTATTACGGCAAACAATTTGTTGTTTACTCTGTGTCTCTCACCGTTGTGCGCAATGTTTCCTCGCATTGTGTCTGAATGAATGTTGGATCACCTGTTCTTCCCTTCCCGTGGCTGGCTGTGGGTTCATCTTTCTGCCAACATTGGGAAATATAACGCGTGCCCACTCTGAGGCTCCTCAAAAGCCCTCCACCCTCGACCCCCCCCCCCCTTCCCTCCCCCCTCCCCTCCCCCCCCCCCCCCCCTCTTTCCTCTTTCCCCGCCCTCCTTCATTAACAGGCTGTGGGTTCATCTTTCTGCCAACAGTGGGAAATACAACGCGGCCGCTGCTCCAGATACCGCTGGTGAAGGCAAGGATGGGAAGGAGGTATTTGTAAAGGAGGAGGGGAAGCGGGACGAGGTGACGCGAGAAGAGGGACGAGGGAGAGAGGCTGGTGAAGTGAGAAAGGATGGCGAAGGGGTGTGGGAGGAGAGGGGGAGGGAGGATAGGTTAAGAGATGGGAGAGCGAGGGAAGAGAGGGCGAGGGAGGGGAGAGGGAGGGAAGAGAGGGTGAGAGAAGTGAGGGGGCGGAGCAGGGAGAGGAGTGGTGAGAGAGGCAGGGAGAGAGGGGGAGAGAAAGGAGCGAGCGGAGAGAGGGAGGGAGGCTGGAGCAAGGAGCGCGAGAAGGAAAGGGAGGGAGACAGGAGGAGCCTGGATGGAAGGACAGAGTCGTGGAAGGGCAAGAGAGGAAGGGATGGGGTTGTTACTGGGCGTGAGGAAGAACGGGGGAGGGGGTATGAGGAGAGAGGGAGAGGGTATGAGGAGAGAGGGAGAGGGCATGAGGAGAAAGGGAGAGGGTATGAGGAGAGAGGTAGAGGGTATAAAGGACGACTTTATATGGACGAGGTACGAGGGGCGGACGGCGAGGAGGAGGGGGGAGATGAGAGGAGAACGGCGAGGGGGACGGAGAGGGGGACTGAGAGGGACGTTTGGGCGCGTCGGGGTGGGTCTAGATCTTGGTCTCCGCCGGGAAAGCGGGAGGAGAGGGGAGAGGAGAGCACTAGAAGGATGGAGGAGGCAAGGGGTGGATTGGATAGGGCGCTTAAGAGGCGGGCGACAGGGGAAGGGGGCGGTGAGGAGTGGGTGGAGAGGCATGAGCGGGAGAAGCAGGGGGAGGAGGGGGGGCGGGAGAGGGTGCGCGCGGAGGGGCATGGGGAGGAGGAGAGGGCGCGCATGAGACGGCTGTTTGGCAGCAGCCTGGGGGAAGGGGCCCGCAGGCGGGCGACTGTGGACGGGGGGAGGGCGGATGGGGGGAGGGCGGATGGAGGAGAGAGAGCGTTGGTGCGGAGACGGACAGAGGGAGCAGAGGGAGCGGAGGAGGCAGAGGGGGCGGAGAGGGTAGTTAGGGTAATGAGGGCAGAGGGGGCAGTGGGAGCAGTGCGGGAGGACAGCGAGGAGGCTGTGAGGAGGAAAGGGCGTGGGGCGTTTGCTTTGGTGGGAGCGAGTGAGAGGCGGATAGAAGGTGAGGAGGAGAGGTGGCAGGCCGAGGAGGGGGTGGAAGTAGGAGGAGAGGAACAAGAGGGAGGGGATGGTGTTGAGAGAAGGGAGGGGAGGGGCTTGGATGGGACACAGGGGGGGGCGGCAGGAGGGCTGCTGGTGGGGAAGAGAGGGCGGCAAGTGGGCGGGGGAGCAAGGGGATTGGGCGGCAGGCTGTGGCAGTTTGCGGTGAGAGATGCTGTGAAGCCTGCGAGGGAGGTGCGTGCCCCTGCGCACGCCCATGCCGCTGCCGCTGCGGCTGGTGTGCCTGCTGGTGCTTCCAATGTTTCTGATGGCGGTGGTGCTGATGGTGCTGCTGATGAGCAGCAGGAGGAGGCGACAAGGGCAGTGGCAGTGAGAGTGGGGCGAGTGGTCGTGTCTGCCCCTGGTCGTTCTGCCACTTATGATGCCGAACCCCTTGCCCCTTCTTTCACCGCCCCTCGTGCTGCTTCCGCTGGTGTCTCCCCTGGTGTTGCCAAGGCTGCTGTTAGAGCAGGTAGTGAGGAGGAGCGGGTGACAAGAGCAGAGGAGAGAAGGGATGTGGAAAGAGGAGTGGAGAGAGGAGAGAAGAGGGAAAAGGATAGAGGAGAGGCGGGAGAAGAGGAGGGGGGAGAAGAGGAGGGACTGGAGGAGGAGGAGGGGCGTGGGGCACGGAAACGGTTGCGATCAGTCGTGGTGTCCCTTCCTGCTGACGCCCCTCGCCGGATCAAGGCAGTGCGGAGGCAGGAGAGGGAGGGGTGGGAGCGGAGGGAGGGGAGGGAGGGGAAGGAGGGGAAGGAGGGGAGTGGGGGAGAGGAGGCAGATGAAAGGGCAAGAGTGGATTCAAGAGCAGGGGGAGGGGGGAGAGGAGAGGAAGATGCGGAGGGGAAAGAGGGGGCGGAGAAGGAGGGTGGTAGAGGGAGTGTGTGGGCGAGGCTGGGCAAACGATGTGTGCAGAGGGGTGGAGATGGGCGGATAGTGGTGCAGAGGCAAGCGGAGCTTGGGGAAGAGTGTGAGGAAGGGTTTATGGGAGGGTATGTGGGAGGGTATGGGGGAGAGTATGGGGCAGGTTACGGAGGAGAGTATATGGAGGGGTTGAGAGGGGTTGAGCAGGATATGTGGAGAGAGGGAGCAGGAGAGGGAGTAGAGGGGTGGGGCGATGGGAGAGGAGGGGAGGGAGGGGGGATGCGAGTAAGGTTCGGAGGAGAGGGGGAAGAGGACGAGGAGGAGGACGAGGAGGACGAGGAGGAGCGGGTTGAGGGCGTGGGAGGAGAGATGCAAGCAGGGGCGAAAGGAGGGGTGAAGAGAGGAGGAGGAGGAGGAAGCAGGGAGAGAGGCGTGAGAAGGATATTTGTGCGGGAGGACTTGATTCAAAGGGGCGTGTTTGTGAATGGCATGGGCATAGGCATGGGTTTGGGTGCGGGGATGGGGATGGGGATGGGTGCAGGGATGGGGATGGGTGCAGGGATGGGGATGGGCTTGGCTGGGCAAAATGTAGGTCTGGTGATAGTCCCTGCTCTGCAGAACTCCCAGCTATTACAGCAGGCTCAGCAGCAGCAGCAGCAGGTGCAGGTGCAGGTGCAGCAGAGTGAACAGCAGACACAGCAGCTGCAAAGGCCGCAGCTGCAGCAGCGGCAGTGGCTCAGAGTGCCTCCGCAGCAGCAGCCGCATGAACCACAGCAGCAGTGGCAGCAGGGCGGCACACAGGGGCAGCAGCCGCTAGAGAAGCTGCAGAAGCCCCAGGGGGCAGGGGGGGCGGGGAGGGGGCAGGAGGAGGGCGGAGTGCGGCGGTCTTGGCCTGGCGCTGGCATGGGGGCGGGGCAAGGAAGGGTGGCGCATGGCAGCATGGGGCGGGGGAGGGGAAGCATGACTTGGGTGGCGAAGAAAGAGGATAAAGATATGGAGAAGGAGAAGGAGACAGAGAAGGAGAAGGAGGGTAAAGTCAGCCCAGTGGCTCAGAAGCAGGTGTGTGTTTTTGCTCCTGCAGTTGTGATTGTCGTTTTTTTAATCGACCTCAAAATGAAAACCTCCCCCGCTCACTCACTTCCTAGCCACTCACTCATTTCCTCGCCCACTCACTCATTTCCTCGCCCACTCACTCATTTCCTCGCCCACTCACTCATTTCCTCGCCCACTCACTCATTTCCTCGCCCACTCACTCATTTCCTCGCCCACTCACTCATTTCCTCACGACCTTCCGGCTGACCTACTCCCGTTCTACCGTGTGGCAGGAGAGTGTGGAGGCGATGAGGCAGCGGCTGCAAAAAATGCAGGAGGAGATGAGAAGGATGAAGGCGCTGCAGGAGAAGACTGCTGCTGCTGCTGCTGGCGATAAGGCTGCTGCTGCTAAAGCTAGTTCAGTAACGAGCAGTGCTGATGCTGCACCCTCTAGGCCCACAGGTACATGATGCTGTACCCATGCTGCCTTGCGCCACACTCTTGCTGCCATGTCACCCACCAATAAGCCCCTACCTACTTATGTGTTTCTGCCGTACATGATTCACCATCGAGCTCCTTGCATCCCATCCCATCCCATGCATGCTGCCTCACCTATGGTCTCTTCGCTCGCCCCTAAAACGTCTGCCTTCTCTGATGCCGCATGTGTCCATTGCTGTGCATTCCTGTCCGTATCCCTCCCCCCCCTTTCATTCCCCTCTCCTCCCTTCTCCCACAATTCCTCCCGAAAATTCTCCTTTGCTTTGCATCTCACACAGACCAGTACCATGTGCCTCTGCTCAAATCCATATCCTTCTTCCCTGCACTTCCTTTCCTCCTAACCCTCCCCGTCTCCTCTCTTCCGCCGTCCCTTCTCTCTCCTACTCGTTCTGTGTGTTTACATCAGCTACTCACCCCAACGGCACGTTGTCAACCTCACCGCACTCCACCGCACTGCATGCCCACGCACCCACGCCATTCTCCCTCGTGCGCAAGTCCCTCTCCACAGGGGATGCTGACGATCGCTCTGTGCTCGTATCCAATGTAAGTTTCACCCTGCTTCTTTGGAAAATCATTCACCGCACCGCACTTGACCGCGCTGCACTTGACTGCACCGCACTCCACTACATGCACACCAACGCACCGCACTCCACCGCACTGCACACCCACCCCGAGTCTCTCTCTACAGGGACGCTGACGATCCCAAGACGTCTTCCCTCTGCGCTCTGCTCTCTCCCCTCTGCTCTCTCCCCTCTGCCCTCTGCCCTCTGCCCTCTGCCCTCTGCCCTCTCCCCTCTACCCTCTGCCCTCTGCCCTCTGCCCTCTGCCCTCTCCCCTCTGCCCTCTGCCCTCTGCCCTCCGCTCTGCCATTCCTCCCCGCAGGTGCACTTCGCAGCAACGGTGGCAGCACTGACCCTTCACTTCGCAGCATGTGGGGAGATTTGTCGAGTCACCATGCTCACTCATCCCCTCACCGGCCGCCCCAGAGGGTACTCATTCCCACCTGCTGCATTCAATGCGTGGTTCGCACCTGCTGCATTCAATGCGTGGTTCGCACCTGCTGCATTCAATGCGTGGTTCGCACCTGCTGCATTCAATGCGTGGTTCGCACCTGCTGCATTCAATGCGTGGTTCGCACCTGCTGCATTTTTTCCATTTTTATACACTTCCCTCTCGCCTCGTATTACCATGCTCACTCATCCTCGTACTGGCCGCCCCGGAGGGAAATCATTCCCACCTGCTGCTCTCTATACCATTTCCATTCACTTGCCTCTCGCCTCATGCAAGCATGCTTGCTTGCGCCTGACCCCTTTCATGCAATTTGCCATAATATTGCATGCTGTAGTAGCCACTTGATGTTGTATCAATGTGATTTGACAATGTCAGCCTGCTTCTAAATCTGCAACAAGTATGTTTTGACACGTGTCTAGTTTAGACTCTTGCATTCCTGCTTTTGATTCTCTTCCCCTTCCTTGCCCCTGAATTCATACAATTATGCCAAGTGATGCCACGCCTACTTCCTGCCCCTCCACCCTCTCCGACTTTCTGCAGATGTGCTTATATCGAGTTTGCCACTAAGGAAGCGGTTGACAAGGCCCTGGCACTCAACGATGCTTCGTTTATGTCACGTCCGCTTAAGGTACTCCCTCCTCTTTGGTACTCTCTGCCCCTTCCCATCCACCTCTTCTGGTAAGTAATCCACGTGGGGTGCTCAGCACGTCTCAAGGCATGGGGATTAAGAAGCCCCACATGGCAATGAGGCACTTGTTTTGGCTTTCTTTTGGCCCCACACGGTAGAGATTTGACTTCATGAGTATCATTCAAATGTAGGCGTACGCGTTTGGCCATGAGGCCTTCACTAGTCCCACATGGCAATGAGGCACCTCTCCCATTCTCGCTCTGAACCACCTTCCTTTCTCCGTTCTCCCGTCATTCCCCCACCCCCTCCCCCGTACCCGCAGATCATCCACAAGCCCCACGCGGCAGTGGAGTCACTCCCCTCTGCAACACACGCCCACTCTCTGCCCCTTTACTCACAGGCAACTTCCTCCCTTCTCCCTTCTCCCGTCCCCTCCCCTCACCCACAGATCATCCACAAGCCCCATGCGGCACTGGAGGCACTCCCCTCTGCTGCACCACCCGTGCCAGCCATCACTCTGCTACTAAACCACCTTCCTCCTTTCTCCTGCCATTCCCACGTCTCCCTGTACCCACAGATCATCCACAAGCCTCACGCGGCACTGGAGGCACTCCCCACTGCGACCGCTCCACCCATCTCTCCTTCCACGCGCCCCGCTCGTCCGCTCCTCACACCCACCAAGCTCCCCTCCCCTGCTCTCGGCACCAGCCCCACAGCCCTCGCCTCCCACTCTGCCCGTCTTGTGCCTGCAAAGGCCCCGGCTGTGGGTGTGATGGCTCAGGGTGTGGGTGTGAAAGCACAAGCTGCCCGCCGGCCCTCTGCCAGAGGTAGCTTGCAGTGGAGGAGACAACCTGAGGCCGCTGCTGCTGCTGCTGCTGCAGTTGCTGGTGCTGCTTCTTCTGATGCTGCTTCTGCTCCTGCTCCTGCTACTGCTGCTGCTGCTGTTCCTGAGACTAAGGTTGAGGGCAGGGGTGGTGTGATTGGCAATGGTAAGGAAGCTGTGCTTGATGTTACGCAGAAAGCAGCACCTCGCTCTGCACCTGTGGCAGCAGCTGCTGATGCTAAAGCAGGCGAAATCAAGGGGTGATTGCGGACTTCAGTAAACAGGATTTTTTTGCTGCCTGGAGCACTGGTTGTAGGGACAGCTACAGGAAGCGTGGCATGCTGTTTCCTTTGATTGTTGTGCGAGCTGCGTCAATCAGCTCTCATTTCTTTTCGTGGCTTAATGGTTCTTCAGTTATTTCATCAATTTGCAAGGGAATGCAGTATCAGGATATGAGATGGAACGCCATTATAACAAATAGTTTTTGGAGCAGATTCACTTTTCTAGCTGCTTCTTTAGACATTGATTGCAATGTTTCTCCATACCCCCGCTCATGACCAACGCTTAAAACCAGGGTACACATTCAACGCGACTCCAGGCTAAATTTTGGGCGGCATGTTTGCGGGAACTGCTGATTGGTTGACGAGTAGCGAATAAATAGTTGAGAATGGGCGAGCATGGGGCTTTTCGTCCGTGAGAGATGAGGCTTGGCAGGGGAGAAATTGATAACACTTGGATCTAGAAATTGGGGATCAAGGGGAGGGCAACTGGGTTGGCGGAAAGGGGAAAGGGGGTGAGACGATATTGTGGGGGAAGGGGAAACAATTTCGGTGGGAGCGGAATAGGTATGGGGAGGGGGGAAACGAATTGGCGGAAGCACATTCGATGACTTCGGTATACATTTGCCAAATCTCGAGGGTTCAAATGTTCACCTGCTGAAGCGAACACTCCCCCCAGATATTCCTAAATCACTGAGTAACCCCGAGGTCAAAGGTTAACCTTTGACAGAAATCCAATTGAATGTGCACCCTGGTTTTAACGAAGCACCTTGTTTCTCCTTAATCGTGGTGGTGACCCCAACCATGTACAACCCAACCCCATCAGTATGCTACTGTAGCGAAATGTACTGGGATGACATCCACCCACTCGGCATGGAATTCAGAGCCTTTCTCTCATGTTGAGGAAACTTGAGAAACAGAGTGGTTGTGTAGTTCAAATTATATTGTCCTGGCCAAAAAGCACCATCCATCCATTCACCCTTCATGCACAGACACATAACTTCCAACGATTAATCCTCTTCAGAACCTTTTGTTGATGCTGCGGAAACATGGAGAGGGAACACGTGTGGTTCACAATGCACTATAATGATAGATTTCAGCCATTCATCTTTCGTGAAGAGATGACTCCTTGCAACAACATGTGAAAATGATGGTCAATGTTGGCAGTACGATTGCTCAACTTTCTAAATCTGGGAGAACTGAAGCTGGAAAGGACCCGCTCATGATTGAGCAGCTGTCCATTAGCCTTGCGTTCCCGTGTTCCTGCATCGGCAACGACCATACCGATTATGGTGTTAATTCTGCACGGATGTTCTTTTATACATACCTGTTCTTTCGTCTGAAGCAGATAAGATATAACATCGCAAGCCACGTTCTTTGAATAGCTGGTTTCTCACCATTCCCGCGAATATCCCATTTTATGCATTGACGAAGCCATCCGTAAGCATGAGGAGAGCATTCCATCGTATTCAAGCTCAGACATGTCGCTGTTTCAAGTCTACACGGCCTACCTTGTTCAGACGTGTCCCCTAAGCAATGATAATTCACGCGTGATCATGGGTAAACGAGGAGTCGCATTGGCTTAGACTCGTCGAAGCCCTCCAGCTCACGAAGTGAAAGGCCCGCTTCAAGTGACGAATTTCGAGAATCTGAACTGCCGCAGTCGAGGTGATTCTAAGCTTACTTAGTCAACTGTGTAGACCGCGAGCCGCTCTTACTTGAATGGTATGTAATGCGGCAACCTCCCGTCGCCTCTGAGACTTTCAAAACTCTGACTCATAAAGATCATTGATCCTGACACCAGAAAAAAATCGATCGTCAGGCAGGTAGCATCTCGTCAAATGACAGTGTTGAGGACTGATCACACCGGCATTTGCGGGTCGCGCTTCCGATCCTTAGTAGTACTGAGGAACCTCCATTGGATCTCTACAATCGAGAAAGCTGAAGTACAATTCCTGAAAGAGCAGGTCGAATTCGCTACTCTGGAGACCCCTTGCAGCTGAATTTGCTTGTTGTTGATCATTGACATGACATGAGAGACCAGCGTGACACTAATTTGCTCACACCCCACCCCACCCCTTGCTCACACTCGCTTCATGCAGCAGCAATGCAACAGAACGTGGGAGGTATGCTCGTTGGCGGGAAAACTATCAAATTGTGGAACTTTGGTTCCGTGAAACTTGGAAACGAGCGTCTCATTCCCCACGATCACGGGAGACAGGCACAACTCCTTTTGGACATGATTCAAGGCCAGGGGAGAAATCTGTTTATCCAGCGCAGCAAAAAAGATCTCTAGTCCCGACGCGTGCTGATGAACTGTTGCGATCTGATGGGTAGGGAGGTGGACGGAAAGAGGCAAACGGGAAGGTGGGGGGGGAGGGAGCTACCAAAAGCTTGTGATCGAAGGTGAAAAGATGCATTGAACCGAATTGGACCAGTCCGCACCTACAGATTGCAGGGTGTGCTTGATGTGCATCAGGTGGATGACGTAAATTGGCTGCCAAGGCGAGTGACCCAGAAAAGGAACAGATCAAAAGACATCCAAACCTGAGCAGATCGGGGCGGAAGAATGCAGAGGTGGTGGTGAACTGGGGTGTTTTTTCCGCCTAAACTGTACGCTTTTGGCGCAAGCCTGCCCGGATGGTTCACCTCCCCGTTCGCTGTGGGGGCCACCTGGTTCCCCCCCCAAGTTGGTTGTGTGGGGGCCACGCACACATTTTCCCCCCACTTTTGCTTGATGCGGATTGGAAGGGTTGGCGCATCGCATCACAGGTCGCCCAGATTCCCACCGTGGCAGGTCGCACCAACCACCGAGCACCATCTCCAGCAAACTTGGCCATCACGGTTTGCTGACGGGGCTCGAGTGGTTGGCTGTGGGGATGGGGGAAATGCTTTGGCACAGGTGGCGATCTTGACGAGATTTACGGGACAGCGCAGCAAGATTATGCGAACCACTTTTCTGCACATCGACGGCTGTGAAGACACCATACAGCTACTGTGCTGGACAAGACATCGCCATGCGCTGTCGCACAGCCCACGCGAAACACTCCAACTTCACGGCGCCGATCGCCAGATCCCCTCCACGTCTCCTAGTAACACCAATCAGCGCAGCCCTAGCTCAGAAGGTATCAGCCACATAGGCTTCCCCCGCCCTTGCTGACGCAGCTGTGTGCCTTTAATGCTGGAACAGTAGCTCACGTGGCGGAACAGCAGTGCGGCAGTTCCAAGTCGCGCCTTGGGATTGGGGGAGGGAAGCGGAATTAGGTGGAGGAAATGCGTAGCCCGTGCGAGTGAGCTTGATCAGCCTAACTTGGCAGGAGAATCTGCGAGTACATAACACACTCAGAACTGCCATTGTTCTTTGTGACTATCGAAAGCATTGCTACTCTCAACACTCCTACAGTTACTACAGTTACTACTAGTTCAGATCTAAGCTTCCTCTTAGCTTCTTGTACACCTGAATACGCCATGGCTGCCGAAGCTCCCAAGAACGATAAAGTGGTACGCTTAAGCGCAGATCCGCTCTCTATGCAACCGCATACAATGCAGCTGATCAGCTCGAGCATTGTTCTTCCCACTGCCTGGTGTTACAACTGACTTACGGTTCCTATCTTCTTTTCCAGGTGTTCGACCCTGCCGCTCAGTCGAGGAAATCCACGCGTGCGGGAGAGCACATTCAGAAGGTGAAGGACGTTCCCGACTTCGCTCCTCCGGACATTTACGTCGCCAAGCTCGAGCCCAAGGAGGTTCTCCACAACCTGTCCGTCGCTGGTAAGCATCTGATTTCAGCTATGAGCTCTAGCGTTGATTTCTGATTCAACGACAGAATTTGTCAGCTCTCTAAGCTAGATCAGTTCATGGCTTGTCAACTGACCTCTCTTACATTTCTCCGGCGGTGATGCGATGCAGAGCTGTACGAGCAAGCCATCGCCCATGAGGAGGGCAACTTCATCGTCTCCACCGGCGCGCTCTGCGCCATCTCCGGCCAGAAGACCGGCCGCTCCCCCAAGGACAAGCGCGTCGTGAAGGAGAGGGACCACGCTGACGACATCTGGTGGGGCGAGTAAGTACCGCACTACCGCTCTAATCCACGCATTTCCACGCAATTATGCACAATTCCTCTTGTACTCTTTCGCAGCGTTCTGCATCCAGTCCAGATTCATTTCTGCTATCGAGATCTCAAAAATATCTGTCTCGTTTTTATTGACTGTTTCAGAGGCTCACCCAACTACGAGATGGACGAGTACACGTTCATGGTGAACCGCGAGCGCGCCATCGACTACCTGAACACGATCGGCAAGGTGTACGTGCAGGACATGTTCCTCAGCTGGGACCCCAAGCTGCGCATCAAGGTCCGCATCGTGTGCGCGCGCGCCTACCACGCGCTCTTCATGCACAACATGTGAGTACCCTTACCCTCCCCACTGAGTACCCCGATTCTTGCAAATTCGGACTCTCTCGATCTCGTCTATCTTGTTCGTGCACGATGCTCGATTGTCCTCAATTGCGGTCCCGCATGGTTCTCATTGTTTTCTACTCTCACTCTGGTGACGGGGGAATTCCCGCGTCTCTCGCCTCTCTCCAGGTGCATCCGTCCCACGGAGGAGGAGCTCAAAGACTTCGGCGAGCCGGCCTTCACCATCTACAACGCGGGCCACTTCCCCGTGAACCGCCTCTCCAAGTACATGTCGTCCGGCACGTCGGTCGACATCGATCTCAACCGCAACGAGATGGTCATCCTCGGTACCGAGTACGCCGGCGAGATGAAGAAGGGGCTCTTCTCGCTCATGAACTACCTCATGCCCAAGCAGGGCGTGCTGTCTCTCCACTCTGGTGCTAACATGGCCAAGGATGGCCAGGTCTCGCTCTTCTTCGGGCTGTCTGGCACCGGCAAGACGACCCTCTCCACCGATCCCAACCGGTTCCTGATCGGTGATGACGAGCACACGTGGGGCGATGATGGAGTGGCGAACATCGAGGGCGGGTGCTACGCCAAGTGCATCAACCTGAGCAAGGAGAACGAGCCGGATATCTACAACGCGATCCGGTTCGGATCGGTTGTGGAGAACGTGGTGTTCGACCCGCACACGCGCGTCGTGGATTATAACGACGGCAGCATCACGGAGAACACGCGCGTGTCGTACCCCATCGAGTACATCGCCAACGCAAAGATCCCGTGCGTTGCCGGCCATGCGACGAACGTGATTCTCCTCACGTGCGACGCGTTCGGCGTGCTGCCGCCCGTCAGCCGGTTGACGCTCGAGCAGGCCATGTACCACTTCATCTCCGGATACACCGCTAAGGTGAGCACCGGGGGGAAGCATACACATGCGCAGGTGCTGGATGGGGGAATTGGGGGTGGCGCGCGCCATTGGCGGGATGGGCGGGATGGAGGGTGTGGGGGATGGGTTACTGGGTTTGCGTGGGTTTTGATTCTCAAATTGGGCACGCGAGTGCAACGACCCATTCTCAACCAATACGCAAATCAACCATGCTTGAAACACGCTTGGTTACTTACTAATCACCTTCACATCCTCGTTCTTTGTAAACAAACCACATGGTTTTAATCTCAATCTTCAATGCTTCCCTCCCTCTCAGGTGGCCGGCACTGAGATGGGCGTGACTGAGCCCGAGGCCACGTTCTCGGCGTGCTTCGGCGCAGCCTTCATGATGTGGCACCCGTACAAGTACGCCACACTGCTGGCGGAGCGCATCAAGAAGCACGGCAGCACGGCGTGGCTCGTCAACACGGGCTGGACCGGCGGCGCATACGGCGTGGGGCACCGCATGAGCATCAAGCACACGCGCGCCATCATCGATGCTATCCATGACGGCTCGCTCGTCAACGCTGAGACGGTCACCACGCCCGTGTTCAACCTGCTCGTGCCCACCACCTGCGCCAATGTCCCCAACGAGTGCCTGCAGCCCGAGACCCTGGTACGCCTCGCCTTCTATCCATGAAACCCGCGCTTCTCTTTGTCATCTTTCTGCTTGGTGTTCCCAGTTACGGCTTCCTCTCACTGTCTGACCTCTGTTCATAACCTCGGGCTAGTTCTGCAGCTGCCCCTCACACGTTATCCTTCTGTTCTCTCGATTGCTTTTTGTTCCCCCCTCCGTTTATGACGAGCAGTGGGCGGACAAGGCCAAGTACCGCGAGACGTTGGAGAAGCTGGGCAAGCTGTTCCAAAAGAACTTCGGCAAGTTCACCGAGTTCGAGATGGGCGGCACCTCACAGCGCATCCCCGATGCGGTTCTCGCTGCAGGCCCCGTTCTGTAAATGAATCCGCGCTGCTGCTAGCGCGGTTGTGCTAATTATTGCGCGGTTTAGAAACGGGAAGTCTGGGTGTGGTGCGGTGGTTGTTGCGAGAGGGATCCAGGGATCCCTTTTTGCGTGTGCTGCGAGGCATGCTTAGCAAAACGTATGTTGCTGTTTTTTGTTCCCTATACCCACTTGTTGGCAATCTACATAAGAGTGCACAAGCAAGTACAAGGATTACTAATATTGCTTGATTTCAGTGCAACATATAATATCCACTTTTGATACACCCTAAACATTGCAATAAAACTAAAGATATGTTAAATGTCTGTTTCTTGACTTGCAATTGGCATGTTAACCATAACTCTTTCCTTTGCAGCATTATTCTAATTTAGAAAATATACATGTGGATTATTTCCCTTCTCCAAATAGGCCACATTTTGGAATGTATAGGTATCAGTCTCAGCTCATAAATTCAAATAACTTTATGCACTTACTGCTATTGGTAAGGTTGCTATTAGAGCGTACTGAGTTTGATTATTGCTTAGTGATGGTTCGCAGAAATTGGAAGCGAGAATGACTGCTCGCTCGTTGGATTAGCACGCGCCGCAGCTCATCCCGTGAGGCTACCCCAAGCTCCGATCGCTCGCGCCACTCGCGGCGCCTCCGCGTCACTCGTAGCGTCTCGCTGCCACAGAGTTCACCGATGGAGTCTTGAGTCGTCGCAAGCAGAGTCTACCATTTCGCGAGCAAAGCGCGCGATGGACGGATTCCGCGGCGCCGTCGACGCAGTGGCGGCGATCCTGCGCCGCGTGCTGCTGCGCGATCCGAGCAACCGCCGCGAGGCGTGCACGTGGCTCGCGGCGCTAATCGGTCGCGTGCAGCTCCCGCCCGCGCTGCGCCGCGCACTCGTCTGCCAGCTGGTGGCGCGCAGCGGATCGCTGGCCGCTGGTGAGGCCGGGGGGAAGGCCGGGGGGGAAGGCCGGGGGGGAAGGCCGGGGGGGAAGGCCGGGGGGGAAGGCCAGGGGGGAAGGCCGGGGGGAAGGCCGGGGGGGAAGGCCGGGGGGAGGCCGGGGGGGGGCCGGGGGGAGGCCGGGGGGAGGTTGACCGCTCTCTCATTCCGCTCTTTTCTCCCCTTCTCCACTTTACCCCACACACTCACTCTTCCCCCATTGCCCCTCCTCCCACACTTCCCCCCTTCCAATACTCCAAATTTGATTGTTTCTTTCCCACTCGCCTCTAACCGCTCTCTCATTCCGCTCGTCCCTCCCCATCTCCCTCCCCTTCCCTTCATTTCTCCCCACACCCCCCTTCCCTCCCATTCCCCCTCTCTCTTCCCTCCTCTCCGAAACCCTTCAAGTCGTCCCCAGGCGCCTCTGACCGCTCGCTGCTGCGCCAGCTGCTGCAACTGCTGTGCGAGGAAAGGCCGAAAGATGCCGCCCAGCTGCTGATGCGTGACCCTGACCTCATCCGCTCGTTCTTTGCCGGTGAGTCAATCAAGTCAATGCGAGCCAAAGCGAGTCAAACCTCCCGTCCCACTCCCTCTCTTCCTATCCCCCCGTCCTTCACCTCGAGCCGCGTCTCATGCCCTATCTCTCTCCACACCTTACCACCTGTCCCCCATCCCTCCCCAACAGCCAATCCTCGTCGCATTCTCCTGTGGTTCGATCACTTCAGCATGGGGCCAAGTCCAAGCAGTCAAGGGAGCAGACGGGGGGAAGAGGGGGAGAGGAGCAGGGAGCAACAGAGACCAAGCGCCTATGCTGCCACTGCCTATGCTGCTGCTGCTGGTTCTGGTTCGGCCCAAACCAAGCTCGCAGGGTCAGCAGCAGCTGGTGACGCTCTGCACCGCGACAGTCCAGGTTCGGGCCGGCTTGTCTTGCCGACCCGCGGTCTGGTTCGGAACCACAGGTTCGGCGCGCAAGCCTTGGCCGAGTTTGCGTTTGCGCACCGGGAGGAGCATTGGCACCGATTGGTGTGGGCAGGGAAGCACGCACAGACTCCTGTTACTGTGGCTGCCCGGCCGCATTATTTCTGTGAGCTGGACATCTCGGGCACCATGAAAAACTTTTTGCGTGAGGTGCCCGAGTTTTGGTCGTCGCACGAGCTTCGGAAATCGCTGGAAGACGGCGCGTTCTTGTCGCTGGATATCGGGTTTTTTGTAGAGGAGTTGATGGGGATGCTTATAAGGGAGATGGATGATGATAGGAGGAGGAGAGAGTGGGAGGAAGGAGTAGAGGAAGTGTTACGCACGGAGAGGAGGGAGGGTGATGGGAGGGACGTGAGGGTGAGGAAGGGGTGGAAAAGGGAGGAGCGAGTGCAGGCGCAAATGCAGATTCAAGAGGAAAGGAGAGGGAGACAAGGAAGAGAGATGGTATATGAGTTGGTGGAAGAATTTATTGCCTCGGTTGACTGGGCTGTGCTGTGCTCTAGGGTGGTGGCTGGTGCGGGTGAAGAGGGGCTGGGGGGTGTTGCTCGGGGGGTGTGGCGATGGGTGCGGGGGAGGAGAGGGGAGGAAGGAGGGGGAGAGGACAGGAGGTGGGATGGGAGGAAGAGAGAGGACGAGAGGGAGAGGGATTGGGGCAACGAAAGGGAGATGGGGAGATTTTGTGAGGGGGATGGGGGTGGGCAGAGTAGGGAAAGGGAGAGAGAACGGGAGAGGGAAAAGGAAAGGGGAAGGAAAACGGGGAGGGAGAGGGAGAGTGAGATGGGAGAGGGGATCGAGCAGGTAGTGACGCGAGGGGGGCTGTTAGAGGAGGTGCTTATCGGGGTGTGCTGGGATGGAGGCGAGGAGAGGAGCAGAGGAGAGCGTGGGGAAAGAAGGGAGGAAAGTAGGAGAGAGAAGGGGACGAGGGAGAGGAGAGAAAAGGACGAGAGGAGGAGCAGCAGGAGGGCAGCAAGAAACGCCAAGGCAGACAGCCCAGACGTCAAGGCAGGCTATCTCACGTCTAGCGATAGTGAAGCGTCTTCTGACGGGGACGGATACTTAGATGAGAGTGAGAGTAAGAGTGAGAGGGAGATTGAGAGCGATAGCGGGAGGGAGAGTGACAGGGAGGGGACACGCATAGGAGGAGGAAAAGGAAGAGGAAGTGAAGGAGGCAGCGGGGAGTCTCACAGGCTGCGGAAGAGGAAGCGAAAGAGGAGGCAGCATAGGAGGGAGAAAAGGAGGAAGGAGGAGGAGCAAGGGGAGGAGGTGGTGGGTGGTGCGGCAGCTTGGAGTGAGAGGGGAGGCCTGTCTGCTCCTTCAGACGACTGGAAGTTGCAACTGGGTCCTCTGAGTGTCGCTTGCAGCACAGTAAGTGTCACACACCTGGATCATGGTTTGTGTCACTTGTAGCACGGTTCCTGTTCCGTGCAACAAATTATGAATGGAAAGTGGATGGGAGGGAAGAAAGAGGGCTGGAAATTTCGGTCACGCAGTCTTGCTTTCAACACTTGCTCAAAAAAATGGTATGTTCTCTGTTGAGAATCTACCTACAAAAAGGAAGCGCTCTAAGAGGGGATTTCTTAAGCTGTGCTATTTTCATCTTCTAGGTGGTGGTGGTTGTTGTTTTAATTCCGCTTTCCCTTGCCATTCTGTTCCCTGGTTCATTTGTGCTGTCAGGGGGAGCTTCCGGATGCCATTGCAGACGGCTTGCTTCGTCTGTACATACATACAGCTCAGCTCATGAGATGATACGATGATGAGACTGATGAGATGATACGCTATTTTGAGTTGGCTCATGCTTCCAGACGCCATTGCGGACGGCTTGCTTCGTCTGTACATACATACAGCTCAGCGCACGATGAGATTTATGAGATAAGATGTTCCCTTTGAGTTGGCTTTAAAGGCACTCCAGAGGGAGCTTCCAGTGTGATATAGTCAGTTTCGACTCATATTTATGCTTAGCGTTAATATTTTATAGCGTTTAAACTTGTGTATGGGAGTTGAAGATTTTTTTTTATTGGTAAATAAATATATGATGAGAATCGTCACTAATAATTGCTCTTATGCTTGTTTGTAGTTGCCACTTTGAAAATGTGATTTGTACCAGACCGGTTTTCAGCGTGTGAACAACGAACTGGCACTACCTGCTATCACGTAACCATCAAGCCACCTCAGGTACACGACTGACACCGTGCTGCGGGGATGACCTGTCAATGCTCCGCGCACCCGTGCGGATTGCTACAATCCCATTCGATTCGTCCGTCCGGTTGGTGTCATCCACCAATCCACAAGTGGCTCGACCAGACGGCTCTTCGGACAATGGCAGCCTGACGCTGTCTTGCGAACTTGTCCGCGACATGTAACCAAGTTGGCAGGATTCGTTGTGAATGTTTTGGATGCTGATTGTCATTCACGTGCGCCTGATGCTCACCGCTTTAGTCCAGAGCAAAGCACGTGAACCAAGGATTTCCTAGCACTCTACAAGTCTAGAAGCTATATTCTGGCCCCAAACCGCTTCCTTAGCTTAGCTGTCAGGAAAGCAAAGGCGGTGATTGCCATAACGTTTGTAGTGCATTTGTAGTTCGAGCCTGGAGAATGTACGCTAGAATGCCGGCATGTCTGGTTTAGCCCGTCGTAACGTCTTTGTGATTATAACCTGCTGGATACCGTTGAGGACAGATCATCTCGAATGTTGGCATGCGCCAGTCAGTCATAATGTAGAGATCCTAGGAATTTGTCCTTTTATTCCAAAGGGCTAGCACGCGCTATCCTAAATCTTAACAGTGTTTGTACTATACTGTACTGGTGTATCGCCGAACAGAATTTAGATCAGCCTGATGCTGTCTCATCGGCGGCCATCGGCGGACGAATGCCGTGCGGCGTGGTTGGCGTTCGGGGTTCGCTAGCGCCGCTCGACCTGGCCTTTGTATTTCGGTAGAGTCGTCCATTCATTTACTCAGTGCTCTCCTCATAGTAGGGATGCGTCAGCATTGACGTCACAGATGTGGCCTTGATGGGTACTACTGTATTTATGTCATGCCTTCAAACACTTTCTCCGCGTATGGAAAATTCCATGCCATAGAAAACATTGGTCGCCGCACGAATGGTCCACATTGTGTTTCCCTTCCATTCATCCCCCCCCCACCCCCCCCGCAACAGTACTACTGCCAAATCCCAAGGCCCTGGACCCTGAACGAGAGGACATAAATCGTGTATGATACATTATCATGATACTGTGGAAGTACAGTATGGGAGCAGCAGCAGCGTCGTCTTCGCAGCCGCGCGGCAGCTTTCGCGATTGCTTTCTCCGACGCTGATCGTCACGTCTGCTACTACTTCTACTTCCAGTGGCGACCGTTTTCTGAATCATTCTTCAGTTGTATCATCCCCTAGCTGCTTACAAGAAAGTCTTCTGTAAGTACTCTGTTATAGTACGGGATTTCTGATCAGTCCTAGGGTACTACTAGACCGTACTACCACTCCGATGGAGCTCCCTAGTAACGTCCCGCTGCCGTTTCTTGACTTGCACTGCTCGTCGGAGTGCGCTGCAGACTGTGACGGAATTTAACATCTCCTGGAAGGCGCAGGAAGCGGCTGCGGGGTTGGAGGTGCAGCAAACCGTGGGAGCAACCGGCATCAGCAGCGGATTATCAGGGGAGCCAGAGGGTGTGAGCAGCAATTATGCCGCTGCTCCATTCCCGGGAGCCTGTGGGTGGGACCCAGCTGGTGTGAGCAGCAGCAATTGCTCTCCATTGCCGGGAGCCTGGACGGACGAACGAATGGTGACGTCCGATCCAACATCATGCTCCCTGCCAGTGATTCCGTGCAGCACGAACAGCATGGCTACGGTCTCGGAGTCAGTGTTCAGTGGTTCGTTGAAGGTGGACGCCTGGCCGGAGCAGGGTGCCTGGCCGGCTGATGTCATGGCGTCGATTTCTGAGTCCGAGTCGCTCGGTGTGGGAGCCATGGCAGGTGTCAGCATCTCACAAGGCGGAGGATACGTCAGCATGCTGACTCAGCCTTCACTGACAGGTCGAAGTTTCATACAGGTGGAGGCAGCAGCTGCTGTTTCAACGCCCACTTTATCCCATGATGAGATCCGTTCGATGGTGATGGCTTCAGCTGAGGCTACATTGCCCATTCATGAGCCGCCTCAACAATGTATGGCACCACCTTCGCCAGCCCATCATCAGATCCATTCTGTGCTGAACACTCCAGCCGCTGCTGCTGCTGCTGCACCTCTTGCTGCATTGCCTGTCACTGTGCGCAGCGCGACTTCTCAGTCTCATTTTCTCCAACAAGAAGCGCCACTGTCACTGAGATCAGCGCAAGCAACACCGACACAATCATCAGGAGGTAGCACGCGAGACAGGTTGCAACTGGGAACCCGAGAGGGAACGCTGTACGACATGATTGTGTTGGAAAGGTTCAAGCGCAAGGGCTCTGCCAGCTGGTGGGGCGATGACTCGATTGCTGAGGCTCCAGCCACACAGCCTTTGAAAAGGCAGTGTTTGGTAGGTGGTAATGAACCGGGTTTCAAAGCCCCTGACAGTGGTTCTAGCGGCTCAGGCTCACTCGCAGCCGGCAGTCGAAGCGACACCGTCGATCTAGATCTGCCCAGGACGAGAGTGCAAGCTCCTAACCCAATCCCTGCCGTTGGATCCGCTTTCAACACCTTTGGCTCTGCTGCTGTGAGCCGTCCAACTGCTGCTGCCACCGAAGGGGAAGCACTGTTGGATCCATTGTTGACATGTTCAGCTCTGCGAGCAACACAAGGGGCAGCTGAGCCAGCACATTCCGCACAGCCAACCCTGAGGGGCCAAGCGGATGGCAACGGGCTGGGCCCAGATCGGCCGCCTATTCAGCGCCGAAGCGCTGCGGAGAAGCTTAGAAGACACCGGATCAGGTAATTACAGCTTCCCGGGAAATCGTTTTAGCCGTGTTCATGGCGATTGGCTTGTCGAAGTTTAACATGGTTGTCTTGTGCCACTGCTGCCTCCCATGTTCTGCAGTGCCGGATTCAAGCGGCTTGAAAAGGCCCTGCCTCCCTCGTGGATGCACCAGCAACACCAGGCAAAGATGTCATCTCGAACTGACATGTCCTCGCTGTTAGATGCTGCGGTGGACTTCATCAAGGATCTAGAGGTGAGAACAAATTGATGTACAAAGAAGCACCTTATTTATTCATTTGTTTATTTGTCATGCATTCCTGACTTTGTTCTGTGAACTACCATATTGTGGTGGTGTACAGGAACGAAAGGCACGACTTGCACAAGCTTACATGCAGCAAGTGTCAGAAACACCATGAATGGCTAGCACAGGACAGCACATTGAATCTTTGTAGGTACAACATAGCTCTGAAAGTGTTGTAGTGTTCCTACTCTTTGTGCTACACATGAATGTATGTTGTCAAGAGAAGGACTTTCTCCCCATGCTCTAAGCAGAACTAACAGTGATTATTTTGTCAAATCATTATGCCATAATATTTAAGGAATCTAAAACTGTCAAAGAGAGTTGTACCGGTAGTAGCTTTCAATACGAGTAAAGCATAATGGAACTCTGATTACTGGCACTCATATAGCGATACGACAGTATCGGAACCAGTGACCTACACATCACCACAATTATTCTCCATTTCCCATCCCCAACTATTTCCTCTTCTGCTACTCTCTCTCGTGTTTACTTCGTAGCGCTCAACCGTCTTTCCTTTCCATCCTTCGTAGGCCAAATGCGGTGCTTTCTGTAGCATGTGCAGTGCGGTCGTTACTTAGGCCTCAGGCGTACTACGCCTAAAAAGTCAGAAGTTACTGTGTGTTAAGTAAAACCGCCGTCGTGCATTCTTGTTGCGGCGTTGTGTGGCTTTGCCCGTCCCGGCAATATTTCGTGAATCGTGCGTGATTCGACTGCAGATGGCTGAACTGAAATGTCGCCGCTGAGCTGGAATGACTTCGCGCTTGTCGCGTCGCGAGTTCCACTAGTACCTCAGAAACAGTATCATGAGGGGGAGCGCATTCTCCAGATTCCAGAACGAGCAACTTCCTTGAGCGGAGAGCAGGACGTACCTGTCGCGGATTTTCGTTTTTGCTGGCAAATACTATAAAGCAAGATCCAATGAACCTGATGCCCGAATATATACGTTTCGGGGTTGGCTTCTGAGTTTGCTAGCAACTGAATCTGCACCAGAGCATCCCGCTCGTTCGACCATGACGCAACAACGGGAATAGGTCCGTGGCCACTAGGTTAGATTCCGCAAGAGTTGATCTTATCCACTCATCGCAGCATCTCGTTCTGCAAGAACCACTCGTTTCTAGGGCTGCTCTTTCCAAGAGAGCCATGAAATTTCCGTGCAGCCTACTGTTGTACCACCCAGTCAAAGCTGAAGATTCGAAGCTTCGAGAAAAAGCAGCACTATTTCCGTCGTCTTCGCAGTCCTCGTCATCCGCCAAACTCGTGAGACTCTGTCAGAACGTTGACGTATGTTGGGTCTACTCAAAGATCGTTTACGTCAGGTACCCCGAGGATTCAGCTTAGTCATATTCCCTCTCGGGTCGTACTACTCGCCGCCTCCTTAGCATTTATTGCACCGCCGAACTCGTAGCACCGTCAGATCGTTGATACGGTGTTATTAGGTGCGTACCTACAGTACTAAACAGAGACTTGGAGAGAACCATGGACATCCCAAACATCGCTTGTACGCGTACAACTTCACTACTTCTTTCATATCCGCTGCCTCATATTGCTAGTTACACATCTCATTACTGAGGTTCAGTGAAACTGGCACTTTCTGGGGTCCATTGTCTGTTGATGCGAGGCGAGAGTCCGTCGAGCCGGTTTCCTGTTGTTGCCACGCGAGAGACTTGGTCGGTTTCCTTTGCTGCTCGGCGGATTTCTTACCTTCTGTCACGCGAATCGCGGATAGCCTCTCTGCTTACTAATACGTGTTTCCTACTACTTCCACCACAGCCATGGAGGTCCCTAGTAGCGTCCCGCTGCCTTATCTTGACTTCCGCTGCTCGTCGGAGTGCGCTGCAGACTGTGACGGGATACACATCTCCTGGAAGGCGCAGGAAACCGGGGGAGCAACTGAAAAGTGCGCTCCAGCTTTGATGAGAGCCTGCGCGGACGTTGTGACGCCCGATGCCACAGATTCGTTGCCAGTGGTTCCGGGCACAGCAAACTGCATGGAGTCAGCCCTCAGTGGTTCAAATCCATATGAGGGCTGGGCGAGCTTTGGCGCGTCGATTCCCGAGTCTAAATTGCTCAATGTGGGAGCGCTGATAGACCCCAGCATGCCACCAGGCAGGGGACATGCCAACATGCTGACTCAGCCCTCGCTAACAGGTCGGATTTTCGCACCAATGACGGCAGCAGCTGCGTCTCCAGAGCCTTTTTCAGCCCATCATAAAAGCCATTCAGTGGTGAGCACTTCAGCTGCTGCTCCTGCTGCATGGCCAGTCGCCTCTCCAAGCGCGACTTCGCATTATCCTCCTGTTCAGAGTCTCGCCCAAGAGGAGCTGCTTCCAGTGAGACGAGTGCAAGCAGCGCTGACACACCCTATCAGTGCAAGAGGAGTCAGGCCTGCTGGACTCCTGGTTACCAGTGAGAACACTCAAGCAACGCAAGGTGGAGGGATGTTTGAAGCGTCTCAAGGAGCGCTGACACATGCGGCAGGAGGCCACACCCACGATGGAACCCTGTTGACTCCCAGAGGGAACACCCTAGCAGCAACGCATGATGGAATGCTGTACGATATGGTTCTGTCGGGAGGGTTCAAGCGCAAGGGCTCGTCCAGCTGGTGTGATGAAGATCTGATTGCGGAGGCCCTGGCCATGCAGCCTCGGATAAGGCAGTGCTTGGTGAGTGAAAGACTGGGTACCAAAAGCCGTGACAGAAGTACGGGTACAGGCTCACTGGATGCAACTGCCAGCGGTGGCAGTTCTCGTATGGTGTCTGGAACTTACCCAATGGCGAGTGCTTGTCTTGTTGATGCGCCTGGTTTCCCCATATCTGTTAAGGCAAGTGAATATGACACCGTCGATTTAGAGCTTCCCAGGATGATAGTGGAAGCTCCTGCACCAATCTCAGCCGTCGAATCCGTTGTGGACATTTCCAGCTCTGCTGCTGTGCTCCTTCCACCTGCTGCTGCTGCTGCTGCTGCTGCTGCTGCTGCTGAATTGGCTTCAAGATTGGCAGCCAAGCCAGCTCAGTTTGCACATCCAACCTGGAGGAACAAGGGTGGCAGTAAAATGATGATGTTGGAGCAGCTGCCTGGTCGCAGCAAAAGCGCCACGGAGAAGCTTAGAAGACACCGTGTCAGGTAAATCCAGTAGCGCTCTAAACTGCTGAGTTATATACCAACACATCTTTTATTTGAGAATCTAACAAGTGTACTGTTTTGTCACTTTTCTTGTTCTGCAGCGACGGATTCAGACGGTTGGCGAAGGCCATCCCTGTGTCGTGGATGCGTCAGAAGAAGCCGAAGAACTTCTCTTCTCGAGCTGACATGGCTTCGTTGTTGCATATCGCGGTGGATTTCATAAAAGATCTGCAGGTGAGCAACAAGGATGAGGCGAACAACCAATACACGATCATATGGATTTTCTATCAATGACAGTTTTATATGTCTGTTCTAAAAATTCGCAGGAGCAGAAAGTTCAACTGTCACGAGCATTCATGCAGCATGTGGGAGCAAGATCCCCGACCGGCACCTAATGTTGCCGAACTCTCGACTCCGCTGGGATCGAAACCAGAATCTCTGGTTCTGTAGACCAGCGCCTTATCCATTGGGCCATGGAGTCACGACATTCGTTTTCTAACCCTTAATAGGTCCTTCGATCTACAAATATTTCATATATGGTAGTGTGCAAGTTATGCCGTTAATTATTCCTAGGTATTACAAACGTGAATGCCTTGTTGAATGCCCCATTGCTTATCACTACATCTTTCATCCTTCTTGAAACCATAGAAATCTCTAATGTCTTTCTAAAAGAAGTCACAGCTACCGTATCCCTAAATGGGCGTGTTCCTTGGAAACGCTCTTGTATCGCGTACGTCCGTGACAGGTAAAGGTGTCAGAAATTCAGCAACCTCCCTCCGTTCCGTTCCGTTCCATTGCCACAGCTTTCTATGGGCCTGGCAGATTCGCTTCGCCTTGCCTTGCCAGTCTCCTTGGTCTTGCTCTCGACTCATCTCCTTCAACGTTCCTTTCCGTCAGCCATGTGTGAATGGATGAGTCGTCGTCTGCTAGTCGCGAGCGAAGCCGTGCGTCAAGCCATGTGACGCTCGTATACGGTAACACTCGCAGCCTCTTTCGTACGCTGCGTCGTAAAGCTCGTTATGAGGATTCTATCTCGTGTATCATGAGGCGATTCTAGACATGTAGACTTGAAAGCAGACTACACTAGGTAGCGTTCTTACTTCCAGCATGGAATTCATCGTTTCTAAGGAATGCTCACCGGGCGACCGGCAGACAGTGGCGTCGCCAAGTCGCCTCGCCGGGTTACCCGTCGCGAACCCCGCGAGCCGTGGCCGGGGTTGCTCTGCGCGATTCCAAGTAGAAGCCTCGGGTCGTTTTTTGCGTTTATGGCGGGTGCGTATCTTCCCGCTGCTCGCCGTACTCGTTTTAGGAGGTTCGTTTGTCGTACAAGGAGCTGCTGTGTCTGAAGCTCTTACTGCGTTTCCATCCTCCTCCGCTTCCGATCATCCAACGGCTCTTTATCGAAATAGCAGTTACACTGTATCTCTCGCTACTGACGCACTCGATAGCAGTACAAAGACTAGACGAAACGAGTATACTAGCAGTGACACGTGGAGGCCAGAGACTGGCCAGCAGACTGCCACCAGGTACATTTTGCCTGGAAGGAGCATTGCCGGTATAGGAAGCAGCGTTAGTTTAATTAGTAACGCTGGTGTGGAAAACGACGGTAGCATAGCGAGGAGCAGGGCTACTATCGCGTACAAGGCGATCAGCTGCGAGGATGATCTTGGCGGGGTGGGCTCTCTGGACGCCACGTGTCAGATCAGCAGCCACGTGTTGGTTCCTGATGGGACGGATGTTTCTGGAAACGGCACGCTGGAGATTCTTGCAGGTGCCAGCCTGGCATGCGGGAAAGCTGGTGGGGAGAGCAACAGTAGCAGCAGGAATGGTGGCAGCAGCAATAGCAGCAGCATTAGCAGCAGCGTTAGCAGCGGCAGTAGCAGCAGCAGTAGCAGCAGCAACAAGAGGACATTTTTTGCCGTCCGAGGACCTTCTCCTGCCGCCCAGCCCGACTGCTCCCTCTCCATTCACATGGCGACAGCTGTCATGCTACGGGAGGGTGCCAGCCTGGCAGCCTGCACGCTATTGGTCGAAACCGGGCGGCTGACTGTGGCGTTTGGGGCGGCAGTAACGGCCAAGGGGCTGGCAGCAAAGGCGCCGGATCAGACAAGTGGGACGCCGACCGATGGGAAGGGGTCGGGCGGCGGGTATGGTGGGCGAGGCGCGTCGTGTAGCGTGAACAGTGCCAGGCAGAGGGGCGTGAACAGTGACAATGCGGGTGGCGGAAGCGGCAGGGGCGGAAGGAACAGTGCCAGGGGGGAGAGCAAGGGCGGAAACGGATTGGGGGCGGAGGCGGAATCATGGGGGGGAGATGCATATGCGTGGTCTACCCTCACTGATCCCTGGAAAACGGGAAGCAAGGGGGGAGCGTTGGGGGAGGCGGATGGGGGGGGTCTTGGGGGAGGGCGAGTGCGCATTGTGGTGCGGGGGGAGGTGGTGGTGGAAGGGCGGATAGACGCGGATGGGGGGGATGCGCGCACTGGCAGCATGGGGAGGCTTGGTGGGGGAGGATCCGGTGGGAGTGTGTTCGTCAATGCCTCTTCCATGTAAGTTAGATCCCCCCATGCCCCTTTCCCCCCCTGCCCTCTTTTCCCCTTCCCCCATTCCTTGCAACCTCCCCCTTTCCTCTTTCGCTTTCGTTCCTCTATAAGCCAACACGTCTTCTTGGTCCCCTCTCTCTCCCTGACCTGTTCCTCCTTTCTCTCCCCACTCCCCTCCCCCACCCCACCAGCCAAGGCACTGGGCGCATCTGCGCGAATGGGGGGAAGGGGCACGGGGGAGGCGCGGGGGGGCGCGTAGCCATCCAATACCAGCCCCCCCCATCCTCCCGCTCCTCCCCCTCCGCCTCTTCTTCCCCATCCTCCTCTCCCTCCTCCTCCGCCCTCTCCCCCACCCTTTCCATCCAAGCCACTGGGGGAACCAGTGAGGCCTGCCCTTATAACGCAGGTTCCGCAGGCACAGTCTTCAACTGGGCAAAACAAACCCTCGTTATAGGAAACTCCAACCAGCCCTCGCACACCTTCACACCGCTCTTCACCGTGCCGCTCTACCCCTACTGGGACGGAATCATAGTGGAGGGGGGGGCCAAAGTCGTTGCCTTGACACGAAACTTCCGCCTCCGAATCCGCTCCTGCGTGTGGTTCCGGGAAGGTTCCAGCGTGCTGTTCGGGAGCAGCACCGGGGGAGGGGGAGGGGGAGGGGGAGGAGGGGGAGATCAGCCGGCGCCATCTCCACCGTTGGATCCGGATGAGGCGGAGGTGGAGGTGGTGGTGGCGAATCTGACGCTCACGAATGCGACTCTGGAGGTGTATGGGACGATCAAGGTGTTTGCCTCGCACTTCAACCTGCACTCGTCCGCCTCTCTGCGCATCCACCAGCTGGCTGCTGCTTCTACTGCTGCTGCTGCTGCTGGCAGGGGTAATCGCCAGAGCAGTGGTGGTGATGGCAGCGGTAGCAGCGGTAACACCGACTGCAGCGGTGGCAGTGAGAGCGACAGCACTAGCAGCAGCAGCAGCAGCAGCAGGAAGCGAGGCAGCAACGGAAGGAAGCGGCACAAGAGCGGATTATCCATGGGGTTTTCAAGCATCGATGGCAACTACCTCTCCCTCATGGTATGGTGTGATTCCTTAGGCGCCTCAAAAGTAGCAGCAGCAGCACAAAGCGAGGCAGCAACAGGCAGAGGCCGCACAACACAGGAGCGGATTATGGATGGGGTTCTCTCAAGCATCGACGGCAACTACCTCTCCCTCACTGTGTGTTCCGTTTCCGTCCGCTCAAGCAACTCAAGCAACGACTGAATCAGACTCAAAAGTAGACTCAGAAGCAAGCAACGTTGTCTGACTCTCGTTCCCGCAACACTCAGTGTAGTTCGGCCCTAGGCAGGCACGTGAGCATGCTTTCGTGTGGCCGCATATACAATACCAGATACTATCCTCCTTCCCCTCTCCTGCAGGGCGGTTCCTCCCTCGTGAGCTCGGGCCACGTGTGGCTGCACGGGCAGAACGAGCTGGCTCTCTATTCTCCTCACTGCCCTCTGAATCCCTGTATCCATCTCCCTTACCCTCTCCTTTTCCCTCAGGGCGGTTCCTCCCTCGTGAGTTCAGGCCACGTGTGGCTGCACGGGCGTAACAAGCTTGCTCTCTTCTCTTCACTCCCCTCTAAACCCCTGTGTCCTGTGCCCCTCCACTCTTCAGGGCGGTTCCTCCCTGGTGAGCTCAGGCCACGTGTGGCTGCACGGGCAGAACGAGCTCGCTCTGGGCGGCAGGAGTCTGCTAGCCGCCAAAAAGCTCCTCATCTCCATGTTCATTGCCGTCCGGGTTCTGGGCGGCAGCCGGATCGCCGCCCCTCTCTCGCACGCCGCCCTGCTCCACCTCCAGTCACTCTCTGAGGGCGGCAGCAGCGAACCAACATTCCTGCTACAGCCGGCATTCTCGCTACAGCCGAGTGTCTCTCTGCTACAGCCACAGCATAGCAGCAGCAGGGCAGCAAGCGGGAGCTGGGGGGACAGCCACCCATTTTCGTCTGTTGACTCTGTGGTGGCGTCACAGTATGGGCGGTTTGCAGTGCAGGCAGGGGACCTGCCATACTGCCACGTGGAGGAGTGTCCATCCAGTGTTGTGCAGCCGAATCATGACTGTAGCAGCGAGGATGAGTCCCCCTTCTCCCTCCACGTGAGTCAAATTCCCGTACTCCTCCTTTTCTCTGCATCCCTTTGTACACTCTTTGGTCCTTTTTCCTGGGTCCTCCCTCCTTCACAAAACTGTTTTGAGACGCCTCGAGCCAGAGAAAGTCGACATCCCTTTTGAGAATTCTCAAAAGTGACTCCCAACCCAAATAGCTGATTTACTGCTGCGGTTCGAATCCAAGTCTTCTTTTGCAAGAGACAAGTCTTAGTGAAAGTCCACATCCCTTTTGAGAATTCTCAAAAGTGACTCCCCAATAGCAGATTCACTGCTGCAGTTCGATTCCTTCCAAGTCTTCTTTTGCAAGTTGACTTTTGCGTCGACTGAAAAGTCTGCTGCGATTCGATTCCTTCCAAGTCTACTTTCGAAAGAGAAAAGTCTCACAGAAAGTCCACATCCCTTGGCTGGCCATCCCCCCTGCTTCCAAACCCATCTGTCCTCTTCTCCTCCATTTGTGCAGGTCTGTCGTTTGGACAGCCTGTATGTGCAAGGGGCGATGGAGGGGGCGTTGGTGCGCATTGATGCCTCCTCCTCACTTGTCATCGACCACGGGGCTTCCATCTCTGCATCGGGCCTTGGTGAGTGGCAGTGAAGGTGCATGGGAGGTGCATGGCAGGCAGGGTACACCCTGTATGTGCAAGGGGCGATGGAGGGGGCACCGGTGCGCATAGATGCCTCCTCCTCTCTGGTCATTGACCACCGAGCCTCCATCTCTGCCTCGGGCCTTGGTGAGTGGCGGTTAAGGTGCATGGCAGGTGCATGGCAGGTGCATGGCAGGTGCATGGCAGGCAGGGTACAGCCTGTACGTGCAAGGAGCAATGGAGGGGGCATTGGTGCGCATAGACCCCTCCTCCTCACTGACCATCGACCACCGAGCCTCTGTCTCTGCCTCCAGAGTCCAGTCCAGCCTTGGTGAGTGGCAGCAGTAGGTTCATGGCAGGTGCATGGGGGAATCTCCAGCTTTCCTTTTCCTCTTCTTCACCTTCTCCGTCCCCCACCGCTCTCTGTTTCCTCTTGAACCTGATCTGCACTCCCCTCCTTGCGCCCCGCTCTCCCTTCAGGTGTCCGCCTGGCCATGTAGTAGGGCATGGCAGGGACGCACCAGCAGGGGGGAGTGGAGGAGGAGGGGGCACGGGGGTAAGAACAGCTTTCTCTTCCTCTCTCTCAATGTGTCCCTTCCATTCTCCCCCCCTTTCCCGAATCGTTCACCTTTCCCACTCTCCCTTCAGGTTGCCTGCCGGGCCATGGCATAGGGCATGGGAGGGACGCACCAGCAGGGGGGAGTGGCGGAGGGGGGCATGGGGGGAAGGGCGGTGCCGGCTATTTTAACGGGTCCCGGGCGGCAGGAGGGGCCGCATACGGACGAACGATGCCGCCCTGTAGTGTTGGAAGTGGTGGAGGGCTGGGGCCTGAGGGTCGGGGGAACAGCGGAGGCGGGCTGATAGGTGGGTGCGGTGATTGGTGGGTGCGCTATGTTAATTTGATAGGTGGATGAGCTGTGCTGATAAGTGGGTGAGTTGGGGTGCTTGTTTGAATAGCTGCATTTACATGCTTGTTTGATGGGCGAGCTGTGCTGCTGCTTATATGAAAGGTGTGCTGTACTGCCTCTCCTCTCTCTTCCCTTCTCCCTTCCCTTCTCGCCTCCCAGTGCTGGGTCCTGTGGCCCGCCTGGAGCTCTGGGGCGGCTCTCTGGCAGCAGAGGGCTCGATTCTCAACACACGCACTGTGAGGGGTGGAGGTGTGGGAGTGGGGACGGGAGGAGGAGGAGTGAGGGGCGGAGAAAGGAGAGTGGGGAGCGGAGGAGCAGGATTGGAGGGCAAGGAAGCGGGAGTGACAGGCGGAAACGAGGAAGTGGGGAGCGGAGGGTTGGGAGGAGGGGCAGGGGGGACAGTAGTGATTCATGCAGCGTACCTGAACATGACTCGAGGCTCTGTGATATCAGCGGCAGGGGGGCAGGGGCATTCCGTGGGAGGGGGCGGAGGGGGCGGGGGGAAGGTGTACTTTGCATGGCAGAACCTGGAACGGACGAGTGGGGATGAGTACACACCACGTGCTACTATTGACGGGAACTGGACTGACGCCATCAAAACAAGGTGAGCTATGCTCATGAGACTAGTAGCACATGGGGGCACTCGGTGGGAGGGGGCGGAGGGGGCGGGGGGAAGGTGTACTTTGCATGGCAAAACCTGGAGCGGACGCGAAGGGATGAGTACAAACCACGTGCTACTATCGAGGGGAACTGCACTAATGCCATTAAAAAAAAAAAAAAAAAAAAAAAAAAAAAAAAAAAAAAAAAATCCCTGACCATACTCCCCACCCCACTGTTGCTGTTCCGATTTCTCCGCTCATCAGTCAGTGGACGTCATGCCAGTGCTGCTATGAGGAGGATTTCGCCCAGCCTTAGATCGACAAGCTACTCAGCCCCTGATTTGCTCCTTCCACTTGCCTTCCCTGTTGTGCTCACCCATCCAGTGGAGGGCAGGGCAGCTACGAGGGGGAGGATTGGGAGGCGGGAGTGACAGGGTCGGCAGACTGCCCACCAGGGCTGGTGGGGCTGCTGTGTGTTGAGTGCTGCCCCCACTGTCGCTCCCCCTCTGATCAGTGCTGCCCCTTCTCTTTCCTCCCGTGCTGTTATGTTGTTGAAACCAGTGGAGGGCAGGGCAGCTATGAAGGGGAGGACGGGGAGGTGGGAGTGACAGGGTCGGCGGATTGCCCACCAGGCCTGGTGGGGCTGCTGTGTGAGGAGTGCCCCGTGGGGACCTTCAAGAGCCAGTCCGGTTCTGACCCCTCTCTCTGCCTGCGCTGCCCGCTGGAGCTGCTGCCACACCACGCTGAATTCACCTATAAGCGAGGTACGTACCTCCTGTGCTGGTGGGGCTTTTGAGTCGACTCAAAAGTCACTTTGTGCAGTAATATGTTGTGGTTCAGCGGATTGCCCACCAGGGTTGGTGGGGCTGCTGTGTGAGGAGTGCCCCATGGGCACTTTCAAGAACCAATCTGGATCTGATCCTTCCCTCTGCCTGCGCTGCCCGCTCGAGCTGCTGCCACACCACGCCGAGTTCACCTACAAGCGCGGTACGTACAGTGCACAGACGTAGGGAGGTTTGGATTTTTCAATGCGCTGATGTATTGTGCTTTTGGGACCCACCGGGGCTGGTCAAGAAATTATTTGAGTCGTTGAATTCGTCTCCCTGCCCTCCTCTCACCCCGTCCCGACTCCCTCCCCTCCCACCAGGTGGTGCCAGCTCTGCCCCCTGCCCCTACCGCTGTCTCTCCTCGCACTTCTCCCTGCCCCACTGCGACACGCCCATGGAAGGGCTCATTCGCGACCTGGGCTCGTCCCACAGGCACCTTTTGTATCCTCACATCCTCTCCCCTTCCGCCCTGCCTGCCCTTCCTCTGATGCCGTCCCTCCCGCCAGGCGGTGCCAGTGCTGCTCCCTGCCCCTACCGCTGTCTCTCCTCGCACTCCTCCCTGCCCCACTGCGACACTCCCATGGAGGGACTAATCCGCGACCTGGGCGGGCCCTGGGTGTTCGCCCTGGCCTGCACGCTCTCCGTGCTGCTGCTTGGGTTCGCCATCACTCTCGCCCGCGCCAGGCTGCTGCTGGCAGGGGACGACCTGGCGCAGCCGCAGACGAGGGACTCTGATGTGTCCTCGCACATGGACCACTCCCTTCCTTTTCTAGAGTCTCTGAACGAGGTGCGTGGGTGCTGCAGGGGGTGGGGAGAAGCAGTGTTCCTAGGTGTTTGCTTCACGACCTGGGCGGGCCCTGGGTGTTCGCCCTGGCCTGCACGCTCTCCGTGCTGCTGCTTGGGTTTGCCATCACCCTCGCCCGCGCCAGGCTGCTGCTGGCAGGGGACGACCTGGCGCAGCCACAGACGAGGGACTCTGATGTGTCGTCACACATGGACCACTCGCTGCCGTTCCTAGAGTCCCTCAATGAGGTACGTAGTGGGTAGAAGGATGGGGTCTGTCTGTCATGCATGACCCTCGCCCGTGCCAAGCTGCTGCTGGCAGGGGACGAGCGGGCCCAGCCGCAGACGAGGGACTCGGACGTGTCGAGTGTTTTTTGAGAATTCTCAAAACAGCACAATGAGGGGCTCACCACTCGCTGCCGTTCCTCTAGTCTCTCAATGAGGTACGTGCTGCTTGGGAAAGCACTTGGTGCGTGCAAGGCAGCTCTCAGTGCTGCTACTGGGGTTTGCTATAATTACCCTCTCGCTCGCGCCAAGCTGCTGCTGGCAGCTTACCCACCCTCTGTCCGTTCCCCGCCCCCGCCCGCGCATGCAACCACACACACACTTACTAACTTAGATGACGGAGAACACGAGGGTGAAAGAGGCAGCGTCACACATTCACCGGGTCTCCTTCTGCGAATTAGAGTTGTCACTGCAACGAACGTGCTCACCCTCTTAACCTCTCTTCGCCCCTCCCACACACTCTCCCTCTCCCCCCATGTGATGGGGGAAGCAGCCTCTGTGGAGTCAACTCCTGGTGGCCGTGCGAGGCTGCTTCCTCACACCTGGAGGAAGCAGCAGGTGAAGACCAGCTCCTCACACCATCAGCCTCGCATGTCCACCGGGTGTTCTTCTGTGGAGACAACTCCTTCTTGCACCCGCTGCACCTCCCCCACTCCCCACCATCCCCACCCAGTCTCCGTTCTTGTCTATGAAGACATGCAGAACTGCCTCGTAGACCAAGTGAATGCTGCTGAAAGGAACTTGCACACTGTACACCCTCTTTACCTCTCTTCCCCCCAACCACACTCTCTCCCCATCAGGTGATGGAGAACACAAGGGTGGAGGAAGCAGCCTCACACGTCCACCGGGTCTTCTTCTGTGGAGACAACTCCTTCTCACACCCGCTGCACCTCCCACACTCCCCGCCCCGCGCCATCTCCGATCTCGTATACGAAGACTCATACAACCGTCTGGTTGACGAGGTTAACGCGATTGCGTGCTTCCGGTGGTGGGAGGGGTGTGTGCACTCGCTGCTGGCGCTGCTCGCGCTGCCCTTTGCGTGGTCGTGGCAGCAGTGGCGGCGCCGCCTCGTGGTGCAGCGGCTGAGGGAGTTTGTTCACACGCGATATGACCACTCCTGCCTGCGCTCCTGCCGCTCCCGCGCCCTCTATGAGGGACTCAAGGTGAGCGCTCGCATCACATGTGGCTTTTGAGTCGACTCTGAAGTCACGTCATGCAGCGGCTGAGGGAGTTTGTTCACTCGTGCTACGACCACTCCTGCATGCGCTCCTGCCGCTCTCGCGCCCTGTACGAAGGGCTCAAGGTGAGCGCTCACTCACAGATTCACTTGAAATAGAAGAAGAAGAGAAAAGCAATGGCCAATGCCATTGCATGCTTGCGGCGACTCAAAAGTCCTCTTTTACTTGAACCCCTCTGGTACCTCCAGATACGACCTCCCCCAGGTGTCAGCTACCCCGGACCTGGTCCTGGGCTACTTCTAAGGCATCTCAAATTTCTCGTTCCCTTGAATCCCCCCCCCTCATACCTCGTGGATACGACCTCCCCCAGGTGTCAGCTACCCCGGACCTGGTCCTCGGCTACATGGACGTGTTTCTGGGCGGCGACGAGATGGCCACGCACATGCCGCCGAGCTTCGCCGACCGCCTGCCGCTGCTGCTGGTGCTGGGCGGCAACGGGTCGTACATGGCGCCGTACCATCTCTTTACAGACGACCTCCTCACCAACATCATCTCCCAGGTGTGCTCTCAGGTGTCTTTTCAGGTGTGTTCTCAGGTGTCTTCTCAGGTGTGTTCATCTCGGGTCGTACATGGCGCCGTACCATCTCTTCACAGACGATCTCCTTACGAACATCAACTCCCGGGTGTGTTCTCAGGTGTCTTTTCAGGTGTGTTCTCAGGTGTCTTCTCAGGTGTGTTCATCTCGGGTCGTACATGGCGCCGTACCATCTCTTCACAGACGATCTCCTTACGAACATCAACTCCCGGGTGTGTTCTCAGGTGTCTTTTCAGGTGTGTTCTCAGGTGTCTTCTCAGGTGTGTTCATCTCGGGTCGTACATGGCGCCGTACCATCTCTTCACAGATGATCTCCTTACGAACATCAACTCCCGGGTGTGTTCTCAGGTGTCTTTTCGGGTGTGTTCTCAGGTGTCTATTCAGGTATGTTCTCAGGTTTCTGCTCAAGTGTGTTTTTGACGGGTCGCGCTTGGCATCGTACCATCTCTTTACAAATGACCTCCTCACCAACATCATCTCCCAGGTGTGTTCACAAGTTAGGTGTTCTCTCAGATCAGGTGTTTTCTCAGGTCAGGTGTGTTTCATGTCAGTGTATGTTGTCATGGCAGATGTGTTTTGGATGTCTTTTGCCTCCTTTGCTCTGAATCAGGTCGAACCCCATCTTCCCCTTCCCCACTCCATCCCATGCCATCTCATCCCCATCCAGGCCATCCCCCCCAACAGTGTGGTACCGCCTGGTAGCGGGGCTCAACGCCCATCTGCGCACCGTCACTCATGGCTCGCTGCGGCAGTCATTGAAACCCCTGCCCACCCTCATGCCCCCACTCCTGCCAACCCATCCCAGGCCATCCCCCCCACGGTATGGTACCGCCTGGTGGCGGGGCTGAATGCGCATCTGCGCACCGTCACCCACGGCACCCTGCAGCATGGTTGTGTGCATTCATGTTGCTCTCCTCCTCCCCTCCTTCCCACCCTCATGCCCCCACACGCCATCCCAGGCCATCCCCCCCACGGTGTGGTACCGTCTGGTAGCCGGGCTGAACGTGCATCTGCGCACCGTCACTCACGGCGCCCTGCAGCGATCGCTCAAGCCCCTGCTGCGCTGGCTGTGCACGCACGTCAACCCGTCGCTGGAAGCCCATGGCGTGTCCGCACATCTGGCATGGCTGCAGGTACGTGCTACTTGCTCCGCTCCTCATCGCTGTCTCGTCCTCTTCTCACATAGACTGCAGTCGCTCAAGCCTCAAGCCCGTGCTGCACTGGCTCTGCACGCACGTCAACCCCACACTGGAAGCCCATGGCGTATCCGCACACCTGGCCTGGCTGCAGGTGCGCCCCTGGTGGCTGCAGGTGCGCTGTTTCTGTCACCCTTGTCTTGTATTCTAACATACACTGCAGTCGCTCACACCCCTCCTGCGTCGGCTCTGCACGCACGTCAATCCGTCGCTGGAAGCCCATGGCGTATCAGCACACCTGGCCTGGCTGCAGGTACGTGCTACTTGCTCCACTCCTCATCCTTGTCTTGTCTTCTTACATAGACCACAGTCGCTCCACCAGCCCCTGCTGCGCTGGCTCTGCACGCACGTCAACCCCTCGCTGGAAGCCCATGGCGTGTCAGCACACCTGGCCTGGCTGCAGGTGCGCTGCCCTTCTCCTCGTAACCTACTCTCTGTACCTGCACTGCAGTCGCTGCTATGTGAAGTCATTTCTTCCCCATTGCCCCTCCCTCCCTCTCCCCCGCTTCCTTCACCCACCCATCGTCCACAGCCCACATCAGCCAGCATAATCCAGCTCGCTCTGTGTCTCGACCACCCAGAAAGCAATGATCGCTGCAGTGCTTACCTCCCCTCCTTCCCCTCCCCTCTCCCCTCTCTCTGTTCATTCAACGTCCACAGCCAACATCAGCCAGCATAATCCAGCTCGCTCTGTGTCTCGACCACCCCGAGAGCACCGATCACTGCAATGATTACCTCCCCGCTGCTGCTGCTGCCGACCCTGCCAGCCCCTTTTCCGCTCCGAACCTCACCTCCTTCGCTTCGGCAGCCGCGCCGAACCTGGCCGGCTTCGGCAGCAGCTTTGGCAGCAGCTTTGGGAGCAGTCGGTTGGGTGGGTTCGGTGGGTTAGACACAGGATTGGGCAGGGCGGGAGAGAGGCTGAGACCTGGAGGCTCTGTTTCTGCATTGTCATCTCCTCGCACTGCCACTCGTCCCCATTCCGCTCTTCCTCCTCCTGCTGCTCTTCCCTCCTCTGCCTTTGCTCCTGTCTCGTTGCTTTCCTCGCACGCTCGGGCCTTGTCGGAGGTCCCTGCCTTCTCCCGCACTGTCTCCTCGCTCTCGCATCAACTCACCCCACACCAACACAACTCGCAGCGGCAGCAGCAGCAGCAGCAGCAGCAGCAGCAGCGGCAGCGGTGGGATCAAAGCATCTCCCCGTCCTCGCTTCTCTCAAACCCCTACCTTAATCCCTCCTCCACTTCCTCTCTCTACACCCCATACTCGTTAACAGCCACCCCCACCTCCTCCACCACACACCCCTACTCCACCACCTCCCCCTCCCCCCTCCCCATGACCCTACCCTCCCAACTCGACGCTCTCCTTCTCTTACGAGACGCCTCCACCCAACCAGCTGTCGCCACATCAGCAGCCGCGTCCACTCGTTACCTGCCAGCTGGCGGCTTCAGCGGCTACAGTGGCGGTGGTTACTCAGGCAGGGCTGGGAGCGGTGGTGTCACTCCTGGTGGCCGTTCCCCCCCTACAGTCACAAGAGATAGAGTCACAGGAAACAGATTCTCGGGAGAGAGGGTGAGAGGAGGTGGTTTGGGTGGGTATGGTGGTGTGAGCACTCCTCCCTATCAGTCCCCCCATCCTCCTCCTCCTCTTCCTTCTCCTCACCTTTCTCACACCGCTTTGCGCCCACGCCCTTTGTCAGCACTGGGTGGGGAGGGCGCTGGTAGACTTTACTCCCAGAGTTCCTTGCAAGAGCAGCAGCAAAGGAAGCAAGAAGCTCTGAGTGTTGGGTTGCCGGCTCGGGGACTATCAGTCAAACTCCCCTCCCAGCAGCAGCAGCAGCAGCAGCAGCAGTCAGGAGGGGAGCGAAGCCCCTCCCTTGCATCCCTCCCCCCTCTCTCCCCTCATATGTTCGAACACCGACCCTCCCTCTCGCACCTCCCCTCTGCCGAACCTACCCCCGGACCTGCTGGCTCGGCTCACTTCACTCCCAGGTTCGACACAGGCTCGGGCAGTGGTCTGGCACGAAGCATCCACGGCTCGATCCCTGAGAATCTCTCTTTGCTAGGTGACAAGGATGCAAGACGAGGCGGCGAGAGGAGGGAAGTGGAGCGGCAAGTTTCGTCTGTTTCTGCGGGGCTGCTGTGGCAGGCGGCAGGGGGGCGGGTGGGGAAGAGGCAGCAGGGGGGGTTGATAGATGCACAGGTGCTGCAACGGCTGGATGGGGGCAGAGGGCTGTGCTTGCCTGCCTGTGGCCTGCTGCTGCGAAATACTCTGCCTGTGGGCCACGATGTGAGTCGTTCCCTTCCATCCGGTTCCTGGCTGTGGGCTGCTTCTGCTGTTGTATTTTTCTTTCTTCCTTTCCGTTCCGTTGCTGTACTGCTTTGTGTGCATGGTGTGACTTCTCTGGACGGTTTTTTACTTTTCTTGTTTTCTGCTGACCTTTACCGATTTGTGAAACTTTTGAAACCTACGTCTTCTCTTCGCTTACTATCTCTCCGCCTTCTCGCCCCTCCCTTTCTACCCCTCCCGCCCCCCTTTCTCCGTTATGCAGGCAGCAGTGGGGCTGGCAATGTCAATGCTCCTCCTGGCGGACCTCTGTCTCTTCCTCCTCTGCCTACTGCAATCCTACAGCACCTCCCTCCTCGCCTTTGCCCTCATGCTCTTCATCCTGCCGCTCGCACCGCTCTTCTCAGCAGCAGCGGGGCTCAACGCCCTCTTTGCCCACGGGGCGAGGGGCGGGGCGGGGCTGGGGAGGGTCTATGGGCTTTGGAACGTCACCTCCCTTGCCAACGGGGTGAGTGGGGGTTAGGGTTAGGGTTCAGGGGCTAGGGTTTAAGCCCTCATGCTCTTCATCCTGCCGCTCGCACCGCTCTTCTCAGCAGCAGCGGGGCTCAACGCCCTCTTTGCCCATGGGGCGAGGGGCGGAGCGGGGCTGGGGAGGGTGTATGGGCTCTGGAACGTCACTTCCCTTGCCAACGGGGTGGGTAAGGGTCAGGGTTCAGGGTCTAGGGCTCAAACTCTCATGCTAATCGACCTGCCAATGAGCTAGGGAATGGGTTTGGGTCTACAATGTTAGGGGGGTTTATAGAGGGATGGCATGACTAGAAGAGAATGGAATAACCAGAAACTTTTCAATGCCTATTGCTTTTTTTTGCTGTTTTTGCATCCCACACAGCCTACCTCCCCCTTTGTTCACTCCATGATTTTAGTTTACTTCCAACTTTTTCACTCCTTCCACTCATTCGCCGCTTTTCTTTTCCAACCGTTCTTCTCCACTCCCCCCTTTTCCACTCTCTTGGTTATTACTCCCTTCTTTTCCACTCGCTTTTCAGGTGGTTGCTGTGACCCTGGGCGTGTTTCATGTGTGGCAAACTTACAAGGGCACTCCTTCAGGTGCTCCTCCCAGGTGAGAACAACAGAGCCAGTTGAATTGTCGATTTTTTTAATCTAAAGCGACTTACAAAAGAAGATGGAGATCTTACCGAACGATTCTGCAAATCCCTCTTTGAATCACATGCGGTACTGTGATGCTCCCCCTCCCTTGACTTTCCCAGCTCAAAGAGTCAGCAGCATCAGGGAAATTCACGTTGCTGCCATTTCCAGAAGGCCTTCCCGTTCTTGCTCCCTGCCACCCCCCTTTACCACTCACTCGTCTTTCCCTCTCCACCCTTCAGGGAGTAGCAGCAACAGAGGAGTTCACGTGTTTTCTCTCCCACCCGGTCCAAAGTGATTGCTTTTTCCGATACTGCTCCCTGCCTCCCCCTCCTCCCTCCCCCTTCTCTCATCTTCCGCCCCTTCAGGGAATCAGCAGCAACAGAGGAGTTCACGTGGTTGCTATTCCCAGCCATGTTCGTGGCCTGCAAGCTTGCTCAAGCACGAGTCATAGACCGCCACGTGGCAAATCTGGAGATTCAGGATCGCACCCTGCTGGCTGAGGACCCGACTGTCTTCTGGGAGGCGTAAGAAGGAGCTTCAAAGGGGGTTTTTGTGTACAGTGTGTGTACTCACCCGTTGATGTCTATGATAAGTGGGTTGGGTTGGGTTACTCCAGTGTACAAGATGCTGGCTTGCAACGTGATTAAGTTTCTAATCGATAATGGCTTGTGATAAGGTGCTTCGTCATGGAATAATGATTCTGCATATGAAATGTCACCAAGACGCTGCAAAAATTGTGCGGAAAAGCAACTACCCTTAAAGGATGAGCGGGTGGGATCTACGACACCACACTGCACCACACTTTATCAATAGCTTGGTTGTTTTCATGCCGTACCATTGAAACCTGAATGTGGGGCAGCCTTGGTGGGTCCAGGCGTAGACAATACCGTAATAATAAAAGAGAACTACCGTACTTCCACATGGAAACCGGGAATCTTGTAGTAGTTCAAGAGATTGACTGACTAGGCCTGTCCATGTTAGATAATGCACAAGGTACACCAATGACTTTTACTCGTGTATGTGTACTCCGTTCCCATCCCATACCAGGTCGTCTCGACTCAACGTGCCATCAGATTCCTCGTTGTTTGGTTTGGCCCACACCCCCAGGTGGTGTCCTCCCCCTCCCCCTTCTTCATACCTCCTCTCCCCCTTCCCCTTCCCTCTCCCCCTTCCCTTCTCCTCCCCCCCACTCCGCTCCAGCATTCGCAGCTCCTCCCATCCTCCCCATCCCACCCATCCCATCATCCGCCGCCATCACCCTCCAGCTCACGTCCTCCATCCGTCATCCCCGCGCACGCGCGCCATTAGGGCCAATTAGAATCTCCCACGACAAACCCTAGAGTCTAGAATGCAGTTTAGGTTGCTGCTTTACCAAGTTCCGATTCTTGGTCACATTGATTGAGCTTCGATTTGCTTGGCAAGAGCTTGGATTCGCTCGCACACCTTGCTCCGCTGGAAGAGCAGTGAGCGTCAGGCCCGCCCAACTGCGTGGTTGAAGGGAGCATCTCGTGCCCTGCACTGAGAAGTTTCACTAGTTTCACTGCATAGAAACGGTATTTGCTACCCACTTTCGTTCTACAGAAGCAGCAACGCTGCATTTGCCATAGGGTGACCGAGATCGGCGGCAAAGTCGTAGAACAGAACGGCGGCATCCGTCGTCGTCACGAGTTGGGGATTCGCACGTGCAGCACGTTTAGCTTAGTGATTGACTCGCAAGCTGATACTTTTTGTCCTGCGAGGCCCTTCGCAGAACATTCGGGCGGCTCGCCATGCCACATGGCCACTGGCCACCTGTGATAAAAGTGAGGGATCGTGCGTGGCGAGGCGAACACCGTCACTACTTGGCTGCGGACTTTGTCAAACTGTTTCGAGGCGTCTTGAAACGAGGGCAGCATCGATGCTGCCAAGATCAGATTGTACTAATAATTCTTTCTTGGATGCCTCACATCCCCTGCTTTCCGTTCCGCCAACCAGCTTTACTCTGGCGTACAAATGTCCAAGCTTGGAGTGTCCGCCTCCACTAGAGGCGTCTGATATCTCGATATTTTAGATTACAGGAGCACGCGTGTTTGGAATGCTTCTTAGCTCTGGCTGCAACGCTGCCACGCAACTGCCACGCAACGATTCGGGGGACACTGAATCAGATACGCAGGGCCGCTGTTCAAACCCATTAGTGGCACCACAGAGGGTGTTCCAGGATGGCAATGAAGCATTTGTTCTCTTCGAGTTCCTAAACTAGCTGTCGCAATCCTTTTAGATCTCAAGCCTCCCTGATTAGAATCGAGCTGACATTTGAGTCGACTCGAAAGTCTTTTCTTTCCAGTTCTCAAGCTAGCTGTCGCAGCCCTTTCAGATCTCACCATCCTGATTCAAATCAGACGATATTCTCCGGGTCTAGAACGTCTTAACAAGCCCCTTTCTCAAGAAACTCTACGGACGGCCCTTTTACTGCTACGCTTTTCTGCTCTTCTCTATTGCACTTCACTACTGCATTCCACTAGCACGCAATGACTGACTTACCAAGGCACCTAACGCCCACGTGGGAAGACAATTTGGATCTCTACCTTCGGTCTGTTTCAGCGCTCGAGCACCGCCAGCACGAGCAACATCAATACGAGCAACAGCAACATCGATTCGAGCACGAGCAACCCCATGAACCACATGGACAGGAGCAACACGAACCACATCTGAGCCAGCAGAAGCACCATGAGGAACATCCAAACGACCAGCAGCAGCCCCAGCAGCAGCCCCAGCAGCCCCAGCAGCCGCCGCCGCCGCCGCCGCCATTGCTGACGCCGAACCCTTCCTCTCCCCTCGGCGGCACCATTTCTGAGAAGGCAAGTCCAGCATGTGAGGCGTTCAGAAGTCGCCTCCACTGCTGACAGATCCTACCTCTTCCCTAGGTAGCACCATTGCTGCGGAGGGGGCCCTGTTGGAGTCTGCGTCTCGGCACCAATCGTTCCCTGCAGCCGTAATGCCAACATTTTCAAAGGTTATGGGTTTCTCTACTGCGGCCATCTTGAGTTGCACGTCTGACGCGCTTGCATCCTGGTCTGATTCGTTCCCTGCTGAAGCATCAGCGCAGCCCAAGCATTTGGAATCTACAGATATCCCCGCGAGGGGTACAACTGGTTTGCACGCGTCCTGGTCTGGTGCTTTCCCTGCTGCAGCAGCACAATGCAAGGCAATGGAATTCGCTGACACCATCATGAGGGATCCATCTGATTCCTGCCCTGCTGCTGCAATGGCAGTGCAGCTCAAGGGTTCGGAACCATCTGCTGCCGCCACTTCAAGTTCTACATCTGGCGCGCTTGCATCGTCGTTAGATTCCTTCCCTGCTCCAGCAATGCAGGCTAGAGCTTTGGAACCTGCTGGTGCCGCCGACTCTTCAGACCCGGTGCAAGCATGGGTTTCCGAGATCTACTCCGAGTCGACTCCAGACACACCAACGCATCCCAAGGTTCTGCAACCGGCTACTGGGAAGCAACCAAGACCGCTTTCAAGGGTGCCAGCGGCAGGGTTTGACAAGCTGATGATGAAGCCCCCTGTATCCGTGATGCAAAGGAACGCTCTCAACCGCTTGGAACCCACTACTTCCACTGAGCTGTCACCTGGGGAGAAGCAAGGTTTGGCCAAGCTGATGAAGGCCCCTGTGTCCGTGACACAGAGGAACGTGCCCAAGCGCTTGGAAACTACTACTACCGGACCACCGCTTTCTGCGCCCAAGAAATATATGAATGTTGAGACGTCTCAAGATATGACTCGGGGTAATGCTTCTCAGGGAGGCAAGAGACTCGTGGAGCAGTCGTCACGTGACGGAAAATCACATGGCAGCAGGTCATCATATGACAAGTCATCATGTGACAAGTCATCATGTGACAAGTCATCATATGACAAGTCAACATGTGACAATTCATCATACACTCCCACGGGAGACTGGCTGGTAGATAGCTTCATGCGGGCAAGGGCTTTTGCCTTCTCCCAGCCGCACTTTCTTCCCAAGGGCCATGCTGCTGCTCAAGCTATTCCTCCTGCTCCTGCTGCGGTCCCTTCTGGTCCCGCTGCTGCCTCTGCTCCAGCAGCCATAGCAGCAGCAACCAGAGGTGCTGCTACCAGCAGTGCCTTTGGCTCCTGCCTTTCGACCTGGGCCCAAGCGACCATGCTGCCACTCAGAGCTTCACACGGCGGCAGAGGCTCAACAATCACAGCGCCAGGCACAAGTGGTCCCGGTTTGAAACGCTACAAGACTCCTGGTGTTGTAGCTGCAGCCACAAGCGACCCTGTTTTGACGCACCTTAAATCTCTTGGCGTTGGTGCCACAGGCACAAGTGGCCCTGGTTTGGAACGTTTCAAGACTCCTGGCATCGATGCAGCTGCAGCCACAAGCGACCCTGTTTTGACTCGCCGGAAAACTGCTGGTGTTCCAGTCGCATGCGTACGTGACCCTGATACGGGACGGTTCAAGCCTCTGGGTGTTGCAGCAGCAGCAGCAGCAGCAGGAGCAGCAGCAGCAGCCTCAAGCGACCCTATATCTAGAGGTCACAACAACAGCAACGGGTATGAGATTACCAGCTGCTTCAAGCGGCCGCGGCTGAGTGCCGCGGGTGCAGCAAAGCGCAGCAGCATGAACAGCACGTTAGGCATGACTGGCAGCAGGTCCGGCACGACCGACAGGTCCGGCGCGCCCAGCAGGTCCGGCACAGCCAGCACATCCACGTTCGGCAACAGCCCATTCGGCGTGAGTGGCATGTTCGGCACGTCCGGTACAAGACTGGTTTGAAGGATGCCACTGTGCAGTGGTTTTGTGTGCTCTCGAATCTTTAGGGACAGCTCACCATGCCATCTAGGCATGTCCTTTCATGCCATAAGCTACGGTATTATGTGCTTTGATGACCATATTGTACCGTATGTAACGTAAGTATTTATGACACTGTCTGCATAGCCTACTATTGTGTACACTGTTACATACCAGCGAGTGAAGTTACAGCAAAGAACCAGTGTTTGAAAAGGCAAACCAAATAAGCCAGCATAAAAAAACGCAAAAGACAAGTCAAAGGAAAACAAACAAGAACGAAGAAGTCAACCCAACTGTCACGCCAGTTCACTTCCTGGTCTCTATCCCAGTCACTGGGCTCACTTCCTTGGCGTTGCGACACATCTGAATCAAATTTGAAGTCGACGAGAAAGCTTCGCCATGCGTTACCTTAAAGTCGACTCAGAGGTAACTGTTCAGCAGCCACGACTCTCCTGGGTCTCTACCCCCTCATTGGGTTCACCCCCTTGCGGGGCTGTTGATTTTAGTCGACTTGAGCATCGGTATTCAGCAGCCGACGCTCTCCCTGGTATCTACCCCTGTCACTGGGTTCACCCCCTCGAGAATCACTGTTCAGCAGCCGAGGCTCTCCCTGGTTTCTATCTACCCCTGTCACTGGGTTCACCCCCTTGCAGCACATTTCAGTCAACTCAAGACTCACTGTTCAGCAGCCAAGGCTCTCCCTGGTTTCTACCCTGGTCACTGGGTTCACCCCCTTGGCTTTGCGGCACATCAGTCGCCTTTGGGCGTTGTCCACTATGGCGTCTGTGAAATCTGCTCCAGTCACATCAGCGCCTGCAGGAGACGAGCAGCCAAGCAGAGGGTGATGATGGGAGGGCAAGGGAAGGGAGGTGGCACATCAGCCGCCTTTGAGCATTGTCCACGATGGCGTCTGTGAAATCTGCTCCAGTCACATCAGCACCTGCAGTAGATGAGCATGTGAGCAGAGAGAGGTGGAGGGAGAGCAAGGGAACGGAGGTGACACATCAGCCGCCTGAGAAAAGAGAAAGAGAGATACCGTCAGCGATGATCGGCGGCGCTGCAACGCGGGCAATCCGTGGGTTACATGACGAATTGCAACCTGGCGGCCCAGGTGGAGAACATTTTTGAGGCGCCTAAAAAATAGACCCACTTGTGGGCGCCCCGGGCGAGGATATGTCCCTTGGGGACTGCCTCGCCATTTTCGAGCCCGCTTTGGAGCTCCCCTAGAGTGGGCAGTGACTTGTTGTTGCTTTTTGTGGGTAAGAGAGATGCGAAGTTTGCAGTAGGACAGAACATGCATGTCTGTAACTTTCTGGAAACTAATGCACGGACCATTTGAGAGAAGCAAAGCGGGAGCTTACCGTCAAACTGCGATCCAGAGAGAATGGCGTTGGTAAAGTTTTTAGGCGCTATAAACATAGCCTCACTACAAGCAAAGCGGGAGCTCACCATCAAACTGCGATCCAGAGAGAATGGCATTGGTAAAGTTTGCTGCACAAGGGGGTAATGGATCGACGAGAATGAGAAAGCATGTAACGCGTTGGAGTTGGACCAAGGAGCAGCAGCGGTAATGGATGGATGGAAATCAAAGGGGGCCTCAAAAATAGAAAAGCACAGGGGTGGGGAGGAGGGAGTGGGGGGGGGGAGGACTACGACTTTGAGGCGGCGGAGAGTAGAGTTTGTTTTGCAGAAAGCAGGAGTAGGCGGAATGTGAACGAGCACAGAATGACAAGGTGCAAGAAGAGAGTACCGTTGCGAAGGTTGGCCCCTCTGAAAACAACGCGGTCAGCAAGAGCACGCTCCCTGCCGCAAAGGTAGGTGGAGTGGAGAGGTTGGGGGTGATGTGTTGGGAAAGAAGGGGTCGAGATACATTAGAGATTGGCCTTTTTGAGAGGTCGGCAAGAGCATGCTCCATGCAGCAAAGGGAGGTTGGGAGCGGAGGTGGGGCAGGAAGGTGGGAAGGAGGGGAGGTGGGGAGGAGAGGTGGGGAGGGGAGATGGGGAAGGAAGGTGGGAAAGTCGGAAGGGGAGGTGGGAAGGTCGGAAGGGGAGGTGGGAGGTGAGTCAGAGGGGAAAAGGTAGGGTTCAGAAAGTGCAGCAACTGGTATAGAAAGGAAAGAACATCAGGCGCTCACCAGTTGGTGTTCTCCACGTTGGCGAGCTCAAAGCCCGCAAAGGTGCCGGTGCTCTTGCAACGCCTCGCAAATTGACTCGAATGGCCAAATGAAGCACACAGCAGGCACGCAGCAAGCACACGCGGTCTCAAGGCCCCACGGCCGCTCACCAGTTGGTTTTCCCCAGGTTGGCAAGATCAAAGGCAGCAAAGGTGTCGGTGCTCTTGAGGCGCCTCGCAAGTTGTCTAGCTTGCTGAGTCGAGCACACAGCAAGAGCAAACACTCTCAAGCCACGCGCTCACCAGTTGGTGTTCTCGAGGTTGGCGAGCTCAAAGCCTGCAAAGGTGTCGGTGCTTTTGAGGTGCCTCAAGTTGTCTTAAGTTGCTTTCGAGGGCCCATAGCCGCTCACCAGTTGGTGTTCTCGAGATTAGCTAGCTCAAAGCCGGCAAAGGTGTCGGTGCTGCCAGCGAGGTTGGACCCGCTGAGGTTGATCAGCCGGCAGTCGCACGCTGGGGTGGTGATGGGGGGTTGAGGGTTGAGAAGGGGACGAGGGATGGGGAGGGGACAGGAGCAAGGGAGGTGACAGGAGTCAGTCTAAGCCATGGGCTCTGACCCGCTCAAGTTGATTAGCCGGCAGTCGCACGCTGGGTTGGTTAAATGATTGGCAACATAAGGAATGGGGGAATGGGGGAGTGGGAAATAAAGGGAATGAGGGACTGGGGGAATTGGAGAATGTGGGACAGGGGGAATGGGGGAACTCGAGGAATGGGGGAACTCGAGGAATGGAGGGAATGGGGGCAACGCAGAAGTGGGCAATTCGGGGACTGGGGGAATGGGGTAATGGGGGGTATGCAGCTTAGAAACACCAATGAAAAACATCAGAGATCCCCCCAGCTCCCATCATCACCCCCCTCCCCCCTCTCCCCCCCCCACTCTCCCACTGATATCCTATCCCTGTTCCTCCATCCCCTTCCCCTCCCGCAACCCTCCCCTTCCCCTCACCCTGTTTCTCCCCTCACCAGCAAATATGGATCGGTAAAGGTCCTGATTAGACATGTCCGCGCCGCGTAGGTAAGCGTGGTTGTAGGTCTGGGGGAAAGGGGGCAGGGGAGGAGGTGGGGGGGAAGGAGAGGGAAAGGGAGGGGAGGGGGAGGGGGAGGGGGAGGGGGAGAGGTGGAGGGAGGTAGATTGCGAAGGGAAAGGGAGGGGAAAGTGTTCAGGAGGAAGAAATATTCAGGCGAGAGAGTAAGCAGGAGAACATAAGAAAAAATCAGGGGATTGAAAGGGATAGGAACGCCATTGCATGTTACGAGGGGTAAACATCGAACCAGGGGATTGGGATTGAGCCGTGCTTAAACGGGCTGCAGCTCGCACCTTGAAGTCAGCGAGAGCGCAAGGCGCGACGGCAAGAGGCGCCGCAACAACCGCCGCCGCTGCAGCAGCTGCAGTCAGCCAAACTCCCGCACGCTGCGTGTTGGACGGCGCGTCGGAACCGGCGGCATTCGCGGCAGCGGCGGCGCGATGCGCGTGCGTGTCGCCGGCTCCGCCATTCGCGGCGCTTCGCTCCGCGTCATCCGAGATGGAAGCGCGAGGAGGAGCTACTGCGCGAGGACGCCTCGATACTGTCGTGAGCATGGGGAATGTCGCGCGTTGGTGACCGCAGTGCGATGGCAACGAGGAGGTCAAGTTGGCCTTGAAGCCTTGAACGGACGGAGACGAGACGACGGTGGAAGTAGTGCTAGTAGTAACGGGACTCACGCTCGCGTATGCCATCGGAGCAGATATCACGTGGCCGCGAGTGTTAAAGCTGTTACGAGATCGAGTTTCGCACACGACAAAAAGTCGACGTGTGGTCGCTGAAAACGCGAGTATAAGCTCCACTCAGGCAGGTTTAGCTACGGCAAGCGCAGCGACGACCCGCAGCGCTCCCAGGATAAATAACATCCCAAAATGTCCTGGTTTCGTTTCTTACGTAGGAGCAACTCTAGAGTAACATTTCCGTATTTTTTTCGAGACCTACCTCAAAGATTGTGGCCAACATTCCTGTTCGTAAGTTTGGTTGGGATTGGCCCGAAAGAACCTTCTAGGAAAGTGTTCTCGCCTGATCGCAGCCACACATCTATGTGTTCTGGAAACTTACTGCCGCGTAACTACGAACTGGATTGACCAATCGGATCTCTTCGCTGTCCATCATTCGAAACTTACTGCCGCGTAACTACGAACTGGATTGACCAATCGGATATCGTCGCTGTCCATCATCTCCCGCGTAACAACTGGCTGGCACTGGGCGCGGACTTTGTTTTGATTGGTTGTGGAATTTCATTATATTGAATGTCGCAACACTGTTGTGGACATCGATACGTACACCTTAATATTAGCAATGCTTATTCACATTCCTCCAGTATTTACAGTGTGACAATATCGCAGCAAGACGTGGTAATATTTGTACACTTGTAGCAAAATTCGTTAAATAAAACAAGCACACAAACAACCGCATTAATCGGCGATATAATTTTAAATACATTTCCATATCCGATCCGAGGATTTACAGCAATACAATTTGTTACCGTTAGAAAGGCGAAAATCGATAGTAAAAAGCAAAATACATTTCACGAAACAAAACAAAGCAAAAACGCAAAACCCCGCCTACGGACTTAAATCGCTTAATACTAAATAACGACAAGAATTGACGCCAGCACGGGAATGAGCACTGCTAATCCAGATCTGCACCATGCAGAAAATTCGTAGCAGTATCATACACCAATCGAACAAGATAAAAAACGTTTAGGAAACAAATGCTTACCAGAGACATACCAACAAGGAGCTGCAGGGGAAACAAGCCAAACGAAAACAACACACTAACCTCAACAGAACACCTGCCAAAATATAAACGATACGCCATCCACGATCTGCCAGAACACGGGAAACCACAGATTAAATTGAGCCCATAATAAAGGGCACGATTGCCAGGAACGAAACAGAAAAAAAAATACAAAACTCTGCAGCGCACCTCTCAGCTTCACAGAAATATCTGCAGACGGCCATCACATCTGCTCCGCACGTCGCCTGACAACAAAGAAACGACACAACGATAAGGTTGTGAAGTAGGGAAGGGCGGACGACATAGCGACTTGGAAGAGCGTAGTGCAGTAAGAACTGTCGAGCACTAAGACTAAACTGCCATGGAGAACTGATGCAATAACAGCTATCGAGCAGGAAGACTAAACAAAGAAGGGGCATAAGAGTTGGCTCCCTCCCCTCCCCTCCCCTCCTCTCCCCTCCTCTCCCCTCCCTTCCCCAGCAGTGAGAACTGGGGCTGTTGAGCAGCAGGGTGCAACGCATTGCCTTGCGGTTCTCTTTTGTCGTTGCTTGCAATTGCCGTGCATCACAGTCGTTTCGTTTCATGTGCTGCCCTTGTAACATTTTGCACAATCCGGCAAGAAACAAAGTAGTGGACCGATTTCGTGAAAACTACAGTAAGACCACAGTGCAATAAAAAGCTGAGTGGAGCGCATAGGTGGGTTTAACGAAACATCATTAGCTTGAAAGGAGTTTGAAAGCTCCAGCAAACAGTCAAACGTCGGCGCGTCAAACACTTTAACAGTTCAATGCGACAAACTATCCCATCAGCACAAGTTCGAGACACTCTCACAATGCTGTACAGCACAGCAAAAATGTAGGGAAATTATACGCGCAGTCACAATTATGGCCGTATTATCACGTTTGGTCACGGGGTTATCACGGACAGTCACAGTACAGTACTTCGCTATCACGCATGATCACAGCGCTATCACGCTTGATCACTCCTCGCCCCGCAGGGTTATCACGTTTGGTCACTCGTTGAAACGCCCGCCAAAAAGTCGAAACTCTCAAATCTACTGTAAAGATTCGGGTACTTTTATCTCGCGCGCGTTTTGTCTGTAGTGAAAAACGTGATGTGACTGTCGAAATATACTCGGTCCTTGTTAGGGACCGATGCAGTAGCAGTTTCGATTATATAATTAGTTTATGGTGTGCATTTCATCCATAAACCAAAGACATGGGTTTTGGTCGAATGATTTAAACAGTGAGAGCATTGTAATTATGTTTAGCACAGTGACAATAGCTTTAGCTGGTGGGAAACCCATACAATTGACTTATATTAGATGGAAAACCATTGAACGTTACAGGCGGGGAAATGCATATACGACACGTAATTGTGTTGGTTGATATGTGTAATTTAACTGTTTAGAATTAATCAAACCCATTTATGATGGACGTGTTTAGTGTAATTGCATCTTGTAATATAAGCTTATGCCGATGTGAATAATTGATAACTGTAACCTGTATAGTTTGATACTGTCTAACACATTGTGTTGTGGTAGTTCGACATACGGTATGTCCGTTCTTCCGAATAGTTTTATTATTGGCGTTCACTTCATTCACTACATTGCTAACAAGCTAAAAACAAGTTCAGTCTCAGGCGCACAATCGATTGATAAGATATGATGTTTCTTAGAATTGATGGTTTTCCTTGGTAGTTTTGCAACATATTAGTACAGTTTATTTATTTTTAATAATAACTGCAGACAATAGTTTGCGGACTCTGCATTAAACTGCATCGGTCCCTAACAAGGACCGAGTATATTTCGACAGTCACATCACGTTTTTCACTACAGACAAAACGCGCGCGAGATAAAAGTACCCGAATCTGTACAGTAGATTTGAGAGTTTCGACTTTTTGGCGGGCGTTTCAACGAGTGACCAAACGTGATAACCCTGCGGGGCGAGGAGTGATTAAGCGTGATAGCGCTGTGATCATGCGTGATAGCGAAGCACTGTACTGTGACTGTCCGTGATAACCCCGTGACCAAACGTGATAATACGGCCATAATTGTGACTGCGCGTATAATTTCCCAAAAATGTATAACTGCGCAGCACGCGACAAAAGAAACGCCTCTCGCGTGCTGAAGTCGTAACTGCCCGCAAAGCTGTATATAGAAGTCTTGTCATTCAAAATGACTACGCAGACAAAAGATAAAACTCAACAAAACAGAATTTTACAAAGTTTCTTGCCAGGCGAGGGCTACACTGCACAGGTTGAAATGTTACGCTTGCTAAAACAGTCCCGAGCTTTTTCTGGCAAAGAGCCAGCTGTACACGACAAACAGTCCCATCATCCCATCAGAGACATTTCCCAGATGTGCGCATTTCTGTTCCCGCACCCTGACTGACACCAACTGTGCAGCACGCGAGAAGAGACGCGCCTGTCACATCCTGAAATAACGAAACCCCAAGGTTCTATCTGCCCGTAACGTTGTTTATCCAAGTACATTGTTGTCATATTGGACAGAAACGGAACAGAAAGTACAATATTCCAAGCATGTTGCAAATATTCGGGAAAGAAAAAATCGTGGCACGTCCCCTTTGCACATACTGTACAGTCCCACGAATGTCTTTGCTGGAAGCCAGCCGTACATTCGTCGTGCTGAAAACCGATGACGGGTCCCATAAGCGACAGCATTTCCCATTTGTCAACCACCTGCGCGTCGCTGTAGCTCATCCTGAGAATCGAAAACATTGACTCGTGAATATTGCAGGAGTGGGAACACACTAACTTGCATACAAACTTGTTGCTTAAACAATAACATTCTCATGCAAATAATTGTTAAAAATGGCAACCAGATATTTGGCTTGCCAATTTAGATGTTTTGTATTTGTATTTATGATATCCCTATATTTATGTTAACAATACCTGAATACATCTGAATGAATGCTGAAACACTACTTGGGTGGGTTTTTTGCCCTAAATGCGCGCAAATGGGCTTGATCCGTTCCCAAACCGCATCCGATTCCGATTGGGTTTTAGTTTTTCTTAAAGTTAGCTGATTGGTTGGACGCGAGCGGGAATTTTGTTGAGTTTCAAGTTTTTTTGGCGGGAGTTACATGTGTGACCATTCGCGTGATTTTTTACCTGTTGTTAGTGACTGAATCCGTGACCCCATTTACCAAGCCCGTCACGAAACCCGATACAGTGACCGTACGCGTTTTTTTTTTACCACTTAACGTTATCGAGTCCCATGTTGGTTACTTGTGGCATATTTTCCCCTTGATTGCCTGCTGCCTGAATGCAGTGTGCTAACATTGTCAGTCAAAATTGGATACTTAGTGCAGTCAAACCACCTAAAGTCAACCTATATTGCTAGCGACTCTGCTTGATTGCCTATCCATGCTGCATTGCTGCAGCGTTTCTCCTCAACCTGACCCTTAAAAGTATTCCTCACCCCACCCACCCACCCACCCCCATCCATCACCCATAATCCACCACATGCTGACAAAGATCGCAACACATGGGATCCATGCTGATAACATTCCACATGCTGCATGCATGTTGAATGACATCTAGTCCTCCACATGCTGAATCTCACCCATGAGGATGCGGTTACTGGTAACACTGAACCCAAGCAGCGATGGATCCACCACCTTCTTTCCCTTCTTCCCCTTCTTCTTCCCCCCCACCCCCTCCCCCCCTCCCTCACCACCACCAGACGCAGCACCACCAGCACCACCAGCACCACCAACACCACCGCCAGCACCACTACCCCCACCACTCCCAGCCTTCCCAGACCCAGACCCACTCGCAGTCACCTTCCGAGCCTCCTCCCGAGCCGAACCCGCAGCACCGGGAGCAGCACGCGAGGACGCCGAGCCTGGCCCTGCCACACCCTTTTTCCCACCATTACCACCACCAGCCCCGCCACGGGCACCAGCAGCACCAGCAGAACCACCACCAGCACCACCAGCACTGCCACCACCGCTACCACCGAGCAGAGCCGAGTCATCTTGAATAACCGCCTCGCTCACAGGGAACGCGACGCGCACAGCAGCAGGTGAGAGCGCGGATCGGCGCGAGAGGAAGGAGGAGGTGAAGGCGGAGGCGGGGGGAGCAGCGCCGAGGTACTGGAAGAGGTACTGCCGCACCTGGTCGTCCGCTGCCTTGGGTAGAGACATGCAGAAGTCTATCAGTGTGAGGTCTGTGAGGGGTGGGGGCAGCAGGGGGGCGGACAGGGAGCAGAAGGTGGGACTGGGAGCCGAGGTACTGTGGAAGAGGTATTGCCGCACCTGGTCGTCCGCTGCCTTGGGGAGCGACATGCAGAAGTCTATGAGTGTGAGGTCTGTGGGGGAGGGAGAGCAGGGGGCGGGGGGGGGGGGGTGGAAAGGGAGCAACAAGGGGGATTGAGAGGCGAGGTACTGGAAGAGGTACTGGCGCACCTGGTCGTCCGCTGCCTTGGGGAGCGACATGCAGAAGTCAATCTGTGTGAGGTCTGGTGGGGAGGGGACGGGAAGGGGAGAGGGGTGGCAAGGAGAACAGAGATGATATTTAGTGTATAGATAGACAGTACAGTTAGACACCTGACACCTTACCGGGCTGCCTATTAGCTATGTTGGGCTCTAAAACGCCTGAAGTCTCAAGATCTTACCAGAGCTGCTCGTGAACTTGAGGATGTTGGCCTCGCACCACACCACACCACACCACGATGAGTATTAAGACGTCCCACGTTCCAACAACTTACCGGCGCTGCGTGGGAGCTTCGGAGTGTTGGAAATCAAGAAGCCTCACTCAAAATCTTACCAGAGCTGCTCGTGAGCTTGAGGATGTTGGCCTCGCACCACTGCCGAAATTCCTGAGCTGCCCGGAGCTCTGCTGGCGGCACTTGAGCCGACGCTGCTGCTGCTGCTGCTGATGCCGCAGGGAAAAGGGGAAAGGAGAAGGGGAAGAGAGGTGAGCAGGGCAGGGAAAGAGGGCATGTTAACCACAGGGCGGAGTGAAGACGTTACAGAGCAGGGAAGAGAGTAAGTCAATCCCTAACCACAGCTACTTACCAATCCCAACGCACAGCACTGCACAGCACAGCACAGCACAGCACCGCACAGCACCGCACAGCACCGCACAGCACCCATCAAGACTGACCTGACTGGGTTGACTTGGCACCCTTCTTCTTGGACCCCTTGGACTTGGTCTCCACAGCTGCTGGTGATGCTGCTGGTACGTCCTTACTGCACTCCACAGCAAACAAGCAATAACAAAAGAAAGGGTCAACAAGTTAACACTAAAAAAAAAAAAAAAAAAAAAAAGACAGGCTGCTCTTTCATTGTTTCAGGCATGTGTGTGCAATGGGGTGCACACGAGGGTGACAAGCACATGTGGAACAAGATGCATGATGACGTTGGCACATGCATAAAGTAGCCGGCATGTAGCTAACCAATAACAGCACAAACCTGGTGTTAGACTGGTACGAGTAGTCCCAAAACATATCCTCCTCCTCCTCCACCACAACCGGCGCCTCCTTCCTCTCCTGCTGCCTCTTCCCCCCTCCCTTCCCACTCCCACTCCCCACCGCACCTCCCTTCACCTTCCCTCCCACCCCTCCTGCTCCACCGCCCACTCCCCCCATCCCAACAGCCGCAGCTGCAGCAGACGGCACGGCAGCAGACGCAGCAGGCCCCACTCGCTCCTGCAAAACCCTAATCTGTGCCTGCCTCACCCGCTCCTCCTCCTGCGCCCTCTCCTCCTGCCTCTGCCTCTCTTCCGCCTTGGCCCTCTCCTCTGCAGCTTGAATCTCTGCCAGAGAAAGCACTGCCCCCCTGCCCCCTCTCCCTCCTCCCGACCCTCCTGCCGCTGCTGCCGAACGTCCCGCCGAGCCAGTCGACCAGGCTGGGGCGGGGGCAGGAGCGGGGGCAGCAGACGGGCTAACTCCAGGAATCAGCCCCGGAACCATAAGGAAATCAGCCAAGGAAGGGGCAGGGGGAGCAGGGATCTCATCTGCTGCTTTCGCCGCAGCTGCCGCCGCTGCTGCGGTAAGGGAAGCCAAGGCACCACCAGAAGCAGACCTGGTGGTGGCAACAGGGAGAGACGCAGCAGGGAGGGCAGCAGCAGCAGCTGCAGCTGCTTCACTGGCAGCAGCAGAGGCGACGGATGAGGAAGAGGGAGGCGATTTGCCCGAAGCAGACCCACCCTTGCCCTTGGCGCCCTTCTTCTTGTTCTTCCTCGATTCCTTCGGCTCCACAAACTCAGAATCATCCACTTCAGCAGCAGCCGCCGCCGCCGCCGCCGCAGCAGCAGCAGCAGACGAGCCGGACTCGCTCTTTGTCAGCTCTACCCTTGCATCATCCAGCATTGAGGATGCAGATCCCAGGATCTCCTCTGCCAAAGGGTCCCGAAAACCACCTGACAAAACACCTGAAACACCTGAGCCTGCTCCTGCTCCTCCTCCGGCCAACCGCCCTGAACCGCTCCCAACCCCGCCAGCACCCACCCCTGCTCCAGCCGGACTAGAATACCCTCTACCGCCAAGGGGATCAAACAAACTAGCCCCAGTTCTGGGCTCCAGAGAAGGCGGCTGGGGGAAAAGCACCGCACTAGCGGTAACCGCGCTTCTACCCGTCGCACTCTCTGCAGCCGCCGCTGCCGCTGCCGCAGCCGCAGCAGATTCCTCTTCCAAAATCTCCTTAAGGGATTTTTTCCGAGACATAGAAGCAGAAGCAGACCCAGCGTTGCCCCAGACAGTGGCACCTCCTCCCCCTCCCATTCCACTGCCGCTGCCGTACCCACCAGAACCATAGGCACCAGACCCGCCGATCACCTCGCCTGCTGCGATCGCTGCCTGGATTCGCCGCTCCTGCTCCTCCCTCTGCCTCTCTGCTTCTGCTGCTTCTTCCTCTAGGATCTGAGCGAGGGACTTTGCGGGGACAGTAGGGGCTTTCCAGGCCGGGAGGGGTGGGGTGGGTGGCTTGGGAAAGGCATCGGTGGAGGCAGCTGGTGATGCTCCTTCTCCTGCCGCTGATGCTGCTGCCTTTTCGCTGTAAGAGAGGGGCTTAGTGCTTGGCTCTGTGTTGGAAACCTGCTGCTGCTGCTGCTTCTGTTTCTGCTGCTGTTTCTGCTTCTCTTTCTCCTTCTCCTTCTTCTCCTTCTCCCTCTCCTTCTCCCTCTCCTTCTCCTTCTCCTTCTCCCTCTCCTTTTCCTTCTCCTTCTCCTTCCGTTCCTGCAGCAGCTGCATCTGCTCCTCCTTCTGCTTCTTCTTCTTCAACTTCTTAAGCTCCTTCTTTGAAAGCGTTTGAGAGCCCTCATCCGTATCATCCGCACCTGCCTTATCCTCGTTAACAGCCTCCTCCTTCTTACCTTTAGCACCTTGGCCTTCGTCTGTATCAGCATCCGCAGCAACTGACACCTCATCTCCCTTCCCTGCCCCACCGCCCTGATCCACCAAGCCCTTCAACGCCTGAACCTCCCCTTCCCCTCCCTCTTTCTGCTCCTGCTGCTGCTGCTGTCCAATCATCCCCTCCGCCTTACCCTGTTGCTCTGCCCCTACGGACCCTTCCCCTACCTGAGCTACAGCCTGAGTAGTCTGAGCTACAGCCTGGTTGGTCTGAGCGGCAGCATAGGCACCGCCATCTGCCTGATTGTCCTGCCGCAGCAGCTGGGAGTACGACAGCCGCTGTGGCGCTGCTGCCTGCTGCCCCTGCTGCTGCTCTTGCTGGGGTTGCTGTTGCCCCATCCCCTGTTGCTGCTGCCCCATCCCCTGTTGCTGCTGTCCCATCCCCTGTTGCTGTTGCTGCTGTAGCAGCAGCTGCTGCTGCATCTGCAACACGTCAGCTCGTGCCGAAGCCTGACCATCCCCCTGCGTCTGCCCTCCCTGCAACTGCAACAGCTGCTGCTGCATCAGCTGCTGCTGAAGCTGCTCCTGAGCGAGCAGCGGAAGAGGGTGGGGATAGTGACCGGGTAGCATACCAAGGGGAATTTGTGGCACCTGCTGCTGCAAAGGCTGCTGCTGTCCCTGCCCCTGCTGCCCCTGCTGCTGCTGCTGCTGCTCCTGCTGCTGCCCCTGCTGCTGCTGGGGAGGGATCGGGGCCCCTGGGAACGGTGGCAAGAGGGGCTGGCCAAAGGGAGGAGGCTGCAGCGAGGGGTGCTGCTGCAACCACGGGGGCGGGACCGACCCAGGAATTGGCCCCTGCAAGAACCGCGCCTGCTGCAACTGCTGCTGTATCTGCTGCGTTCCCTGCGCGTCAACTGGCCTTCCTGACATAAGCAGCGACGACAGGTGCATCTGTAACGCCATCTCCTCCGTTACAACCTCTGGTAACCCGCCCTCTTTCGCCAACACGTGTGGCAAGCCAGCCGCGCCTGCCACTCCCACTCCCCCAGGCAACCCTCCCCCGGGTAACCCTCCCCCAGAAGCACCTGTATCCAGAGCCAGCGACTGCTGCAGCCGCATCTGAACCTCCCTCAGTTGTACCTCCCTCAACTGCGCCTCTCGCATCTGCGCCTCCCTCAGTTGCACCTCCCTCAGCTGCGCCTCCCGCTGCTCCCTCTGCTGCACCACCTCCTGCTGTACGCGCATAAGCAGATCCGTTATAGGCGGGTGCTGCAGCAGCTGCTCTAACGGAGCATCCTTGGGGATACCTGCATGCACCAGCGCTTCTACCATTCGCAGACTCAACTCATCCTGCCCTATAATCGGCCCCCCAGCTCCTGGGTAAAGCGTGGCTGGGCCTAGCCCGGTAGCGGCCGCGGCAGGGTGCAGAAGCGGGTGCAAGGGGTGGTGGAGGTGCGCTAGAGTGATGCGGGGGGGTGGGAGGGTTGGCACGAGGGCGGATGGCAGGTGCTGTGGCGGCTGCTGTGGCGGCTGCTGCGGCTGCTGCTGCTGCTGAAGTTGCTGCAGCTGGGGTTGCTGTGGATGGGAGAGGAGGTGGGAGAGGAGGGCGGGCAGAGGCTCGTGGGTAAGTGGCAGGTGGGCCGGCTGTTGCTGCTGCTGCTGCTGCTGATGTTGCTGCTGTTGTTGCTGCTGCTGTGGTGGGTGGGTTTGGTCGTAGAGAGCAGGAGAGGGCGAGGGGGTGCGATGACCCTGCACAGCAGAAACACAAGCGGCCAGCAGAAAATGAACATACGGGAGAGGAGGGGGGGGAGGGGGGGGGGGGGGGAACAAAGGTGAGAGACAAGACCGAAGGCAAACGCAGGAAGGAATTAGCAATCAGAGCGGACTGGCTATAAACCCCAAACCCTGGCTTTAAAAGCTTACCTGAGCCAGCGCATCTAGACTGGAAAATGACCTTGATGCCGCTCCAGCGCCCACCACTCCAGCCACACCTGCTCCCGCCCCATGCACCCCCGGCTCGGCCCGAAGCTCCTCCGAGCCCGGAGCTGGCCAGGAGGCTTGGTAAAGGGCGCCTGGCTCGTCCACGCCTGGAAAAGAGGCAGGGGTATGGGACGGAGGAGGACGGAAGACGAGATGCATGTGACTTTGATTTGTGACTCCCTGGGTGTGCTACAAAAGAGGGCTATATAATTGTGTAGAGCTCGGTTGTCTGTGGCCCTGTGGCTTTGCAATCACTAACGGAGCTGATGGATCCGATCCGACACAGCCTCTGGTGCCTCTGGTGCCACCAGGCTGATTGTTGCACTGACCACCGGCCAAGGCGCAGCGATGCTACGAGTGAAAGTTAGGTGCAGCATGTTACAGGGGTCACGACAGAGAGACCTGGTCGCAATATGGGTGCGGCTGCAACACGGGAACGGTCGCGACAGGGGTGCGTTTAAAACTGTCACAAGAAACAGGATCGTAAGGTGCAGGTTAAGAACGGGCAATAGCGGGCGCGGAGGAGGAAAGGGAGCGGCGGGGGGAGGGGGGGAGTACGGGGGAGACGAAGAGGGGGAAGGGGAAGAAGAATCAGAAGCCAATAATGGAACAGGGAAAGTAGATAGTTTGTAAGAAACGCAAGGCTCACCTCTGCCAGCGTGAATGGCCCCCAGAATGACCCCTGCAGCACCCGCCATCGCACCACCGGCAGCAGCACCAGCAGCAGCAGCACCTGTAGCAGTACCAGCCGCAGCAGCGCCAGGCTCAGTAGGAGCGGCGGCAGCAGCGCGCGTGGCGTCAGCTGCTGCTGCAGCCCCTGCAGCAGCTGCACCAGGAGCAGCAGCAGCACCAGGAGCAGCAGCAGCACCACCACCACCACCCCCAGTGCCACCAATAGCAGAACCAGCACCAGCAGCACCGGCAGTGCCACCAGCAGCAGCAGCAGCGGCAAAGCCAGGCGGAACCTTAGCAGAGGGCTTCAAATGCGGCATAACATCTCCCAGCGGCAGAAACTGCACCCCAGGTGCCGCCTCCCCTGTCCCCGGATCCACCGGCCTCACCGGCAGCTCCAGTCCAAAAAACCCCGCCTCGTACCACCCCATGATGTCCTCTCCTGGAAACGGCCCCTGAACTTCCCCCTGAGGGTCGCGGTACTGTAGCAGGAGCTTTTCAGGTGGGACGGACGGAGTGGTGGTGGTGGGTTTGGCTGAGGGAGAGAGGGAGGTGGAGCCTGGGGGAGGTGAAGCTGGGGAAGGTTGGACGGGGTGGTCGGTTGGGTGGGTGGCTGCTGCTGTGCCAGGTGCATGCGTGGGAGGGCGTTTGTCGCCTTCTTGTGCTGCTAAGACATCAGGTGGAGGGTGAGGGGAACAAACCAAAATTGAAGGGAAAGTGGGCATAGACAGGTACAGTGAATAAACGCCACACGCTGTAGGCATCACAGGGGTGGGAAACCCAGAAACGTGCCAACTAAGCCCACACGCTCCCAGCTCCTTCCTATGTTTCCAGACGCCCCAGCACAGGTGGCCCGGCTCCTAGCTCCTTCCTATGCTTCCACACGCCCCAGACCACCAGTCGCCAGAAATCAATCCAGGCTATTTATTCACGTCCCATGCCTCCCACGCCTCCCGCGTGTGATGAGCCAATTTTTTAGTCGACTAAAAACTCAAGCTGGGTTAATCATTCGCGTCCCATGCCTCTCCGTCTCCTCCCTGTTCCGAACCGCCACGTCGTTGTGTGTCATTGCATTCGAAATACTACAAAAAACGTACCATGTTGTTTAACCGTGTCCTGCCCCTCCCCACTCCGTTCTTTATCTGCCGATCCAAAAACGTACCAGGTTTATCTCGCGACGGCGCGTCCTTGTCCCTGGATGCATGCACCACGCCACTGCCCACAATCTCCCCGCTCTCAATCGCCGCCATCACCGCCTGCACACCCAGATAAGCACATTTAAACAATAAAATTTATGTTATAACAATCAAACAGTGTGGGCCAGTTGATGACACAGTTGGTAACAGCCAAACAGCAACAGGCAACTGGCAAATGGTAAAATCCATCTCCGCACGCCCCCACCCTCCGCTCACCTCTTCCTCCGCGCTCGCCTCCACCAGCGCCATGGGCACCAGCGGATCCGACCCCAGAAGCGCGGGCGCCTCATCCAAACGGCATGTACCTCCGCTCAAATTCTACCAGCTTACGGCGTCCGCTCACCTCTTCTTCCGCGCTCGCTTCCACCAGCGCCATGGGCACCAGCGGATCCGACCCCAGAAGCGCGGGCGCCTCATCCAAACGGCATGTACCTCCGCTCAAATTCTACCAGCTTACGGCGTCCGCTCACCTCTTCTTCCGCGCTCGCTTCCACCAGCGCCATGGGCACCAGCGGATCCGACCCCAGAAGCGCGGGCGCCTCATCCAAACGGCATGTACCTCCGCTCAAAACTTACCAGCTTACGGCGTCCGCTCACCTCTTCTTCCGCGCTCGCTTCCACCAGCGCCATGGGCACCAGCGGAACCAACCCTAAAAGCGCAGGCGCCTCACCCAAACGGCATTTACCTGCACGCGTAACCTCCAATACCAGCCTGCGGCCCCCGCTCACCTCTTCTTCCGCGCTCGCCTCCACCAGCGCCATGGGCACCAGCGGCTCCGACCCCAGGAGCGCGGGCGCCTCAGACCACTCCCCCGGGATTGCTGCGCTGAACTCGGGCGCGCGCTTGTGCGCGTGGTAGATCTCCAGCAGCCGCGCGCGCGGGTACCTGAACGTCTCCGCGGATGGCGCAGCGCCCGCTCCGCCAGACTCCGGCGGAGGCGCGCCTATATGCTGCGCCCTGGAGCCCTGCCCCGGAACATCCCAGCTTCCCCCTGCTCCCCCGCCGAATCCGCGCCCCCGCGCAAAACCTCCGCCGCCTGCGCCAGCGACCAGCGCGGAAGAGCCTGCGCCTGCCCCTGCGCCGTCGGGGGCTCCGCGCCCTCGACCCGCGAACCCAAACCCTGGCTGAAACTTGGAAAAGGGGGCGGCGGAGGATGTAGCAGTGCCCGTTGGCGGAGCCTCTCCGCGGCCCCGTCCCGCGATCGACTGCGGGCGCCACTTTCCCCCCGTCTCTGACCTCCCCGCGGTGGTGTCTCTAGTCCAGCTTCCGCCCCCGGCTCCGCCGGAACTACCGCCCCCCGGTCCCCCCGCCCCTCCCGCCCCAGCCCCAACGGCCCCTCCGCCGCCTATGTCTTTGTCAGCCTCTTTCCCCTTTTCGCTGTCTCGAGCGCCGATAGCGGGGCGGCTTCTCTCGTATTCCCTAGGTTTGTCCGATTCCTTCTCCCCCGGCAGTGTCCAGCGCGCACTTCCCCCGCCCTGCGCGGACTCCGGCGTTCCGCGCTCGCGCACCCCGCCTCCGCCATGCGCGCTTTTCTCCCCCCAACTCTCGCTGTGAACGACGCTTTTGTCCTTCTCTTTGTCCTTCTCCTCCGCGCTGCCCCATCGCGAGCCCCACTTGGTCTCGCGGCGCTGGTCGAAACTACGCGTACCGCTATCCGCCCACCGCTCCTTGCGGTAATCTACACTCCCCTCCCCCCCCGCGCCAAGACCCGGGCGGGGACCGCCCATCCCCGGCGGATCCACCCAGCGCTCCTTCTTAACGTATCCGCCCCCCTCCCCCGGTTCCTTTCCGCTCTCCCCCCCTAGAGGCGGGGCGTGTATGGACCCCCAGCGGGGATCGTTGCGCGGCTTCCCCGCCACGCTCTCGCGCTCGCGCTCGTCCTCCCCCCAGCGGTCGCTCGCCCTGTCGCGCTCCATGCCCGCGCTGCGCCACCAGTCTCGCTCCCGCTTCGCCTCGTCCGGCGGCGCGCCCGCTACTCCTCCCGCGGAGATAACGCCTCCGCCTATGCCTCCGCCTACGCCTGCGCCTGCGCCGGCTCCCCGGCCTGCCTTCCACTTTCCGCCGGGAGCCTCGACACCTCGGCCATATCCCATCGGCTTGGAAGGATCCTGAAAGGAATGCACACGTAACGGGGGGAGAACGAGACAAGATGCGGGGAGAATGAGACAAGGTGCAGGGAGAATGAGACAAGATGCAGGGAGAATGAGACAAGATGCAGGGAGAATGAGACAAGATGCAGGGAGAATGAGACAAGATGCAGGGAGAATGAGAAAAGACGCGGGGAGAATGAGAAAAGACGCGGGAGAATGAGACAAGACGCGGGAGAATTAGACAAGACGCGGGGAGAATGAGACAAGACGCGGGGAGAATGAGACAAGACGCGAGAAGAATGAGACAAGATTCAGGGGGAGTATTCAAGATCCAGGATGAATGGAAAGCCAGTGCGGGAGTTAAGACTCAACAAGAGAAGCACGACTCGCTTAGTCTCAGGGAAACCCCATTGTAGGTAACCGCTGGTTGGGTAGGAAATCATTCGCTGACCTGACCGACAGGTCATGACTACGCGAGTCCGCGGGCTTCGCGGTGAGCCACTGAGGCGAAACTGACTTGAGCATTTTCAAAAGTGACTCCAGTATGGATGACCGTTTGGTTAAACAAGGAATGGATCGCTGACCTGCCCGACAGGACTACGCGAGTCCGAGTGCTTCGCGGTGAGCCACTGAGGCGAAAATGCCATTGAAGAGTCTCCAGGCGACGAATGCTCTGCACAACGATACATGTAGCGGAGAAATGAGTGAGTTATTATAAGATGACGATAAACCTCCGAGATCTGACGGGCAAATGGACTAACGGAATACGTCATTGCATGTACCTTTTCCGTCAGGAGACGTTTTCATAACTGTTCCTCCGGAAATTCCTCCGCCGGATTCATCTGCGAGACGAAGCAACGGTCAGATTCGGCGAAACCCTAATAACCAGTGAGCCTGAAGGATTCACCTACCTCGAGATTTCTTGACGTCCTGGGGACGCAGAGAGATTCCCCCATTCTGAAAACCGGAAGAGTCCAACATCTTAGCGAGAATTTAATCGCGTGGCTCGTGAACGAGGCGCTTAGTCCGCTGATAACTGAGAGCTGGGTGTGCTAGTATAGAGCAAGATCTAGAGAGATGTTGATGGCGGCTGTTCTGGAAACTCTGGCGGAGCAATGAAAAGAGGCCTTGAAAGAGAGGATGAAAAGGGAAGGGTTGATTGCAACGAAACAACTCAACCGTTCGGAAACGTAAATAACCGCTCTTGTAAGCAAATTATCCAACCGGCATGAAAGTGAACTCTTATGAAATGTTGTGGGATTGTGCCTATGGCGGTGACAATCTCGAAAGGTAGTACAATCAGAAAACAGCAGAGGAAATAGAGCATTGTATCTGCATATGTTTCATATTTGTAAAAACAAATGGTGACTATATTGCGCGAAACCACAAACGGATCTTCTTTGCCAAACAGCCATGTTCAAGCACCAGGCTTGTGGGTTCAAGAGAAAACAAGTCAACGAATGTCTGTTGTGTTTCACACAGATCTGGTTTAGGTCTCCTATCTCTTATCTACGATCTTCTAGGTCGAGTGCGTTAGGTTTACGGTCGCTACTTCTTCTTTTCGCGTCTGCTGGTGTCGATTTATATTTTCTAGGCAACATGACGTCCGAAGAAGTTAAGGCGAGCGAGGGTGAAGCTGCTGACGCCGTCGTAGAATCTTCGCCTCCTGCTGCTGCTCCTTCAAGCGACGACGCCGCTGCGGCTGCTACTGACGATGCAGCGACGAATCCTGACGCTGAACCGGCGAGCACGAACGGGGAGCCGGCAAGCGGCGAACCCGCCGAAGCAAACGGCGAACCCGCTAAAGCAGACGGCGAGGAGTCGAAGGCTGAAGCCGAGGCTGCGACGACGCCTGCGAAAGATGAGACTCCTGCGAAAGACGCGACGGAGCCTGCGAAGGAAGATGCGAAGACGGAGGAGAAGCCGGCAGGCGAGGAAGGCACTGGTCAGCGGCGACGGAAGCGCAAGAGCCTTTGGGACACGGAGGGCCCTGACGGCAAGAAACGTGCGTGCTTGGCGAGCACGCAGCAGCGGGTTGCACGCAGCAGCGGGTTGCACGCAGCAGCGGGTTGCACGCTGCTGTGTGGTGCAGGCCTCCTCCCCTGTTCCCTTTTCTTATTATTATTCGTTCGTTGAATACCGTGTTTGAAGCCGGTGGCAAATGTTACTTAGTCGATTAGCTACGTCGTATCGCAATCGATTATTTTTTTTCCTGCGTATTCTCTTCCTTCCCACCGATCACAACCCTTTCTCGGCCCCTTTTCCGTACCGCAGTCGAGTCTCCTGCTGTCCTTGCGTCACCAGCCAGCGCAGCCGGGATTCTGCCCGGAGCCCCCGCGATTCCCGGTATTCCCGGCCTGCCATTGGGCGCGGGCATTCTCCCCGGCGCCGCAGCGGCGATGATGATGCCCGGAGCGGCCATGGCGCAGCAGGCGCAGCTGCTGCAGCAACAGCAGCTCCTGCAGGTGATTTAGAATCTCAGTCACTTGTGACAATTCTCAAAAGTTCCTCACATATTGTCAGAGAAACTTTTGATGGTTGTCAGAGAAACTTTTGAGTCGACTCAGAAGTCAACGCAGCTGCTGCAGCAACAGCAGCGTCTGCAGGTGATCGTCGGAGATCTGTAGATCCATGCGCTCGTCTGGTTCCTTGCGGGAGTGTTTCCGAAGTGTGCACTCGCGTGTGGAAATCCGCGTGTGGGAAGTACGGAAGCGAAGGCAAGCCGCTCCATAGTATTTCGCATTTCTTCATTCTTTTGTTTCTCTCGTAGTGACTTGAGTGTTTTGACTTCCCGTTGATTTTCTCTTCCCGTTGACTCCGTGCGTGTGCAGATGCGAGCGCTGGCTCAGGCGAAGATGGCGGAGGCAGCAGCGGTGCAGCAGCAGCAGTCCACCGTGACCCAGTCGAATGGTGAGTTGAGTAGAGTGACTGGCGTCGCAGCGTGTTTCGAGTCGACCGTCGCAGCATTTTCTACGACCTCTCGATATGGCACATTCTTACCAGAGTGTCTGAGTACCTGCACTCGCATGTCCTCTCGTCTGAGTATCGACACATTATTTCCTTCCTCCTCCTCCCTCCCTCCCTCCCTCCCTCCCTCCCTCCCTCCCTCCCTCCCTCCCTCCCTCCCTCCCTCCCTCTCTTCCTCCCTCTCTCCCTCGCTCCTCCCTCCATTTGCCTACAGCCCAGTGCCGCGTGTACGTGGGAAGCATATTCTACGACCTCACCGAGTCCGACATTCTAGTCAGAGTTCTTGAGTGCCTGCAATTCCTTACTTTGCATTCACGCACATCTCTATGCCTCCCTCCCACACATCCCCCTACAGCCCAGTGCCGCGTGTACGTGGGGAGCATCTTCTACGACCTCACTGAGTCCGACATTCTCTTGTCTGCATGCCTGCACTCCCTTTCTGCACATATTTCCATGCATCCCTCCCTCCTCCCTCCCTCCCTGCCACCCCTCCACAGCCCAGTGCCGCGTGTACGTGGGGAGCATCTTCTACGACCTCACCGAGTCCGACATTCTCCTCGCCTTCTCTCCCTTTGGTACGCCCCTCATGCGCTTTCGTGGCGTGGTTGCCTCGAGTGGCCTGCTTGACTGGGTTTCTCAGATGGTCTGGGGTGCTTGTGCAAGGATTTTGTATGGGAATGCTGATGCCATTGTTATGTGTGCGTGCGCGACGTCTGTGTTTTGTATAACTCTCACCCTGAGGGCGTGAAAGGATTCTGTACCGCAAGGCTGATGTTTTTGCTATATGTGCTTTCTTCTTGTTTTGCTCTCCCATCAGGCCCAATCACCAAGATCGACATGCCCAAGGTGTGTGGTGTGCCCTTCTCCTCCCATCCAACCTTTCAGTCTAACTCACGTCGTGCGTGTTATCTTCTCACATTTGTGTTCCCGTCGTTTCTTCTCTTTTGTTTTCTCTTGTTTGCCAATCTGACCAGTTGTCTACATCTCTGTCCCCTTTGCCCTCCCAACTTGTCCCAGGACGCGAGCACGGGCAAGCACAAGGGGTTTTGCTTCATCGAGTTCACCAACCCTGAGACCGCCTCCACTGCCATCGCTGCCATGAACGACTTTACCCTCGCCGGCCGGTACTTATCCCACAATTTCTCTTGCCTCTCACTGGCTTGTACTTAGACCACAGCTTTCGCCACCCGCCTTCGCTGTCTGGTACTAATTCTTGCTCGCCGGCTCAAATGTAGTCGCTGCACTCGTGGGGAGCGTTGAAAGCCTTGAATTGTAAGGGCTCGTCTTCGTTATTAGCGCTTCGCTACACTGCTTTGCATCACAACCAATTGAATGCCGGTGGTTAGAGACGCTTTGTAAAAGCGTCTTTTACCAGACCCGACATTTCTAAGCTCGTCAGCTGTGACTCGTTAGATCGCTTCACTCTCGGCTGTTACTCTGCTGCTCTGCCTTTACTATCGAGCCGCGTCACAAGGCTAATTATCGTGTTCTGGCCTTTCTCTCTGTACGTGCGTATTTCTTCCCTCTTTTCCCTCTGCTTTCGTTTCCCTGCGTTTGTCTTTCTCTTCTCTTCTCTTTCCTCTTCTATTTTTTCTGCCTTTCCTGCGTCTGTGCGTATCTTTGCCCCTGTGCCCCTTCTTTTTTTCTCCTTCCAATTTTATTTCTTTGCTTTCACCTGCTGTTGCGTGCCTCCTATCCCACAACATCACCCCCCATCAGTCACACACGCATCTTGAAAAAACTCCACCTCATATGCCATCCCGTTATAAGCACAAGGCTTTCAGACACCACCCAGCATGCACCATACATGCAATGTTTTCAATCCATCCTGCGCTCACACAAATACCGACACTTCACGAGTATCTCAAACGTCGAAGCTAACCAACCCCTCGCTCTCTTAAAATCCTGGCGATCCTCTTAAACCTCGGAGCGATCCTCTTCTCTACCAACGACGCCAAGAGGGGTCCTGGCGTTGGTCTGGTGCTGCGTCTGATGGTTTGTGGCCCACAATCCCATCCTTTTCTATCACTGTTTTAGAGCACACAGTCCTATTGGAACCCTCCCTAAAGTTTTTCTCGTCCTCAAAAGTTCCACGTTTGATGGGTTTTGTGGCGTGGAAGGGTTTTTCTTTTACTTTTTCTTGATGAGAGAAACGCACGTCCATCAAGGTTCGTCCCTATAGAAGCTGCGCTTTTCGCTCCAATTAGAAGCCTTTTTTGTTTATTAGAACGCTGCATATTCCTTGTTTTTGTTTGACTGATCTGCGTCTACTAGCTTCGCATCCCCTCTCCCGTCGTGTCCTGTAATATCTCCCCAATCCTGATTGTCGTTTTCTGGAAGCTCTCTCTCTCTCTCCCTATCCCTCTCGTTTTTTCTCAAGGCTCCTCTCATCTTCGCACTTCCGTTCCTCCCCATTCTGCTCCCTCCTCCACTCCTTGGTGCCTCCCCTTTTCCCTCGTCCCGCCTTTCTTTCCCTCCCTCTCTCTCTATCCCTCCCTCCGCACCCACCTCTCCCACCCCCCCCTCCTCTCCTTTTTCCCCCACCCTCGTCACATTCATGCATCAGGCGCATCAAGGTCGGTCGCCCCAACAACATCGCCTCCCCTTCGCCTGCTGCGCAGACCATTGCCAACCGTGAGTGCCCTGTCCTGAATCTCCCAATCGTGAGTCCTCCATCTCCCCCAACTGGTGTCCTTCCTCTCATCCCTCTTATGTTTCCACTTCCCTCCCCCCACCCACCCACCCACCCACTTATTTCTTCGAATGTCTTCCGAGGCGCCATGTCCCTGTCTCGCTTTCCCTTCCCCCCCAACTCTATCGTCCACTCATTTCCTCGAATGTGTCTTCCTCCCTTTGGAACCGCATGGATGCTTAGCCGTTGCCATCGCCCATCCTCTCGTCTCTTCTTGCATGCAGCCATGTGCCCTTCTAATTCCAATGCCTTCTCCCCCCCTCTCCATCTGTTCCGCTGCCTCTCTGCCTCTCTGCCCGTCTCCCTCTGCTTCTCTTCCTCGCTGCCTCTCTGCCTCTCTGCTCCCCTGCCCCTCTTCCACTGCTCGTCTCTGTTCTGCATCAGCACTCGCATTCAACCAAGCTGCATTGGCCGCGCCCAACCCCAACCTTCTCGCCACTGCCAAGCTCCAGGCTCAGGTGAGTCTGCATTGCACGTTCAGGTTGCCTTTCAGGTGGGTTGGGGGTTCAGGTGGTTTTTCAGGTGGGTTGGGGTTTCAGGTGGCCCTTCAGGTGGATTAGAGTTTCAGGTGGCCAGGTGGTTTGGGGGTTAAGGTGGCCTTTTAAGGGGGTCGGGGGTTTAGGCGGGGCTTTCATTTGGTTTGAAGCTTAGGTGTGGTCTCACGTTCTTTGGTCGCATGATCTTTTTTGCCTGGCACACTGCCCGCTGCCCAATGCCCCATATTTGCCTATCTCCTCGCAGGTGATCGCGAGCAGCATCAACCAGAAAGTCCTCGTGGCAGCAGAGGTGCCCCAGAAGCCAGCGGTGAACACGCGCGTGTATGTGGGATCCATCGTGTATTGTCTTTCACACCTCTCTGTCTACCCATGCAGGTGATCGCGAGCAGCATCAACCAGAAGGTCCCCGGGGTAGCTGAGATGCCCCAGAAGCCGGCAGTGAACACGCGCGTGTATGTGGGATCCATCGTGTATTGTCTGTCATATCTGTCTGTCTGTCTCTCTGTCTACCCATGCAGGTGATCGCGAGCAGCATCAATCAGAAGGTTCCCGGGGTGGCGGAGATACCACAGAAGCCGGCAGTGAACACGCGCGTGTATGTGGGGTCGATCGTGTATGACCTTGCAGAGCCAGACATCATGGCCATCTTCCAGGCCTTTGGACCCATCAAGGTACACTGCATGCATTGTGGCTTCGTTGTGAGTGTCTGCGGTGGCTGGGGGGGCTGGGGGGGCTGCGTTGGGGTGGCGGAGGTGTATGTGGGGTCGATCGTGTATGACCTTGCAGAGCCAGACATCATGGCCATCTTCCAGGCATTCGGACCCATCAAGGTGTGTGAGGGCTGCTGTGGGTTGCTGTGGGGTGCATTGGGGTGTTGTGGGGTGCATTGGTGCCCCTAAAGCCTAAGCAGTGAACACGCGCGTGTATGTGGGATCCGTCGTCTATGACCTTGCAGAGCCAGATTTCATGGCCATCTTCCAGGCCTTTGGCCCCATCAAGGTACGCTGCATGCATTGTGGCTTTGTTATGAGGGCTGCTGGGATGCATTGGTGGGGAGAAATGGGTGTATGTGGGGTCCATCGTCTACGACATTGCAGAGCCGGACATCATGGCCATCTTCCAGGCCTTTGGACCCATCAAGGTGCAATTTCCTGCTTCGGCAAGTCATTGCTGCAATCTACCATCCTTACCAACCGTCCCTGCCCCCCTTCCCCATGCTCCTCCCCGTATCCTGTTTTCGTTACTCGAAGAAACCTTGAACCTTTCCCGCGTTTCCTCTTGCTGTCATATACCTTCCTTCCGACACCCCCGCATGCAACCCCGGCTGCACTTCTCCCATTTTCTTGTCGTTTCTCTGTGTCTTTTTCTGAAACAACTTCCCGTGTCCTTCTGTGCCACCCCGATTGTTTAATCTGCAGTCGTGCCAGCTCATCCCCAACCCTGACACCGGCAAGCACAAGGGCTACGGTTTCGTTGAGTGAGTTTGACGCTCTTGCTCACCCCGCCTCTTTCCTCGGCTTCCCCTGCTGCTTAAATTCCCCCTTTCCGCTCCGTTTTTTCTTCTTTTTTTCTGTGCGATTGTGTGTGTGTTTTTGTTCCTTTTCACTTCATCTGCAAGTGTGTAATGCTATCAGGTTTTGGATTTTTTTTTTTTTTTTTTAGTTGCGGCTGTAGCTGGTTTTTCACCTTTCCCACACTTAATGTCATCATCCCTTACAACCCTACCCTCCCCTCCCCCCCCCCTCCCCTCTCTTCCCTCCCCCCCCCCCCCCCCCCCCCCCCCCCCCCGCGCTTTCCCCTCCTCGCTCCTTCCCCCCTCCCTTCCTTGCGCCTGGCTTGCAGGTTTGAGACGGAGGAAGCAGCCAAGGGCGCAATCCAGTGCATGAACGGGTTCCAGCTGGGCGGCAGACAGCTCAAGGTGGGCGGCAGACTGCTACAGAGTTAAAGTGCATGTGCACGTGGCATGGCGTGCGTGGCATGGCATGGCATGGCATGTCATTGCTATCAGTTCCGCACCATGAACTGCCACCACACCACCAAGCAACACATACAACGCCCGCTTCCCTCTCATCCGCCTTCACCTGCCCAATGACCACTCATCATCCGCCTTCCGCCTCCTCACATGCCTCCCTTCCCTCTCACTCCTTCTCACTCCCCATTCCCCTCACACCCTTCCCTCTTTTCGCCCAGGTCGGGTGGGCCTCAGCATCGCACGCCCCAACTTCTGCCTCACCAGCAGCACCCGCCTTCCCAAAGCGGCATTGTAGGCATGCCAGCTCTTGGATTGGATTCTCACGTGCGCTCCTGCTGCCCCCTCACTCCCTTCCCTCGCACTCCCTTTTCCCTCGCACTAACCAGGTTGGATGGGCCTCAGCATCCCACGCCCCCACTTCTGCCTCACCGGCAGCACCTGCCTTCCCAAGCGGCATTCCAGGCATGCCTTCCATCCCGGGGTTCCCCGGTGCTGCCCTCCCAGCAGCAGCAGGAGGGGCCGGGCTGATGGGCTCAGTGCCTGGCGCTGTTGCTGCTGCCTCCCCAGCAGAGGTAAGATCCGCATTCCCATTTGGGCATCTTCAGGTTTTTCCAGATGCCTGTGCAGGCGCTCCCAGGTGGCATGCCACACGTTCCATGCGTTCTTTCCGTTTCACTGCGCTGATGAAGGCTTTGTTGCCGAAACGCGATCGAATCCGCCCTTAAACATCATGCCACACGTTCCATGCGTTCTTTCCGTGTGTTCCCGTATGCCCTCACTTCCGCTCTTCTCTCTCGTTCTCTCTCCCTGCCTCTCCCCCGCTTTTCCCCTGCTTCCCCACCCGCCCTATCCCCCGCCTCTTCCCCACCTCTCTCCATGTGTCCGTCCCTCCAGGCAGCGGCGTCTCTGCCCTGCCAGCATCCCCCTGTCGCTGCACTGTGATGCGAAACATGGTGGCTTCAGAGGAGGTGGCTTTGAGACATCTCATAACTCGACTTTTTTCCGTCCCCTTCTCTTCCTCCCCCCCCCCCACCTTCCCCCGCCTCGCCCCTGCCCTCTGCTGCATCTGTCCACACCAGGCAGCAGCGTCCCTGCCGGCATCCCCCTGTCGCTGCATTGTGATGCGAAACATGGTGGCTTCAGAGGAGGTTTCTTTGGGACATCTTATTACTCGACTTTTTTCCGTCCCCTTCTCCACCCCCGCCCATTTTCCCTGTCCGCCTCTCTCCCATGTCCGCCTCTCTCCCATGTCCGCCTCTCCCCTGCCCCTCTGCATCTGTTAATTCCAGGCAGCAGCGTCTCTTCCTGCTTCCCCCTGTCACTGCATTGTGATGCAAAACATGGTGGCTCCAAAGGAGGTGCCTTTGGGACATCTTATAACTCTATTTTTTTCCGTCCCCTTCTCCCCCCCCCTTTCCTTTTCCGCCTCTCCCCTGCCCCTCTGCATCCGTCCATTCCAGGCAGCAGCGTCTCTTCCTGCTTCCCCCTGTCGGTGCATTGTGATGCGAAACATGGTCACACCGGAGGAGGTTGATGATGATCTGCAGAGCGAGGTGAGGGCAGCAGATGGGACTATCTGCCATGCATGGGCACGGGCATGGGCACGGGCATGGGCATGGGCATGGGCACGGGCATGGGCATGGGCATGGGCATGGGCACGGGCACGGGCACGGGCATGGGCATGGGCATGGGCATGGGCATGGGCATGGGCATGGGCATGGGCATGGCTGATGATCCCATACAATACAAGCTTAATAATGCTGCTTGCAACTGCAACATTTCTTCTGATCTACCCACTTCAGTGACCACTCCGTTGCTTGGAGAATACTCAAAAGCGTCTCAGCTTATGTTCCATGTATTCCCCGATTCTTCAACCCCCCGATTCCTCACCTCGTGCCTCCCCGTGTCTTGTGCCCGCACCCATGCCTTCTCCCTGCTGTTGTCAGGTCACGGATGAATGTGGCAAGTTTGGCAAGGTGGAGCGGGTTGTCATCTACCAGGTGAGGGTTGTCAGGTGAGGGTTGTCAGGTGAGGGTTGTCAGGTGCGGGTTGTCAGGTGCGGGTTGTCAGGTGCGGGTTGTCAGGTGAGGGTTGTCAGGTGAATCCCTGTTAGGTCACGGACGAATGCGGCAAGTAAGGTGGAGCGGGTTGTCATCTACCAGGTGAGTTATTTATCAGGTGAATACTCTCAGGTGAACACCTGTCAGGTGAATGCTTTCACGTGAAAGACATGTCAGGTGAAAGCCCATAAGAAAAATCTGTCAGTGCTTGGTGACTTCCCTCGGGGTTTTCTTCCGGGTCGTGAAGCGATGGTGTTTGTGGGTCACCTCTTTCCCCCGTTCCTGCTGCCCGTTCTGTCCTCCGTGTGCAGGAGCAACAATCGGAGAAACCAGGCGATGCGATTGTGAAGATCTTTGTTCTCTTCTCCAGCACTCCAGGTGAATCTTCAAGCAATGGTTTCCTGCTCCTTCTCCTCCAACCCCACCTGCCCCCCACCCCCCCCCCCCCCCCCCTCCCCCCCGCCCCGGCCCATTTCCCATTCTTGCCTTCTCCCATTCCCCCCTTTCCCTCAGCCTTCCCCTTGCTCTCTTGCTGGCTGGTTCATTCTTGCTCTTTGTCTCCCCGTACCATTCCTCCTCTCTTTCACGCACGCACACATGTACTTGAAATTTGTGCCCGCCTACACACAGCGCACTTACACATGCCCAAGTTCTTCATTTGTTTCTCCATCTTTTTCATGCAAATTTTGTTGGCATGGCATGGCACATGCTGTCTTTGGCATGGCGTGGCATGGCATGGCATGGCATGGCATGGCATGGCATGGCATGGCATGGCATGGCATGGCATGGCATGGCAATGGAAATGGCATGGTGTGCATTTTCGTCTCGGTGTTCACCTTGATTCCCGTGGGTGCAGAGGCACAGGCAGCACGGCAGTCACTGCACAACAGGTGGTTCGGAGGCCGGCAGGTCATTGCAAGGTCAGTGCATTTCGCTTTCCCCTCAAGCCTCGACCTTGGTTTCTTCTTTCCATTTGCTTGCGCTGCAAGCAACATTTTTTTGTTTTGTGGGACATGGCGGCTCCCTGCTTTCGTCCTCCGTTCCACTGTAAATTCGACCACCCGTACTTTAATCACCATAACTTTTATCACACTTTTTCGCGCCCACTTTATCACGGTTTTTCCCACACACTTCATGACACTTTGTCCGGCGAATGCTGTTGGTGGGGCTGAGATCTTCTTGGCGCACCTGTGATTACATAACATCTCGTTCCTTCGTCCTTCTCCTTCGCAGCTTTTATCCGGAAGTGCTGTTCGCACGAAACGACTTTTCTCGCTGAGAGGTCTCGCTGATGACTCGAGACTGGTCTCACTGATGGCCGCTGTTCTCGCATAACGCGTTTATCATAGGATCGTAGGATTTTTGTTAAGTGTTGCAGGAGCTGGAAGTCGGGGTTAATTGAAGAGGTGGTAGCTCCTGTGATATACATAGGAGGCGTTCGATTCTCTTAACTTTTACCTGTTTTGTGTGGGGTTTTCACATTGAGTATCTGGTGGTACTTGTTTAACTAACGTATTTCTTCAGTGTACTTGTTCAATATAGAATCACTGCCATGTTCTGGAGACTTCCCCCGCTTCCAGCCTTTCCCCGAACCCCGCCAAGCACATCCCCTTCACCCTACCATCACGTCTGCGCTTTCTCTTCCCCTCCTCCCTTACTCTTCCGCGCGCCTGCACCCACGGCTTCCGCGTCCGCCTCCCCGTCCCGTCCCCGTTCGCGCGGCATCGGGATTCTGATGTGCATGAATGAATTTCATATGCCATGGCGTCTGCATTCTCCCTCACCGCAGCGTGTCGCCGGATCGCGTCATCCGCGCGCCTTAGTCTAACTACCACTGCTAGTCTCCGTCAAGCGTCTTCAGCTTGCGCCGTTGCCGTGCCGCCTGGGATTCCGACTGGTTCTTCCGCTATTGTCAGTTCGTCTGGCACAGGATTTTTCACGCAGTTGAGATTCCTGTCGATTCTCGGCAGCCGCTGGTCAGATTCTCCGTCAAATTCCGGCTGTGTGCCGCCGTTAAGTCCGGGATTATCATCAGCGGCTGGAGCTGCGTGCGTGGAATCTCGTTCTTCCTTATTTTCTAGACACATGGCGACGGCGGGACAAGTTATCAAGTGCAAGGGTGAGACTCACGTCCCAGAACCTCACTGAATTTTACTGGATGCGGGTTCTCAAGCGTGTATTGCGAAAGGTTCACCCTGACTCCGCTAAAATCGTGACCAAAATCATCTCCGAATCCGGGGTCAAATCCAACCAAATCTCTGATATTCCACCGTTCGATTCAACGCGGATGGTGCTTACAATTTTGCAGATTGATAGTTTCACCTCACGTCACTTACCCGCGTTCTCACTCCTGGTTCTTCTCCTGTTGCAGCTTCGATTTGTTTAGCTACAATTTTGCGACTCCCTGTGTGCAGCGGCGGTGGCGTGGGCGCCGAACAAGCCGTTGGTGATAGAGGAGGTGGAGGTGGCGCCTTTTCACGTCTGGTTCTTTTTATCTTACTGCAACTCCTTGTGTGTGCAGCGGCGGTGGCGTGGGCGCCGAACAAGCCGCTGGTGATAGAGGAGGTGGAGGTGGCGCCTTTTCACGTCTGGTTCTTTTTATCTTACTGCAACTCCTTGTGTGTGCAGCGGCGGTGGCGTGGGCGCCGAACAAGCCGTTGGTGATAGAGGAGGTGGAGGTGGCACCGCCACAGGCGGGGGAGGTGCGAATCCGCATCACACACACCGCGCTCTGCCACACGGACGCGTATACTCTGGACGGCCATGACCCCGAGGGGCTCTTTCCCTGCATCCTCGGCCACGAGGCTGCTGGGTGAGTGCCCTGCATGCCGTGCTGGGTTGTGACGGGCGTTTACAGGTGTTACTGTGACTGGGATGCGTAAACTCTGGACGGTCATGATCCCGAGGGGCTCTTCCCGTGCATCCTCGGCCACGAGGCCGCTGGGTGGGTGGTGTCTTGTGTGTCTCTGCAACTGTGTATGCGGCACATCCACATACTGTTATCACGTATGACTGTGTGTCTCTGCAACCGACTGGTACGGGTGTTGTAGGTGTGAGTGGTTCACTCTGATGCGTACATTCCGGACTCCTTTTAAGCCGACTCAACAAAAAAAATTGGGCGTCCGTAAATTCCGTCTCACACTTAACTCCTCCACCCCTCGTGCCCCTCCTTCCACCCTGCCAGCATCGTGGAGAGTGTGGGTGAGGGCGTCACAAGCGTGCAGGCGGGCGGCCATGTGATCCCGTGCTACCAGGCGGGGTGCCAACGTCTCTCTCTCTTACCATAATCATTCCCTGTTACCGTATCGCATCCCTCGCCATCCTCCTCCCACCGTACCAGCATAGTGGAGAGCGTGGGAGAGGAAGTGACGAGCGTGCAACCGGGCGACCATGTGATTCCGTGCTACCAGGCGGAGTGTCAAGTCAACAGCCGTCTCTTACCCCTTTCCCTCATCTTCCTCTCTCATTATATAATCCTCCCAGCATAGTGGAGAGTGTGGGCGAGGGAGTGACGAGCGTGCAACCGGGCGACCATGTGATTCCGTGCTACCAGGCGGAGTGCCAGCGTCTGTCTCTCACCCCTTTTCCTCCTCTTTCTCCCTACTCATTCAATTTTTCCAGCATAGTGGAGAGTGTGGGTGAGGGCGTGACGAGTGTGCAGGCGGGCGACCATGTGATTCCATGCTACCAGGCGGAGTGCCGCGAGTGCAAGTTCTGCAAGTCCGGGAAGACCAACCTGTGCGGCAAGGTCCGCCCCGCCACTGGTGAGTCAGGGAGTACAAGTGTTGGCTTGGCTCCCCTTTGTGTCTCAGAAGAAAACGAATCAATCCCTCTCAAATCTGTCATGAATTGCCTTCAAAATGTCTATGGAAGGCTTTCAAATTGTAAATAAATAAAAAAAACAAAAAACACTCTTGACATGCCTTAGAAACTTTTTTTAAACGCCAGGACGCCTTCAAAATGCCTCTCCTTTTCGTCTCTCTGCTGTTTTCCTCTCTCAGGCCGTGGTGTGATGCTGTCAGATGGCAAGCCGCGCTTCTCCGTGCGGGGGGAGCCCATCTACCACTTCATGGGCACGAGCACGTTCAGTGAATTCATTCAGCTCTCCCTCCTTCTCCTCCTCTCTCCTTCCATCGCTCCTCTTCCTTCAGGTCGAGGTGTGATGCTGTCGGATGGCAAGCCGTGCTTCTCCGTGCGAGGGGAGCCCATCTACCACTTCATGGGCACGATCACGTTCAGCGAGTACTCTCACTGACTCGACTCACCGCTCTCTCCTTCCCCTCTTCTCGTCTCCTCCTCTACACCACTCTCCCCTCTCCAGGCCGGGGGGTGATGCTGTCAGACGACAAGCCGCGCTTCACAGTGCGAGGGGAGCCAGTCTTCCATTTCATGGGCACGAGCACGTTCAGCGAGTACACGGTGGTGCACGATGTGTCCGTTGCCAAGATCAACCCAGAGGCGCCACTGGACAAAGTGTGCCTGCTGGGCTGTGGCATTCCCACGGGTAAGTGAGGGAGCTCTCGGCCCGTGCCCCACCCCCCCCAACCATCATTTCATGGGCACGAGCACGTTCAGTGGATACACGGTGGTGCATGACGTGTCCGTTGCCATGCCAAGATCAAGACACCACTCAAAGGACATAACCGCCCTGAACCGCCTTGAACCACTCGAGTACACGGTGGTGCATGACGTGTCGGTTGCGAAAATCAACCCAGAGGCACCGCTCGACAAAGTGTGCCTGCTGGGCTGCGGCATTCCCACTGGTAAGTGAGGGAGCCCGTGCCCCACCACCCCCCCACCCACCCCCCCATCCACCTGCTGGGCTGCGGCATCCCCACTGGTGAGTGTGCCTTGCAAAACGAAGTGTTCATTTTCCCATTTCCCATCCTCTCTTGCGGTGTGCCCCTCTCCGCCCCAAATTACCACTGTGAACCATTCCGAAGTGACCTTCCATCCCCTTCACCGGCAGGGTTGGGAGCTGTGTGGAACCCTTCCAATTCTGCACCACCATGGACCACCCTGAACCGCTCTGAACTGCCCTACTTCCGAATTCCCGCAACCGTCCTTCCACGGCAGGGCTGGGAGCTGTGTGGAACGCAGCCAAGGTGGGGCCCTTCCAAAGGTACCCTCCTGAACCGCTTTGAACCTCCCTGAACGGCCCTAAACTGCTCCGAACTGCCCTCTTCCAACCCCCAACCCCTCCCTTCCTCCCTTGTACTGGCAGGGCTGGGAGCTGTGTGGAATGCAGCCAAGGTGGAACCCGGATCCACTGTTGCCATTTTCGGCCTGGGCACTGTTGGGCTCGCGGTGAGTCACAGCTGAGAGTGGTGGTGGTGGTGGGATGCAGGCGGATTGTGGTGGGATGCAAATTGTGGTGGGTTGGGTGCAGGGGAGTGACTGACGCACTCGTAAGGCGTGCATGTGATGGGTTGAGTACTGCTGTATGATGAATGGCGAGTGCAGCCAAGGTGGATCCCGGATCCACTGTTGCCATCTTTGGTCTGGGCACTGTTGGCCTCGTGGTGAGTCACAGCTGAGAGTGTAGGGGGGGGGAGTCTGCAGGTGCCGTGGCATTGTGAGTGGTTGATGCAGCCAAGGTGGAGCCCGGATCCACTGTTGCCATCTTTGGTCTGGGCACTGTTGGGCGCGCGGTGAGTCGAGTGCTTCTTTGATGCGGCAAGGATTGGCGTGGGTTCTCGTGAGTTACAGTCTGGAGGTGACTTTTGAGTCGACTCAAAAGTCATGCAGCAAGGATTGGCGTGGGTTCTCGCGAGTTACAGTCTGGAGTGGTGGTGGTGGCGTGCCTCGTGCCTTAACTTGTGTTCGTGGCGTTGTTGCCTGGATGTCTAGTTGATGCCCAATGCGTGTCTAGTTGATGCCCAATGCGTGTCTAGTTGATGATAGGCTATGCGCGTCTGACTTGAACTCTCCTGTGCTCGAGTGCTTATGTGTGGCAGGTGGCGGAGGGGGCCAAGGCAGCCAAGGCATCGCGCATCATAGGCGTGGATATCGACCCTGCCAAGTTCGACACAGGTGTGCTTTGTGTGCACATGCGTTCATGCATGCCGGGTGTGCGTACTTGCTTATGCGTGGCAGGTGGCGGAGGGGGCCAAGGCAGCCAAAGCATCGCGCATTATAGGCATGGACCACCACCCTAAAAAGTTTTGAACGAGGTGGGGTGATGTGAATGCGTCCAGTGACACGTGAAATGCGCGCATGCAAGAGTGACACACCGAGCCAAACATACCAACTAGTGGCTGCCAAGGCGTCGCGCATCATAGGCGTGGACCACCACCCTGAAAAGTTTTGAACGAGGTGGGGCGATGTGCACATGCATGCATGCATGGTGTGATAAACCATGTGTGCCCACTGTCAACCAAATCGCGTATCATAGGCCCTGCCAAGTTTGAAACGGGTGGGCCTATGTGTGCCCACTGTCAATTTTTCAAGTGGGGTGCTTCACTTCACTCATGGAGCAAAAACGTAGTGACACGCAGGCAGAATAGTGACGGTCAAGGCATCGCGCAGCGCAGCGCATCATAGAGACGTCGGCCTTACCAAACCAGGTACAACTCAGGTGGGGTGCTGTGCATGCATGAGTGCAGTGACACATGAAATGCATGCATGCATGGTACCAGCGAGCCCGGTGTACCAAGCAACGAGTCGCGTGGTGTCACATACACATGTGGTGGCTCTGATATCAACCACCCCGTGACATTCCAGAAAGGTGAATCACATGCCCAGTCTCACGGAGTTTGTGAATCCCTCGCCAGGACCACAGCCGCCCCATTCAGGAAGTGTTAGTAGAGCTGACAGACGGCAGGGCGGACTAAAGCTTTGAGTGCCTCTGTATTTCCCTTCCCTTCCTTTCCCTTCCCTCTCCTTCCACGTTTCCTCCTCTTGAACAGCCAAGGAGTTTGGAGTGACTGAGTTCGTGAATCCCAAGGACCACAGCAGCCCCATTCAGGAGGTGCTGGTGGAGCTCACAGACGAGGGGGTGGACTACAGCTTGCAGTGCATCGGTCTCCCCCTTCCCCTCTTATCCCTCGTTTTCTGTTCTTTTTTCCTTGCTCTTTCTTCTTCGCAGCCAAGGCATTCGGAGTGACTGAGTTCGTGAATCCCAAGGACCACAGCCGCCCCATCCAGGAGGTTCTCGTGGAAATGACGGACGGAGAGGTGGACTACAGCTTTGAGTGCATCGGCAACACAGCAGTCATGCGTGCAGCGCTTGAGTGCTGCCACAAGGGGTGGGGTCATCGGAGCCCCTTCCTCTGCTTCCGAACCCTTTTTTTTTTCCTTCTCTTTGCTTTCCTTGCTCTTTCTTCTTCGCAGCCAAGGAGTTTGGAGTGACTGAGTTCGTGAATCCCAAGGACCACAGCCGCCCCATCCAGGAGGTTCTGGTAGAAATGACGGACGGGGGAGTGGACTACAGCTTTGAGTGCATCGGCAACACAGCTGTCATGCGCGCAGCGCTGGAGTGCTGCCACAAGGGGTGGGGCGAGTCGGTTATCATCGGGGTGGCAGCAGCCGGGCAGGAGATTTCCACGCGGCCGTTCCAGCTGGTGACGGGGCGTGTGTGGCGCGGCACAGCGTTTGGGGGGTTCAAGAGCCGCACTCATGTGCCTGAGCTGGTGGACAAGTATCTCAATAAGGTAGGAGTGGTCTGTGAATGTGGATGGGAGAGGCACATGGACAATGTCTTTGAAGGTGGGAGAGTAGCTCTGATGCTACTCTCATGATTGCCAGCAGCGGGGCAGCAGCGGGGCAGCAGCGGGGCAGCAGCGGGGCAGCAGCGGGGCAGCAGCGGGGCAGCAGCGGGGCAGCAGCGGGGCAGCAGCGGGGCAGCAGCGGGGCAGCAGCGGGGCAGCAGCGGGGCAGCAGCGGGGCAGCAGCGGGGCAGCAGCGGGGCAGCAGCGGGGCAGCAGCGGGGCAGCAGCGGGGCAGCAGCGGGGCAGCAGCGGGGCAGCAGCGGGGCAGCAGCGGGGCAGCAGCGGGGCAGCAGCGGGGCAGCAGCGGGGCAGCAGCGGGGCAGCAGCGGGGCAGCAGCGGGGCAGCAGCGGGGCAGCAGCGGGGCAGCAGCGGGGCAGCAGCGGGGCAGCAGCGGGGCAGCAGCGGGGCAGCAGCGGGGCAGCAGCGGGGCAGCAGCGGGGCAGCAGCGGGGCAGCAGCGGGGCAGCAGCGGGGCAGCAGCGGGGCAGCAGCGGGGCAGCAGCGGGGCAGCAGCGGGGCAGCAGCGGGGCAGCAGCGGGGCAGCAGCGGGGCAGCAGCGGGGCAGCAGCGGGGCAGCAGCGGGGCAGCAGCGGGGCAGCAGCGGGGCAGCAGCGGGGCAGCAGCGGGGCAGCAGCGGGGCAGCAGCGGGGCAGCAGCGGGGCAGCAGCGGGGCAGCAGCGGGGCAGCAGCGGGCAGCAGCGGGGCAGCAGCGGGGGCAGCAGCGGGGCAGCAGCGGGGGCAGCAGCGGGGCAGCAGCGGGGCAGCAGCGGGGCAGCAGCGGGGCAGCAGCGGGGCAAGCAGCGGGGCAGCAGCGGGGCAGCAGCGGGGCAGCAGCGGGGCAGCAGCGGGGCAGCAGCGGGGCAGCAGCGGGGCAGCAGCGGGGCAGCAGCGGGGCAGCAGCGGGGCAGCAGCGGGGCAGCAGCGGGGCAGCAGCGGGGCAGCAGCGGGGCAGCAGCGGGGCAGCAGCGGGGCAGCAGCGGGGCAGCAGCGGGGCAGCAGCGGGGCAGCAGCGGGGCAGCAGCGGGGCAGCAGCGGGGCAGCAGCGGGGCAGCAGCGGGGCAGCAGAGCGGGGCAGCAGCGGGGCAGCAGCGGGGCAGCAGCGGGGCAGCAGCGGGGCAGCAGCGGGGGCAGCAGCGGGGCAGCAGCGGTGGCAGCAGCGGGGGCAGCAGCGGGGGCAGCAGCGGGGGCAGCAGCGGGGGCAGCAGCGGGGCAGCAGCGGGGCAGCAGCGGGGCAGCAGCGGGGCAGCAGCGGGGCAGCAGCGGGGCAGCAGCGGGGCAGCAGCGGGGCAGCAGCGGGGCAGCAGCGGGGCAGCAGCGGGGCAGCAGCGGGCAGCAGCGGGGCAGCAGCGGGGCAGCAGCGGGGCAGCAGGCGGGGCAGCAGCGGGGCAGCAGCGGGCAGCAGCGGGGCAGCAGCGGGGCAGCAGCGGGGGCAGCAGCGGGGGCCAGCAGCGGGGCAGCAGCGGGGCAGCAGCGGGGCCAGCAGCGGGGCAGCAGCGGGGCAGCAGCGGGGCAGCAGCGGGGCAGCAGCGGGGCAGGCAAGCGGGGCAGCAGCGGGGCAGCAGCGGGGCAGCAGCGGGGCAGCAGCGGGGCAGCAGCGGGGCAGCAGGGGCAGCAGCGGGGCAGCAGCGGGGCAGCAGCGGCGCGGGCAGCAGCGGGGCAGCAGCGGGGCAGCAGCGGGGCAGCAGCGGGGCAGCAGCGGGCAGCAGCGGGGCAGCAGCGGGCAGCAGCGGGGCAGCAGCGGGGCAGCAGCGGGGCAGCAGCGGGGCAGCAGCGGGGCAGCAGCGGGGCAGCTGGGCAGCAGCGGGCAGCAGCGGGCAGCAGCGGTAGCCGGGGCAGCAGCGGGGCAGCAGCGGGGCAGCAGCGGGGCAGCAGCGGGGCAGCAGCGGGGCAGCAGCGGGGCAGCAGCGGGGCAGCAGCGGGGCAGCAGCGGGGCAGCAGCGGGGCAGCAGCGGGGCAGCAGCGGGGCAGCAGCGGGGCAGCAGCGGGGCAGCAGCGGCGCAGCAGCGGGCAGCAGCGGGGCAGCAGCGGGGCAGCAGCGGGCTAGCGCGGGGCAGCAGCGGGCAGCAGCGGTGGCAGCAGCGGGGCAGCAGCGGGGCAGCAGCGGTGGCAGCAGCGGGGCAGCAGCGGGGCAGCAGCGGGGCAGCAGGGGGGGCCGGCAGCAGCGGGGGCAGCAGCGGGGCAGCGGGGGCAGCAGCGGGGCAGCAGCGGGGCAGCAGCGGGGCAGCAGCGGGGCAGCAGCGGGGCAGCAGCGGGGCAGCAGCGGGGCAGCAGCGGGGCAGCAGCGGGGCAGCAGCGGGGCAGCAGCGGGGCAGCAGCGGGGCAGCAGCGGGGCAGCAGCGGGGCAGCAGCGGGGCAGCAGCGGGGCAGCAGCGGGGCAGCAGCGGGGCAGCAGCGGGGCAGCAGCGGGGCAGCAGCGGGGCAGCAGCGGGGCAGGCAGCGGGGCAGCAGCGGGGCAGCAGCGGGGCAGCAGCGGGGCAGCAGCGGGGCAGCAGCGGGGCAGCAGCGGGGCAGCAGCGGGGCAGCAGCGGGGCAGCAGCGGGGCAGCAGCGGGGCAGCAGCGGGGCAGCAGCGGGGCAGCAGCGGGGCAGCAGCGGGCCGGGCAGCAGCGGGGCAGCAGCGGGGCAGCAGCGGGGCAGCAGCGGGCGGGGCAGCAGCGGGGCAGCAGCGGGGCAGCAGCGGGGCAGCAGCGGGGCAGCAGCGGGGCAGCAGCGGGGCAGGCAGCGGGGCAGCAGCGGGGCAGCAGCGGGGCAGCAGCGGGGCAGCAGCGGTGGCAGCAGCGGGGCAGCAGCGGGGCAGCAGCGGGGCAGCAGCGGGGCAGCCAGCGGGGCAGCAGCGGGGCAGCAGCGGGGCAGCAGCGGGGCAGCAGCGGGGCAGCAGCGGGGCAGCAGCGGGGCAGCAGCGGGGCAGCAGCGGGGCAGCAGCGGGGCAGCAGCGGGGGCAGCAGCGGGGCAGCAGCGGGCAGCAGCGGGGCAGCAGCGGGGCAGCAGCGGGGCAGCAGCGGGGCAGCAGCGGGGCAGCAGCGGGGCAGCAGCGGGGCAGCAGCGGGGCAGCAGCGGGGCAGCAGCGGGGCAGCAGCGGGGCAGCAGCGGGGCAGCAGCGGGGCAGCAGCGGGGCAGCAGCGGGGCAGCAGCGGGGCAGCAGCGGGGCAGCAGCGGGGCAGCAGCGGGGCAGCAGCGGGGCAGCAGCGGGGCAGCAGCGGGGCAGCAGCGGGGCAGCAGCGGGGCAGCAGCGGGGCAGCAGCGGGGCAGCAGCGGGGCAGCAGCGGGGCAGCAGCGGGGCAGCAGCGGGGCAGCAGCGGGGCAGCAGCGGGGCAGCAGCGGGGCAGCAGCGGGGCAGCAGCGGGGCAGCAGCGGGGCAGCAGCGGGGCAGCAGCGGGGCAGCAGCGGGGCAGCAGCGGGGCAGCAGCGGGGCAGCAGCGGGGCAGCAGCGGGGCAGCAGCGGGGCAGCAGCGGGGCAGCAGCGGGGCAGCAGCGGGGCAGCAGCGGGGCAGCAGCGGGGCAGCAGCGGGGCAGCAGCGGGGCAGCAGCGGGGCAGCAGCGGGGCAGCAGCGGGGCAGCAGCGGGGCAGCAGCGGGGCAGCAGCGGGGCAGCAGCGGGGCAGCAGCGGGGCAGCAGCGGGGCAGCAGCGGGGCAGCAGCGGGGCAGCAGCGGGGCAGCAGCGGGGCAGCAGCGGGGCAGCAGCGGGGCAGCAGCGGGGCAGCAGCGGGGCAGCAGCGGGGCAGCAGCGGGGCAGCAGCGGGGCAGCAGCGGGGCAGCAGCGGGGCAGCAGCGGGGCAGCAGCGGGGCAGCAGCGGGGCAGCAGCGGGGCAGCAGCGGGGCAGCAGCGGGGCAGCAGCGGGGCAGCAGCGGGGCAGCAGCGGGGCAGCAGCGGGGCAGCAGCGGGGCAGCAGCGGGGCAGCAGCGGGGCAGCAGCGGGGCAGGCAGCGGGGGCAGCAGCGGGGGCAGCAGCGGGGCAGCAGCGGGGGGCCGGCAGCAGCGGGGCAGCAGCGGGGCAGCAGCGGGGCAGCAGCGGGGCAGCAGCGCGGGCAGCAGCGGGGCAGCAGCGGGGCAGCAGCGGGGCAGCAGCGGGCAGCAGCGGGGCAGCAGCGGGGCAGCAGCGGGGCAGCAGCGGGGCAGCAGCGGGGCAGCAGCGGGGCAGCAGCGGGGGCAGCAGCGGTGCAGCAGCGGGGCCAGCAGCGGGGCAGCAGCGGGGCAGCAGCGGGGGCAGCAGCGGGGCAGCAGCGGGGCAGCAGCGGGGCAGCAGCGGGGCAGCAGCGGGGCAGCAGCGGGGCAGCAGCGGGGCAGCAGCGGGCAGCAGCGGGGCAGCAGCGGGGCAGCAGCGGGGCAGCAGCGGGGCAGCAGCGGGGCAGCAGCGGGGCAGCAGCGGGGCAGCAGCGGGGCAGCAGCGGGGCAGCAGCGGGGCAGCAGCGGGGCAGCAGCGGGGCAGCAGCGGGGCAGCAGCGGGGCAGCAGCGGGGCAGCAGCGGGGCCATGCGCCCGTTCCAGCTGGTCATGGGGCGTGTGTGGCGCGGCACGGCGTTTGGAGGGTTCAAGTGCAGGACTCATGTCCCTGAGCTGGTGGAGAAATATTCGAATAAGGTGAGAATGTGTGGTGTGTGAGGGCACTGAAGCACTGTCTGGTGTGTCAGATAACACATCCCTTCAGACACCGTTCCTGCCGTCCATTCAAAGATGCTCGAGCCTCTGCACTACAGACTTCTCCGATCCTTCCATGAGACGATCTGACGCGTAGAGATGCTCTTTGGAGTGAAAGCCCTGGCTTACATAGATTGGCTGTTCCGACATAGCCCCGTCCAACATAAGCCCTAGCTTTCACTTCAAAGAGCGACTCCACGTGTCGAATCGACTCATGGAATGATCTGAGGACTCTATAGTGCAGAGGCTCGAGCATTCTTGGTTGGACTGCAGGAACGGCGTCTGAAGGCTTGTCATCGTCCCTCTCCATGTCTTCCTCGTTATCCTCCTTGCGGGATGTTTTCAATCGCTTGCTTTGCCATAGGTTCGGGATGGAGTACTCCGGGAGCGAATGTGTACGAGTGCATCACGAACAACCTCTTCTCATCCTCCCACTCTCTTCTCACTTCCCCTTTCTACCCACTCCTTCCTGCATGTTACCCGGTAACAGGAGATCAAGGTAGATGAGTACATCACACACAACCTGCCTCTCTCTTCCACGCTAACTGTCTCGATCTCTCTACATCTCTCTACATGTCTCTCCGTTTCCACGTTTGTACCCATCAACAGGAGATCCAGGTAGACGAGTACATCACACACAACCTCCCTCTTCTCTTCCACACCACCCCTCTTCCTCTCTTCGTCTCTCTCCCTTCTCCTTGCCCACTCATGTTACCCGGTAACAGGAGATCAAGGTAGACGAGTACATCACACACAACCTGCCTCTTTCTCCCACACCACCCGTCTTCCTCTCTTCCTCTATCTCCCTTCTCCTTGCCCCCGCATGTTATCCGGTAACAGGAGATCAAGGTAGACGAGTACATCACGCACAACCTGCCTCTCTCTAAGATCAACGAGGCCTTTGACTTGCTGCATGGCGGCAAGTGTCTGCGAGCCGTGATTCACATGCAGGAGGGCCAGTGATAGCCTGCTGGCTGGGTAAAGGGAATGTTTCGGTGTTGATGGTGTTGGGAGTGAGGGCGAGGGTGAGGGTGCTATTAGAGCATCCTCTTCTGCCCTCGCAGTGCATGTCTGCCATGATTCACATGCAGGAGGTCTAGTGATAGTATGCTGCGTGAAGGAAACATTTCAATACTGATGGTGCTGGTGGGAGTGAGGCTGAGGGTACTAGAGCATCCGCTTCTGCCCTCACCGTTCCTGGTGATTTTCATGCAGGAGCACATGTGATGGTAACCGTACTACTAGCACCTGTTCCTGTAGGAAATGTTTTTATCTGGGAAGATGCAATGCCTACCTAGTAGCTACTCTCAGGTAATGTGGAGATTTCCAGAATCGAGAGATTCATGACCACCTTTGGTTTGGTGGTGGAGTTTCTTTGCTGTGATTGGGACTACGGTAGTGCCTGGTGTGGCAAAAGTTACGCTAGTCGTTTTGCCCGCAGTACACGGGTATTCTTGAGGGAATGCCCCCAACCGGGGATGACATTAAATTGCTACAAACATTGCAACGAACCTATCCGCAGCTTCTATAATCAAACTACCGGTACCGTAAGCCCTAGCCCGTCCCCTCAGACCTGTAGCTGCTAGGGAACCAACCAATCATCTTGGTTCCTGCACACGTCTGCATCCTTCATGCCCGACAAAGCAACTGTGAGTTGGTGCCAGTGCACAAGGTGACATGCCATGAAAACTTATACTGCTAAGTGCTGAAGTACCGTAGCTGGTATGTCAACATCGGAAACACACCCGTCCCGGGGATGGAAGGGATTACCATGAATGCGCTTAGCGAGCATGCCTAATGCTCAGAAATCGCTGGACATTCGTATGGGTTACGTGCGCTAATGATGGGCTGGGGGATGGCAGAAGCAACGGTGGATGGCAGGGGGTGGCATGAAGTGGCATGGGGTGACATGGCGGTGCCATGGGGAGGAATGGGGTGGAATGGGGTGGAACGAGGTGGAAAGGGGCAGACCTGCTAGTGCTAGTGCGTCGAGTTGACAACCTTGAAAACCTCATCCGTTCCGGGGATGGAAAAAGCAATGGTGGATGGCATGGGGTGAGACTGGGTAGCATGGCGTGTCATGGGGTGTCATGGGGTGTCATGGGGTGGTGGAATGAGGTGGAAAGGGGTGGACCTGCTAGTGCTAGTGAGCCGAGTTGACTATTTTGGAAAGTGCATCCATCCCGGGGATGGCAGAAGCAACGGTGGATGGAATTGACTGGTGCGGGGTTGGGACAATCATGACCGCACAATTGGCAGTGTGTGCTACGTGGTCGCTCACACTCCCCAGTAAGACCCTAGAATCGGAGTGGGGAACAATGTCACGGGGGAGGAGGGGGGGGGGGGGGAGGGAGGGGGAGTAGGGGGGAAGGGTGAGGGATTAGGGTGCGAACGACAATTATGACCGCACAATTGGCAAAGGTGTGCTACATGGTTGCTTAGCACTTCCAGTTACATCCTCAGATTGACTAACAAGGCAACTAACTTCAAGCAGACAAAAAGCAAAAATCTGTCTGAACCCGGAATCGAACCGGAGACCTCCAGTGTGTGAGACTGGCGTGATAACCGACTACACCATCCAGACATGTCTAAGGCATACTGAGCGCTTACTTATCGTATAAACATACAAACCTTGGTTCGCATTTCAACCACACGACAACGGGCAGTACACAAATCTTCATAACGCCGTGCCCAACTCTTGTACCCACCTCGTTATAGCGCCATGCCCGTGACTTCCCAGTACAATCACATCCGGGTCGACCTCGCTCGCTGTCTCCAGGATCCTCTCCCTCGCGTCGCCACACGCGCTCTTCGTCACCCACTCGTTCTTAAACGACGGCTGAGATTTACCGGAAACGCAGAGGACGGACGAAGCATGACAATTCAAAGGAATTTCGATTTAGTACAAGGTGAGGGAGGCGGAAGCGAGATAAGAATGCAGCGGGAAGAGGAAGAGCGGAGGGGAATGCATGGAGGGAGAGAAGGCGAAGTGCGGAAAAGAAGCAGCAGACAAATCAGGAACGAAGAGGGGAATTTAGAGATAACAACGAGGGTGATATAGGTTACAAGGGTACCTTCTTCGTTATAAGCTCACTTTGTAGGTACTGGCCAGTTTCCGGTACTTGTCCAGCAGCGTGTGACTATCTCGAAGGTACTGTTCCTCGAACTCCTGTTTGTAGGTCTGAGCGGCGTAGAAGTCCACCTCTGCAAGGAGCCATGCCACGTCACCCATACGGTTATAACGAACAAGAAGCGCGTAAGAATCATTTCGCCATCGAAAGAGGGTTTCGAAGAAGAAGAAGCAGAACAAACACTACTGGTGAAGAGAGAGAAGGAAGGGCGCGAGGGTTTCGGGATGCTGCTGCAATCGCCGACTCTGCTGCGTAGTACCTTCAATATGAGGTCGGACGTGAACGATGGTAACCTTATCGTTGTCTTCGACGACCTTTTCGCACGCGAACTGTAACGCGTGGCGACTGCCCTCCGAATCGTCCACAGCGATCAAGAAATTTCGCCCCGCTTCAACCGCCGCCATGGTCGGTTTGGTAGGAACGACACGACCAGTCACGCAAAGGAGCGGATAAGCCCAGTACGGCAAAACGATAAAAAACCGAGAAAACGACGTGATTTCTCGAGACAAGACTACGCCAAGTCAAATAACGACACTGACACGAGGATAGAGCTAATTCAAAAATATTGGACTCAGCGGCCCTCGCTTATAGCAAAAGCGCCTAGTTAGTAACACGCGAGCCAAAGCAACTACGATTTGCCTGAAGGATGCCAGGATGAGTAAACCAACAGCACCAGAATTCAAGAGAAGCGATCAAGAAATCAACCAATCTTTCGAAGAAAACAAGCACACAGCCAAGAAGAGTTGCATCTGGCGCCTGGGCGCCGTGTGAAACAGACCGACGCTGAGGGTAAGAATGGAACCAAAATGGTGGGTTTAGTACGTTCTCACAAATGTAAACTACGGTGAACCGCGGTACTTGAAGTTCCGCATCAGGCTCCCATGCACAGTTGGCGGTGTCACGATGCCAGCTGGTGCTGCATCGCCATTGAAGTTCTCGCCATAGTTAGCCACGTGGAATTGGTGACGCAGTGTTTGCAAGCTTACAGCGGCAATCTTGGTGGCAAAGCAATTCTACTGCATCAGCTCGAACTGCGTAGACGATGACTGGACATCTCCGCAAAAAGATCGTGCACAAAGCTGTAAGAGCGTGTTTCCAAATTCAGTGGGAAATGCACTTAGGCTTGGGCATTGGCCCGACCTGACCCGACCCGACCCGTTTGGGGCTACCCAAGGGTAGGGTAGGGTCGGGTCGGGACCCCCGACCCCGGGTTTATAGGGTCAGGTTGGTTACCCGACCCGCTTTGTACACCTCGGGTTTTATAACCCGAGGTCGGGTCGGGTACACCAGAGGTCGGGTCGGGTATACCCGTTACATACAATGTGATGTAATTTTTAAAAGTCCTATGTTTCACACAGGGTGATGGCGCTCTCCCATTAATTACAAATACCCTTAGCCGTAAACGTATCGTTAGGCGTTTTTTGTTGCATTCCGCAAGCCACAAGCATCTTTGACCAGGTCGGGTATCGGGTATACCCTACCCGACCTTGAACACCCGGGTCGGGTATCGGGTATCTGTTACCCGACGCGGGTACACACACCCGACCCGCCCGGATAGTCCCATCAAAAATAAAAACCCGACCCGCCAAAAAGGTCGGGTCGGGTCGGGTTACCCGACCCGTTCGGGTCAAATGCCCAAGCCTATCACAAACTACTCTTCATCTGGTGGCCAATCAGGTCAAGGCACGTGATTGTCTAACCTGAAAATTCCATACTAGCAGAGCTCGAATGACCGGCCCAGATACAAAGGATACATGAGGTATGTATTGGCCAAACAAAAAATCACCATAACATTAACCTAGGGTATACACAGCCCCCCCTACCACTTCACCTCATCACTCACTCCACCGTGACACTCTTGGCGAGGTTTCGAGGTTGATCGACGTTAAATCCCCGAATAACAGTCAAATGGTACGCGAGGAGCTGTAGCGGAATTATGTTAATGATAGGCTGTAGGCAGTCCTCCACATGAGGCACTTCGATTATCTTTGCCGCGCCATTCGGACACATGAGATCCGCATCTCCCTCGGAGCAAATCACCATTAGTCGGCCGCTGCGGGCCTGCAACTGCTGAATAACAGACTGCTGCTTGCTGTATTGGGGGCAGAAGGGCCACGGAAAGGGGGAGTGATGGAACAGTAAGAGGCGTGGTATGAGATGGATGAACATAAGTTTGCTGAAGCATTGTGCATCAAAACGCACATGTCAGTCCCTTTCGAATACATGTGCATGAACACATTGCATTATCACCCTCAACCAGGCGACCTTGCAACACTCCACATTTCCACCACCTCCTCCACCTCACCTCTGCACATCCACCAGCTTTCAGCACCTCTCCACCCACCGCCACTTACTCCTCCTCACCACCACTTCCCTCCTCACCACCACTTCCCTCCTCACCACCACTTCCCTCCTCACCACCACTTCCCTCCTCACCTGCAGGTGCCGTCGCGGGTGGCGACAACAACGATGGGCAGAGTGGCGTCAACGAGGCATTGCATTGCGAGAAGCTCTTACCTTGAAAGGCCCGATTAGCTGCTTCCTTAATCTCCAAGGTGATTGTGAAACTTGTCAGACGAAGGTCTGTCTTTCCACCGCTCAAAATACTCGAAACTTACCAGGCGGACCCATCCGTGGGTGTTTGGTCTAGTGGCATGATTCTCGCTTAGGGTGCGAGAGGTCCCGAGTTCAATTCTCGGAACACCCCTCATGGTGACGGAGCATTTAGAAAATTGTTTTGTTGGTCAAATACTGAACTTTTTTGTGTTCTCTATCATTGCAGCCATACTCAGTCCCAGGGACCGCTGAGAAACTTGTACATTAGTTCTGCCCCTCCCCAATCAACAAGGGTGAGGGGGGCGTGCTTCATCTTGCCCGCCAGGATGCCCTCACCTGTGCATCCCCACGCACAAATATTACCTTCCCACACACCAGCGGGGCAGCAGCGGGGCAGCAGCGGGGCAGCAGCGGGGCAGCAGCGGGGCAGCAGCGGGGCAGCAGCGGGGCAGCAGCGGGGCAGCAGCGGGGCAGCAGCGGGGCAGCAGCGGGGCAGCAGCGGGGCAGCAGCGGGGCAGCAGCGGGGCAGCAGCGGGGCAGCAGCGGGGCAGCAGCGGGGCAGCAGCGGGGCATCAGCGGGGCAGCAGCGGGGCAGCAGCGGGGCAGCAGCGGGGCATCAGCGGGGCATCAGCGGGGCAGCAGCGGGGTAGCGACAACGATAATGGGCAGAGTGGTGTCAACGAGGGCGAGGGGGCCGTGCTTCATCTCCTCAACCACCTCCTCCTTATCCTTCCACACCCATCACCACCCCTCTGCTCACCTGCAGGTGCTGTCCCGAGTAGCAACAACGATAATAGGCAGAGTGGCGTCAACGAGGGCGAGGGGGCCGTGCTTCATCTCGCCCGCCAGAATGCCCTCGCTGTGCATCAGCGCCACCTCCTTCACCTTCAACGCCCCCTCCACCGCCGTCGCGTAGTTGTACCCGCGGCCAAACACCAGCAGGCTCTGCTCCCCTGACAGCTCGTGAGCCAATTGTTGGATTTCAGAGTCCAGCCTCAGCACTTGACGCACTTTCCCTGTGATGACACACAAGGACAGGGGAGGGTGTGTGTGGGAACAGGGGATGGTAAGGCTGCTGTCGCGTAGTTGTACCCGCGCCCAAACACCAGCAGGCTCTGCTCGCCTGAGAGCTCTCGAGCCAGCTGCTGGATTTCTGAGTCGAGCCTCAGCACTTGGCGCACTTTCCCTGTGATGACACACGAGATGGGGGGTGGGTGGGTAAAGAGGTGGGGAGGGGGGGGGGGGGGTAAGGCGGGTGGTAAGGTTGCGTAGTTGTACCCGCGCCCAAACACCAGCAGGCTCTGCTTCTCAGACAACTCGCGAGGTAGCTGTTGGATCTCAGAGTCCAGCCTCAGCACTTGACGCACCTTCCCTGGAGAAAACACGAGATGGGAGAGGGGGTGGGGGTTGGGTGGGAAGGGGGGGAACGAGGTAAGCGGGGTGGTAAGGTTTTTTAGTTGTACCCGCGCCCAACCACCAGCAGGCTCTGCTCGTCTGAGAGCTCACGGGCTAGCTGTTGGATCTCAGAGTCAAGCCTCAGCACCTGGCGCACCTTCTCTGATGGCCGGGAAAAGGGGTTGGGAGAAATGAGAATCTGTAAAGCTGTTGCGTAGTTGTACCCGCGCCCAAACACCAGCAGGCTCTGCTCGTCTGACAACTCGCGAGCTAGCTGTTGGATTTTATAGAGCAGCCGCCTCAGAACTTGGCGCACAGAAGTCAACAAACAGACAGGTAGGCAGGGGCACAGTGAGTGGTAGTGCACTTACTGGGCAGGTCAATGAGACCGTCTATAATCCGCTCTCTTCGTGGAAATGTCTTTTGAGATGCCCCAAAAATCGACAGGCAGACAAGTGAGTGGTAGTGCACTTACTGGGCAGGTCAATGAGCCCGTCTATAATCCGCTCTCTTCGCTCTTTTGAGGAAATGCTGTCCTCGCCAATCGCCAGCGCCATCAGCACCAGCACTGCGATCTGACTCGTGTATGCCTGTGACAATAACGATATGAAATGGAAACCGGGGGGGTTGGAAAGGTCAGGAATGTTTAGGAACCTCGAATGTTGCCAGCGCCATCAGCACCAGCACTGCGATCTGACTCGTGTATGCCTGTGACAAGAACGATATGAAATGGAAACCGAGGGGGTTGGAAAGGTCAGGAATGTTTAGGAACCTCGAATATTGCCAGCACCATCAGCAACAGCACTGCAACCTGACTCGTGTATGCCTGTGACAATCATGGCATGGGATGGGAACCATGGGGTGGGGGTGGGAGGAGGGAGGGCGGATTTGCAGAACGGAGACAATGTTTGAGGCACCTCAGAAATCGCCAGCACCATCAGCACCAGCGCAGCAATCTGACTCGTGTATTCCTGTGACAGCTCCCAGTTGGGATGGGAAAGCAGGGTATTGCGAAGGAGAGGCAGAATGAATCATGAGACGACATGCAAACCAACCAGGGGATTGCAAAGGACACGACATGCAACATGGCATGTATTGTGACAACTGAGGATGCAACACAACTGGAGGCTAACCGGCTTAGAAGTTTAACCGCAGCTGACATTGACGTGGACACACTTTGGCATTTACAAGCAGCTGAAAATGTAAGCCGCAGCACACCTTATTCTGCGTGAAACGTTCTTTCTGCACGCCATACACCTCCCTAACCGCCACTTCGAGCAACAGCATTTCATGGACACACTTTGGCATTTACAAGCAGCTGACAATGTAAGCTGCAGCACACGTGTTTCTGCCTGAAACGTTCTGCACGCCATATACCTCCCTACCAGCAAGTCACCTTGTCATTGAGTTGAGTTTTGAGTCGACTCAAAAGTCAATTCGCAGCACACGTGTTTCTGCCTGAAACGTTCTTTCTGCAAGCCATGCACCTCCCTACCAGCAACTCACCCTGTCATTGCACTGGAAACGCCACTTTGAGCAACAGCATTTGATGAACACGCTGCAGTGGGCCCCCTTGAAAACATATCAGAATCATTCACACTCCCACCAGCAGCAGCTCACCTTGGTGCTGGCGACGCCGATTTCAGCCCCAGCGTTGATAAACACACCACAGTGCGTGCGGCGGGCAATAGCGCTGCCAACAGTGTTCGTCACGCCCACACACAGCGCCCCCCTCGCCCGCGCATACTCCAGCGCCGACAGCGTGTCCGCAGTCTCCCCCGACTGGCTCATAAACACCGCCGTATCCTCTCTATAAACCGGCGCGTTTCTGTCTAGCATGTCGCTCGCCAGCTCCAGTTGAACCGCCACCCCGGAGAGCTCTTCTAACAGAGGGCGCACGGCGAGTGCTGCGTGGTAACTGGTGCCGCAGCCCACGAAAATGATCCGCCTGCTGCGGCGGATGGTGAGAAGATGGTCTTTGAGGCCTCCCAGAAGCACCCCTTTCTCCTCTGACCAAGGCGTGGAGGTTTCGCGGCTGACAGGGGAGAGTTTGGAGAGAGGGGAGAGGGGCGGGAGGCCGGAAAGTCCCCCTCCTGCTGCTGCTGCTGTTGAGGCTACTGGGCTGCTTCCATTCGAACCAGCAGCGGCAGAAGCAGCAGAAGAGTCACCAGCAGCTGCTGCCACTGCTGCCGCTGCTGCTGCTGCAGAGACGGAGGGCGGAAGGGAGCTACAAGCATTAGACGCAGTGGGTGACAGCGAATCCGCTTTCCCATGTATCAGCCTTCCCCTCAGCGTCATTGTGAGCGACTCGGGCTGCTCGTGAATCTCCTTCTGCATGAAATGGTCATAACTCCCCTTCATGATCTGCTCCACCTCCATCTCTAAGGTAGAAAGAGCCCTCTGCAGCGCCGTCGTCGGCGGCAGCCCCCGCTTCGCCTTATCCGGCTCGAACGAAAACAGCGAAACGACCCCATCCCTGATATGCACCACCTCGTTATCCTCTATAACCATCACCTTCTTCGTATGCTCCACCACCGCGCTCGCATCGCTCGCTAGAAACAACTCTCTCGGCCCAGTCGCCACCGCTCCACCGCGCACCACCCCCCCCGGCTCCTCCGCGCCTACTATATCGAACGCGGATTTCCGGCCGTCGGAGGGGACTTTGACCCCCAGGAGCAGCGGGCTGCCGCGCTTGCAGGCGACGAGCTGGTTGGGGAAGTGCGGGCTCTTGAAGAGCAGCGCGTAGGCGCCCTCCAGCTGCCGCATCACCTCCATTACCACCTGCGTGAACGCCACTCGCTCACCAGAAGACCCACCGTTGGCTGATGGAGGTTAAGTGTTGGGCGTGGGGGGAAAGGTGGGTAGGGGCAGGGTGAGAGAGTGCGGAGAGAGCAGCGCGTAGGCGCCTTCCAGCTGCCGCATCACCTCCATCACCACTTGAGTGAACGCCACGCGCTCACCGCCTGTGGCACCGTTGACTGTGGAGAGGGGGTGTGGGCGAAATGGGGGAGAATGAGTGTGAGTAAGGAGAGAGCAGCGCGTAGGCGCCCTCTAGTTGCCGCATCACCTCCATCACCACTTGGGTGAACGCAACTCGCTCCCCGCTGGTGGCACCGTTTGCTGACGAGAGGGGTTGCAGAAAACGAGGAGAACGAGAGGAGCAGGATGGGTGGGGGCGAGGTAGAGTGGAAAGGAAGAGAGAACAAGCGGTCAGGAGGTTCATCTCTCCTTGTCCCTTCTTCCTACCGATCGTTTCCCCGTTCCGTTATTTGAGGCGCCTAAAAAACCGTTCGTTATTCCCCGATCCTCTGAATTCCTGCCCCTCCTGCCCAGCTTTTTCTTCTCTGCCTCTCTCTCACCTGCGCTCTTCTTGCTCGAGACGCCGTTCGCCATGCCCTCGCCGCCCTGCCCCCCTTCCGACTGCAGCAGATTGTCGCACACGAACTTGGCGAGCTTCACAACCACCTCTCGCTGTTGCTCCCTCCTACCGCCCCTCCTGTTCCTACCACCCAAGCCCCTTCTCTCTACCCCACCCTAACCTGTCTTGCTCGAGACGCCGTTGGCCATGCCCTCGCCGCCGTGCCCCCCTTCCGACTGCAGCAGATTGTCGTACACGAACTTGGCGAGCTTCGGGATCACCTCGGTGTCTGTCTCCGACTCGAACGTGAACCCGTGCCGCTGGAGAGTGCCCTTCAGCGCCTGCATGACGCGGTGCGGAGGAGTGCAGAGGGGTGTGGGGGAATGACGGGGAGTGTGAAGGAGTGTAGAGGGAACTGGAGAGGCTTCGGCATTCTGTGTCCGTTTCCGACTCGAACGTGAACCCGTGCCGCTGGAGCCTTCAGCGCCTGCAGGACGCGGTTGCGGCGGAGTGCAGTGTGGGGGAGTGTGAAGGAGTGTAGGGGAAGTGGTTAGTCTTCGGGATCACCTCGATGTCCGTCTCCGACTCGAACGTGAACCCGTGCCGCTGGAGGGTGCCCTTTAGCGCCTGGGGAATGTGTTGCAGAGGCAGTGTGGAGGAGTGAGAAAGGAGGGTGGGATTGAGAAAGGAGTGGGAGGAGTGTGTGGGAGGGAAGGAAGAGCCAGGAAAGGCTTATTTAATATCCCTCTTCAAGAGAAACGGCTACCATACTATGCTTCAGGGAAAGTATAAGGGCGTATTCCTGACTTCGTGTCATCCGGCCCTCGTGTCATCCGAACATGTGGGACCAGCCAAATGTGCCGCGTCGGATGACCCGAAGTCGAATCGGCAAACATTGGCTCGGGGAAAAATAAATTCGGATGACACGAAGTGCGGATGACACGAAGTCAGGAATCCGCCCTAAGAGGGTTCCAGGGATGATTCCATTGTTCACCACCAGTAAGTCGGTTCAAACAGGAAGTATCTCGAGGTGTCTTAGGATTCATATTCAGAAAAAAACAGTAAGAACTGACGCGACACTGTACCTTGTAGTTGGTTATAATTCCGTTGTGAACAACCAGAAAGTCGTGGCTCGGACCGGACGACTGGGGATGCGAGTTGCGGGGGGACGGCGCGCCGTGAGTGGCCCACCGCGTGTGCGCAATGCCGACGTGGCGGGGGAACTCGCGGCTCATATCCAATTTGGATTCCGCAACATCTGCTCATAGAGCAAGTTGGAAAATCGGGAGGAAAGAGATGGGGTGGCGGAGGAGGGGGGGAAGGAGAAACGGAGAGCGGGGTTGGATAGTAAAGAGGGAGAAGCGAGGGGAGAGGAAGGCAACTGCATCGATTCGTTTATTTTCCATTCGTAAAAACGAGCGATTAGAATGGAAACGCAGAGGCTTTAACTGTTCAGCGCATTGTGGAACCAAGTGGATTACAAAGATCTTACCTTGCCGAACTTTCTTCACGAGGTTGTCGATCTTCCCCTTCTGTCGGAATAGCAGTGGCTCAGCGCCTTTGAGTTCTGATGAAGTAACATTCGTGATGTCCGCGAGCGATTTCGAAGAAGCTTCGGTTCCGTTTATCTCTGCTAACGTGGCAATGACCGCTTCTGAGTCAGCATCGGCGTCGACGCTGATTCCAGCGGAATCGTAGCCTCGGTACTCGAGCCTTCTCAGGCCGTTAAAAAGTATCTCGAGGATCTCGGAGCGCTGCTTTGGACACTCATAGTTCAAGTAGGCGAAGATGCCACACATCTTGACTAAAAAACAGAAATCAGGACTGCAAAGACTGTGTGTTGCTAAATGTCTACTTCGACGAATAGGTGACGAGAGGAAATATGAGGCCGGCCACACTACAGCATTGTGTATGCGCTGAAATCGCGAAACGACGACGGCCTTCAATATATTCCTTCTATCTGCCGAATCCGGTTATCTTCGTGATAGCACGATCCGAAACTAGCCCCAGCAGCCAGATGACGTGACAAGTCCGCCTCGGCGAACAATCTCTTCGTAACTTGCGTAGACGGAATAGCAGACGTTCTGAAACCAGTCTGCATGCTCAAACCACGTGGACACCGTCCTCTGTGTCCATTCAGCCTCGCACTCAACTCGGCAGTCTAAACAAGATAACCCAGCACTGGTGAGTTGCGCTACGAGTCGAGGCTGGCCTTTCAAGATGGCTGATCCATAAAAGTACGCACCACTTCCAACAACTTATTGGAAGGCTTCTAGAGTGGATAACTACCTACTTTTACGATTGACGGAAGAACTGCCGGCTGAAGGGAACTCCTTGTGGTGTTCGAGTTTCCTTGGGAGCTGCGAGAGGTGTAGTGATGGGGCTTTGGCGGGAAATTCGTAGAAACTGGTATTTGACCATTTGTCTGGGAACATTGGCGGGAAAGAAGTTCGGGATTTCCGAGGCATCTAGGTTCCCGCAATCCCCAGGCCTCGTTCACATCTACAGAAGAGGGGTCCAATATGGAGGCATATGACAGAGCCTTCTCCAGGCCAGATCAGCTTCGCGCCTATAAGCCGGTACGACACCGAATGGAGGGACATGATTGGTTCAGGAGCCGAACCGAACCAGCCCAACTAGGCGTAGGTGAGGCTTTCCCGCCGAAGCCACCTGCGGTTCGGGATGAGGCTGGAGTTTGGTAGGTTGCCCGAAGAAACAGGTGGGGACAAGCCCCCAATCTCCGTTGTTGAACCTGACACAAGCTTCTGCCAAGACCGGCCCAATCAGTGCAGGGCAAAACCTTCAATAACCCGGAACTATAGAAAACATGAAATCGCTCTATACAACATGTAGACATATACATTAAAGTATTGATTATATGGTAATGTTTTCACAGGGGCATGATTGGGTAGGGGCAAAACGAATGTACATGTTTCTCATCGGTCCTTAGGACTGAGTACGGCTCCCATAATAGAGAACATTAACAGAGGACTTAGGATTTAACTAACAAAGTGTTGAATGTGGCAGCTGGTAGAGAAACAAAAGTTTAAAGTCTACAATAAGTGGGGTGTTCCGAGAATTGAACTCGGGACCTCTCGCACCCTAAGCGAGAATCATGCCACTAGACCAAACACCCATGGATTCAGTTGTCAGATATTAATTACTAATCATTTGAAAACGAAGAGAGACCTTTCTTTGACAACGGTCACAATCATCTTGGCCATCATGGCGGCTGTCGACTCGTCCTTAGACGTGAAGCGATCCGAGGAGATTAAGGAAGCAGCTAATCGGGCCTTTCAAGGTAAGAGCTTCTCGCAATGCCTCGTGTTCAGCACAAGGCAGTCAGTGAATCCAGTCCATTCCACCCTGTGATCGCTTCTGTCGCGCAGTCGCACGCCTCTTCGCACGCTAGGAGTGACGACCGTTCCGTGCGATCGCTTCTCTCGAAAAATCGCAGCTGTTTTGTAACGAGTGTGCAGCCCGTCGCAATGGGGCCAGAAGGCGTTGACTCGGGAAGGTTCATCTGTTAGTGGTCGATTATAAGGACATTGTCTGAGGTATCTTACAGTAACGTAGTTGAAACCAGGCTCATTCGTGAAAAATGTTTTACACGCGGATCCAAACAGACTCACCAGCAGACTTGACAGACTTACAGGCGCCGGATTCTGGTTGGTCGTCTCTGTTGCTTGTCTTGATAGGATTCGATTCGGGTCCCAGCGACAGATGAGTGCGAGCGACGAATGCTTTCTGTTCGTCACGACAAATGCAGTCCGTTCGTCACGACGACTCGCGAATGGTCGGGACGGTTCCTCGCAGTGGTCATATGAAACCCAAACTCTGTTGCTCTGTTCCAATCATACACTTCCTTTCCACCATTCCCGCCCGCGCCTCCCTCGTACCATCAAAGCAAATGTTTTGACGCTGTTGATCCTTGCAGAAAAACCGCTTTGGAGAATTTTCAAAAGCATAACCTCAGAGCAAAGGGTCTGACGCGCTGTGGATCCCCACAGTACAGTCATCCACCCCACTCCGCCATTGCTTTCCTTTGGCTCACCTCGAATCCCCTGAAGTTCCTCCCACCCCTCCCCCTCCCTTCTCCCCCCTCCCCCTTCCCCTTCTTCCCTATTCCCCTTCTCCCCGCCCCTTTATTCCATACCATCAGAGCACAAGTTCCTGCGCGCCGTTGATCTCTACAGCGAAGCGATTCAGCTGAATGAATCCAACGCCATCCTCTGGGCCAACCGTGCGTTCGCCCACACCAAGATCGAGGAGTATGGCAGCGCTGTGGAGGACGCCGCTAAGGCCATCGAGCTCAACCCCTCCTATGTCAAGGTATTTTGGGGCTAGTTACCCGTGTGCATCAAGGTAGTCAGGGGTAGACACCCTGCGTTTCGCCCACACCAAGATCGAGGAGTATGGCAGCGCTGTGGAGGACGCCGCTAAGGCCATCGAGCTCAACCCCTCCTATGTCAAGGTATTTTGGGGCTAGTTACCCGTGTGCATCAAGGTAGTCAGGGGTAGACACCCTGCGTTTCGCCCACACCAAGATCGAGGAGTATGGCAGCGCTGTGGAGGACGCTGCTAAGGCCGTTGAGCTCAACCCTTCCTATGTCAAGGTGGTTTCTGGGGTTGGGGGTTATTTACCCTTTTGTGACACAGTAGTTGGGGGTGGTTACCCTGCATTGCATTCACCCTCGCACTAAGATCGAGGAGTATGGCAGCGCTTTGGAGAATGCTGCTAAGGCCATCGAGCTCAACCCCTCCTATGTCAAGGTGATTTTGGAGGGTTAGTAACCCTTGTGTGTCGAGGTAATGAGGGGTGGTTACCCTGTGTTCGCCCACACCAAGATGGAGTATGGCAGTGCTGTGGAGAAGGCGGCTAATCATGGCCGTGCCTTGACTGATTAAAGCTTTTATCAAAACAGACTTCTCGTTTCTTCTCTCGCCCGCCCCGCCCCCTTCCAGGGCTACTACCGGAGAGGCACAGCATACCTGGCTATGGGCAAGTTCAAAGACGCACTAAAAGACTTTAAACAGGTCGGCTCACTCCCCCCTTAAACCTTCACCTACCCCCGCCTCCTTTCCCCACTCCCCCCCACCTCCCTGGTTCCTTCCTGTCCCTTCTTTTCCTTGGGCGCATTCTCTTCTTTGTATTATTCGTTTTTTTACGGGGTGGCCTATGAGTTGACTCAAGTGTAATTTCCTGTGCCTCGTTTACTGTGGCCCATTCCTCCCCTTGTATTGTTCTTCCCTTTCTCGACCATGCAGGCAGTTAAGATCGCCCCAGGGGACCCAGATGCGCGCAAGAAGCTACAGGAGTGTGAGAAGGCAGTGAGGGAGGAGTTGGTTCCCTTGCCTTTGTTCACCACCAATCCCCCTCTCCCCTTCTCTCGCCCATACAGGCAGCCAAGATTGCCCCGAGGGATCCAGACGCACGCAAGAAGCTAAAGGAGTGTGAGAAGGCGGTGAGGGAGGAGGCGTTTCAGAACGCCATAGCCAGTCCAGACAGCGGGCCCGTGGGATTCAGAGACTTTGGCATTGACGTCAGCAGCATAGGTAAGTTTGACCTGCGTTGACTTGTGTTGACTTTCGTTGTCTTGATTGACCTGAGTCTCGGAACGCCATAGCCAGTCAAGACAGCGGGCCTGTGGGCTTCAGGGACTTTGGCGTTGACGTCGGGCATCATAGGTGGGTTTACTTGCGTTGACCTGTGTTGACATGCGTTGACTCAGCTGACCATAGTATCAGAGTGTAATCGCTGTCAGTCAGTAAGCCCTAGGCTTCAGGGACTTTTGGCGTTGACATCAGCAGCATAGGTACGTTTGACTTGAGTTGACTTGCGTTGACTTGAGTTGACTTGCGTTGACATGAGTTGACTTGCGTTGACTTGGCTGACATTAGTTGTTAGCAAGACTGGACGTAACCCACCTATGGAGGCGACATACGATGGGCCTCGCCTGGAGGGCGACGAGGTGACTCACTCCCTTGTTACTGCATGCATGATACTCGCACTCACTAGTGCATGCGTGCTATCACACACACGCTACTCCCCCCACTCCCCTTGCACGGTGCACCACAGACGTGGAGGCGACCTACGATGGGCCGCGCCTGGAGGGCGACGAGGTGACTCTCTCGTTCGTCCAAAAGATGATGGACGCGTTCAAGAACCAGAAGATGCTGCACAGAAGGTGCGCACTCATCAGAACATGCTGCACAGAAGGTGCGCACTCATCAGAACATGCTGCACAGAAGGTGTGCACTCATCAGAACATGCTGCACAGAAGGTGCGCACTCATCAGAACATGCTGCACAGAAGGTGCGCACTCATCAGAACATGCTGCACTGAAGGTGCACACTCATCAGAACATGCTGCACAGAAGGTGCGCACTCATCAGAACATGCTGCACAGAAGGTGCGCACTCATCAGAAGATGCTGCACAGAAGGTGCGCACTCATCAGAAGATGCTGCACAGAAGGTGCGCACTCATCAGAACATGCTGCACAGAAGGTGCGCACTCATCAGAACATGCTGCACAGAAGGTGCGCACTCATCAGAACATGCTGCACAGAAGGTGCGCACTCATCAGAAGTAGCGTCATGGAAGGTGCGCACCCATCTGAAGAAGTTTCATGGAAGGTGCACGTTCGACTCGCAAAAGAAGCTTCGCAGCGCACAAATCAGCCAGAGTAGAATGGCTTGATGAGGAACAGCATGGATGCATGCAGTCCACAGTTTCATGCATGCACGTAACTTCCTGTCCTGTCCCCTCTCGTATTTAATCTCTAATCGTCCTCACATG